TTTTATTGAAATGTTAATTAAAGTGTCCACTTACATATTCGGTTACTAATTTTTATTTGTTTAAACAAAATTACTTTGTTACAATATAATATTCTAATACCAAAAAAAGTACTTGCGTGGCGTGAAAATATCTTTTGCGATGTAACTCTTTCAAAAGTACATAAAAATGGTTGCCATCAGGGGTGTACATGTAGATTTGTTAAATACACCTTGTGCGTCACCTAGGAACCAAATCTAGAACCCGACAGTCGAAATTTTTGCTCTGCTACAATCGTACCCTGTTACAATTGACCCCCCTCTCCCCTACTTTCTATTTAACATAAATTTTAAAACTGATAACTCGAACGAAAATTGAACCAAGTTTGGTTAAGGGGTCACAGTACCCTTACAACATTTTTTTTTTAAATAAAGGTATAATCATTTATTTTGTGGATGCTTTACATGCTCATTTAACTTATAATCAATAATTTTTCTTCAAAAAATAGTTAAACTGATTAATTTTTTTAAAAATTAAAAAAAATATTGAAAAAATTCAAAATTTTTAAGGCTTTTTTACTTTTACATAGTTTCAAAAAAAAAAATTTTTTTTTTTGTTAGTGCTTACAATATTCATCTTAACAATTTTGTGCATTCATTTGTTGATTTATCAATTAGAAATTTTTTTTTTATAGATTATTTTGTAAAAAAGTACAAAAAAAAGTTACAAATTCCTGTTAGGTATATATAACATGCTGTAAAAATTGTAATACCTCATAAAATGCTTATTCCATGCACAGTTTAAATAAGTGTATTGTACTTAAGATAAAAAAGTTTACTTCAAAGCTTTATCTTAAATAGAAAAAGCACTTTAATGATTGTATGCTAGACAAGTTTCTGTTTTAGGGCAATCTAAAATCATTCATAATTTTTTTAAAAAGTAGATAGAGAGATGATTTTTTTTTCCAGTGTATTTGAAATGTTTGAAGTTTTATTATAAGCAATAAAAAAATATTGATATTTTGGTCATCTTTTGGGTGACCCCTTAATGGATATAAACCGTTTTCTCTTGATTTTCTTAAAACTCGATAAAAGAAATATTTTGTTTCGAAAATATATAATTTTAAGTAAGCACATTTTATTAATATGTTAATTGTAACAAAATGTAATAATAGCTGGATTTAAAAAAAAAAATCAAATGCACTTTTTAAAAAATTAAACAGTAGACCATGCGACACAATACACAGCTATAAATGAGAAGTAATTTTACGTGTTAACAATATATAATTATAACTTTAGTTCATATAACACCTTGCATTGGAAACAGTTTTTATGTTTTTTCCTTCTTCATATTTTTAAGAATTTCGATATAAATGATAAGATTTATATCTGGCAACATCTAACTTGACACTATGTAGAACTGAAAACTACATTGAACATAGATCTAAAAGAAAACGTCGTGGAAATGTAAAAAAAATATTTTTGTCAAATATGAAGAAAAAGGAAAATATCATGGTACATTCCTACTCAACTAACAAGAGAAGGAAAGGAGGGAGGGTCAAGACATGGAATCGGTCTTCTTCCGAGATGGAGTATCCGAGCGTTGCGAATATTTATAGTATATTATATAAAAAGAAAAGGTAATATGAAACATGTTTTCTAATAATTTGAAGAATATTCTATTCCTTTTTAATGTCATTTTTGATGGTTTTTGAAGACTTTAACTAAAATTTAAAAATGCAAAAAGTTAAAAAGAAAATGTTGACAATTTTGTGATTTTAGAAACATTTGTGTTTTAAAAATATGCAGCTTCATAGCTAATTACAAAAAATAGTTTCATTAAATCGTTTCATTCAAGTGACTCATCAGAAAAATTCAATATTCTTTGTTCATCACAGACGTTCTTAAAAGGATTCCCCCAAAATTTTAGAAACAAAATTCTCCGACTTCTCCAGTATTTTAGGAAATTTTCAACAAAATTCTCAATAACGTTTTTGATATGTAAAGAAATTTTTCTTTGGATTATATATCTTTCTTTTTATTAAGAACCAAAATTATTTCATGCAATGTTAAAATTTTAAAACATAGCATTTATAAAATTGCAGACATAGTTATATTTAAGAAAAAATTTGAAACTAAAAATTACTAAAATTAGAAATTGTATCTTTACTAAAGTAATATTCCAATGTTAATAATTAAAAAAAAAAAAAATCTTGTTGCAGTTGATAGATATGATTTTATTAGATATTTACTTTGAAATTCATTATTACTTACTATTACCATCAAATTTGAAAGTGGTTATTTTTTAGGTTTGCTGTAAGTTTTTTCCAGGTTTTGGCGAAAAATTAGATTATTTCCAGAAAGTTCCTAATTTTACCTTTTAAAATCAAATTTTCTGATAATTACAGATTTCTTTGATCCCTTGTAAACCTGTTCTAAACCTAAAATTTCAAGATTTTTTTTCTAGAATCTCAATTAATATTTTTTTTTCCTTCCTTTTTTACTAGACTCTCAATTGAATATTTAAAAATAAAGAGAAATGTTTCAAGCAATAAATTTATAAGATCCCTTAGTTGTTAACAACGTTTACGTGTTGTTAACAACTAAAATACAAATAGAAGATTTAAGAGATCAAAACAAATGTTGAGACTATGGAACTGTAAAGCTCAAAAACAAATGTTTGTCGATAATATATCAAACATTATTTATTTTGAGAATAGAATTATATACTCTATAAACATAGACTAAGCTCGAGTAGCTTTGTGAAAACAATTCTCAAATTTAATAGCTAATAAATAATACAGCTTATTAACTGCTTAAATTGCTGCTATACCATATTAGCGTTATTAAATTGCAACCGAGCCAAACTGATCAATGCGACTTTTTATTCCTATTATAGAACAATTTACGAAATATCAAAAGAGGCCTTGGCGTGCCACGAACTCATAAAATCATCATTTTTTAATTAATAAGGACAATTAAGTGTAATGAAATTGTACGCAAAAACGATTTGTCACAATTTTAACTATTTTTTTTTCAAATTTTAATAGGACATTTGCATAAATTTTCTTGACAAAAAAAAATAATTTTAAGAGTGACAAAGTTGAATGCATTTCAGATTTTTTTTTAATACCAAGTTCGATTTTTAAATATCAAGACTGAATAATTATTTCACAAATTTATGACATAGTTTCTCTTTTATTAACTCTGTTGGTTACACTTTTATAACTATCGTTTTTTGTACAAACACGGTTTAAGTGTTATATCTTGTACTCTAGCACCTTTTTTATTTTTCTTCATTTTCTTGAATTCCAGAAATACAAACAATTTGTGTTCCACATCCTATAGAGAAAGAAAAAATATTTTTTAGAAATATTAAGATTAAATTAAGTCAACAAGATGTTTGAGGTTTCATACTCTTAAAACTAAGGAAAATTAGTACAACATGTACAATACAAAAAAAAAAAAAAAACTTCATAAACAAAATTTGCTTATCCATGAAATCAATCAAAACAATATTCAATATATTTTATTAAATTTTTTGATTATTTTCTACAGATATGGAGCATTTCCTGAATAAAAAAACATTAATCAGATGTGTGCATAGCATCACTTATTACCGAAAACATTAACATAATTTTGGTTTTAGATTTAAAAAAAAGTTCGTATATATTATTAGTTAGTATATTAAATTAGTTAGTTAGCTAGTATAAAAGTTACTATAGTAGGGGGTCATGGTACCCTTGCAACATTTTTTTTTACAATAAAGGTATAATTATTCATTTTGTGAATGCTTTACATGCTCATTTAATTTATAATCAATTATTTATCTTCAAAAAATAGTTAAACAGTTTAATTTTTTTAAAATTTAAAAAAAAAATTCAAAATTTTTAAATTTCTAGGGCTTTGTTATTTTAACATATTTTCAAAAAAAAATTTTTTTTCTTAGTGCTTACAATATTTATTTTAACATTTTTGTGCATTCATTCGTTGATATATCAATTAGAAAATTTTTTATAGATTATTTTTAAAAAAAGTAGAAAAAAAAAGGTTTAAAATTCTCGTTAGGATTTTACGGCATAGAAAATGAGATTAGCATGAGATTTTACGCCACAAACAGAAGCCTCAAATGACCTGTGAAATCATTCATTGTCTATTAAAAGTTACTAAATAATAGAAGAATTTTTACTTACTTTTTTCTCTATAGAAAATCCTAAAGATTGTATGCTTTTAATAAACTGATCCAAATTTGGAATTCGGCTCTCAACTTCAGCTATCTTGAGTATTCCACTGCAATACAAAATAGAAAAATGAAGGTTGCCTGGACGAAAAGTGGGCAGACCTTGAAATGCAGTAGCAATACAACCACCAAAGTAATAAATTAAGGAAAGAAAAATAGAAAGAATGTAGATTCCGAATAACAGATGAACCAGTTCATCTGAGAGCATTTGAACTGAATACAAAGTTGTGCTAAGATGGGCGTGTCCAGAGCAGAGCAAAGCGCAGATGTATGGTTTTTAGGGGCAGAACGGTGAGTGTAATGCAAACACTCATCATTGAATGTTTGTTGCTTATTGCAAATAGTCAGCAGTGTATGCCTCTCACTTTTCTTTAAATATAACCTTGAATGGTGGTAATGCTTTCGCCACTGTATTCTTAAGGCTATTACATCTGTCCACTTACAAGCTTTTTCATAAAACTGCTATGCAAGCAATAAATTATGTTTATTAGAACTATAGTACTTCCCTGGTTATATATTGAGGAATCTTTCTATCACAATGCCTAACATAAACAAGCATATTTTGTAGTTTAATTTATGATTGAAACTTAACAAATTGAAGAATTGTAAAAAGAATATATTATGTTGGAAAAGCAACAAAATTAACTTTAGACCATTGGACTCGAGGGACCATAGAGTTATAAATATAACTTAGCAAGCCCATGTCAATAATCTTTGTCCTCATAATGAAACCATGTGACTATTGGGCAAATAGATAAAGAACACTTTCAAATCCCATTTCTCCTGTGTTAGTTGAATGAAAGAAATTTTATGCTGAAATTTCTACTGAAATGTAAAGCTGAAAAGCGTTAAATATGGTAATTTATTGCTCCACATTTAGTTGCAGAGAAAAATTTTATTTCTATAATGTAGAAGGCAAAGTTTTGGCAACAATGTTGTTTCTTTCCTTCTGCGCTTATTCACATTGTATATGAAGGTTTTCGAAATAAGTTTTAAACGGTAATGTATTATTGATTAATTATGAAATATATTTTTTGACAATTTTAAAATTTTGGAGATTCATAGAAAAAACTTCTGTTACAACTTGCTTTGCTAGCGTAAATTATATGAAATCTTTTAAAACCATTTTCAAAACTTAAAAAGTCCCCTTAAGTGAGAATCAAAAATTTTTTACCATTTTAAAAACCGTACAGATATGAAAATTTTCTTACTGTCATAAAAATGTAAACAATTTGTTACAATATCTATGCATTAAAAATTTTTTTTTTTTTAATTTAGTTGCGGCTTGACGAAAAATTATCCAATATTTCACTGTATCGCTAATTTTAATGTTTCTAAAACTTTTAACTTTTCTCAATTGCTTGTATACAAAATAAGAAATTACCAAAAAAAGAGAATTCCTCTGAGCTGTCACATGACCCTTCTCTCTCTGACAAAATTGCTGAATTAGAGGGAGCAAGTGATTGTTGAAACTCTGATGTTTGGGACTAAGAAAGATGGGGAAATATAACAGCGGGCTTTCTCTATTTGTATTTTTGCTCTATTGGTGGAACCACTTAAAATTTCTCCAACATCAAATAAATTATCTGTGGTTACCCAAACCAGCAATTGATAACTTTAAAAATACTAATTAGGTCATGTATTCTTTTGATGATACAACAATAACGCTAATTATTCAGATAACCTGTCATGATAATTAAAATTAACCTGGCATTAATAAATAATTAAGTTATAGAATGCGGAATAAACTAACTCTTTGGATTAGAGCTCTAAGCTAGCAAACATCGATGTTATCATTAAATTGTTTAACTAAACTGAATTGTTTATAATTTACTTCAAAACAATGGATTCAGCTAAATCAATGAGAAAATTCCATTTTTAAATGTCTCTGAATAAAAAATATAATCAAAAAATCCAAAATCTGCCTTTGTAATCTGTTTACAATTGCACTTTTAATTTCATGTTGAATGTCGTAGTTTTAGAGCCTGCGGTTTGCCCACAATTGGGTTTGCAGACATACACAAATTCGTTATTTTATTATATGTATAGATAAAAAATTATCTTTTAAATTTATTACAAGTCATTTTCTTCAAATTGAATAATCGGGGTGAATCTTTGTGGTGACGTACCTAAACTATATAACAGCATGTTGTTTCTAGTTCCCGATTGTTAGCAAAGCTAAATCAAAACCACCAGCAATACTGAGCAAATCTAAAAAAAGATCTACTCTAGAAAGACCAAGGCTGTCGGGGATATGGTCCGGTGTAGGTTGACAGTTTTAAAACATGTTGGGAAAACCTTTATTTTGTTTTTGTATCTCATACATTACAGATGATCACTGCAAAAATGAGAAATGACAGTCTGCTCTTTCTGTTGCACTGAAGGGACAGGGAACCACCATGGCGACTACTCTGATACCAGTGGTGAACAGGAGGTACAGCGGGACTGTGTAGAATACAATAAAGCGAGAATACACTTCTGGAAAAATTGAAACAAGAGCAGAACTGTGCCACTTTTAGCAAAGGATTCAGCAGACTCATTGCCAGAAATGTCAACATGGAAAGGGATCCACTGCAAGTGGATTTCCCTAAAGATGGAAAGACTTTTCAGCTTACTCAGAATAACCATGCCACAGTGCCGGATTACCTATTAGGCCAGACTAGGCCATTGCCTAGGGCCTCCTTAAAATGGATTTTTTGAAAATAAATTTAAAAAAATTTATGATTCTTAAAAATAAAAAAATCAATTTCAAATATATATTAATAAAATACGATAATTTTTTTACGTTATGTTAATCATATTTATTTATTACTTATTTTAGTTTTGACTTAGAAGTATTATTTTAGTTTATGTATTACAAGATTTTCTAATGTTTTTCAAGTTCGAATTTGTCATTCGAAACAAATCAAGAATGAGCAAAGAAGCATCATGTTTCAAAAGCAATTAGACATGCTAAGTTTGATGTTTATCAAATCGGATGTTCTCCTAGAAATTAATATTGATAAAATTATAGATGAGTTCATTGATAGCAAGAGCAGAAAAAAAGATTTTTGAATACCAATTTTATAGTAGCGTTAATTTTGTAAAGTGTTAACAAATTTTTTCAAAATTTTATTATTTTTTAGTTCTAATTTAACAAAATAAAGTAAAATTTAATTTATTATTATTTATTTTTATATTAAATATGCTTTCATAAATGAAAAGATATATAAATAATTTCATATTTGAATAAATAAAAAATATACGAAAAAAAAATTAATCTAAGGGCCCCAAAAATTTGAATGGCCTAGGGCCCCGCGTACGCTTAATTCAGCATTGCCATGCCAAAATTGTCCTCCACATCATGCCAATTTGAAAGATGTTGGATGGTAATAGGACATTACATGAAACACATATAATGAAAATGACAAGTAAAAAATGTATTTTAATGTTTAATGAAAAATAAAATTTTTAAATCCAACCTTAATACTTAAATACATACATATTAGTAATTTTTTTATACACAATTATAAACTGAAACTATTTTTGTTAATTTACCCAAATTTAGCAATTCTGTATGCTTCTTGGATATATTCCTTCAAATTAGTTCCCATGAGAGATAAACAAAACACAACAACATCAACACTTTCATTTGATAAAGGAACCTAAAAAAACAGAAAATATAATTACCACTTTAAGATTATACTCCGAGTTAAAACACTTTCAAGTGAGGAAAAAAATTGACTAAAGATTCTTTGATTCAAAATATAAAATGTTTTAATAATTCTATTCCATATTTAAAAAAATTCTAATAGTTCAGTTAGTGATTTCTCTAGCATCCAGTTTCTTTTTTCAAAAATTCTAATATTAATTAGTTAATGATCTTTATAGTATCTCACCAGTTCCTAATTTTGAAAGTCTATTCTAATTTATTCTGTTTTTTATCCCCCTTTTTTTATTATATTGTTCAAACTTGTTCCTGTTTCTATTGGATAAACCACTTTTTAATTCTTTCTTTATTTCTCTAACATTATTTCTTGTGTTTAAGCATGGAGGAAGGGTCTTGTTTATACAACCGAAACTATACTATGTCCCTTTCTGTATTTTTATTTATGTTTCATTCACTTTTTTTTTTTTTTTTTTTGCTTAGTCTACATAGCACAAAGTAAGTTTTTAGATATCAATCTTAATTTAGAGAGGAGATGAAACATTTTAAATTAAAAATTTCATTATTTCTTAACGTAATTTTCAGTAGTTAAGGCAAACAAAAAATCAATATTTTGTAAAAAGGAAAAGAAAAGACCTACTTAGCATGACTTAAACATCCCTACTTTTAATGAAGTTATAAAAATATGTATACCATATCTATGACCAGTAATACAGGATATTTCACAAGCACAAATCCATACATTTATTAAAATTAAATAATAAACTAAATGAAATACTAAAATTAAAAACATTTACAAGAAAACTAAATGAAAAATATTTTTCATTTCTTTAAAACTGGGGAAATTAATTCGAATTTCAAATGAATCTAATAATTCAGACAGCGCATGGGAATATATTTCGTGAATACAAATCAAAATGAAGTTAATCAAAAAAAAAAAAAATTTTCATCTTCATAATTTAACATTTAAAATAAAACAAATGGTTTGTAATTTTTATCAAAATATTCAGATAAAAAAGTTCAAGTGAAAATTAAAGTAAAATTTTTTTTAAAGTAAATATAATTAGTTTCGCTACAAGTATTTGTGGAAATTCTTTTGTAAGTTTTCAATTTGGAACAATATTCAAATACCAGAAAAAGAAAATGCTATCAAGAAGATTCTCATTATCATAAATTATGAAGATAAAAAAATCAACTTGTGTTACTCTTGAAATATCTCCTTTCTTGAATCAGTTAAAAAAAATAACTAATAGTTTGAGACTAATCTTCAATTGATATGAATCCATGGAATCAACCTAAGTCCGTATGAGAATACAAGTTGATGCCTGGTCCCAAATAAATACACAAAGTAATCCAAATCGGTGAATAGATTAATATCAATTTTAGCCCCGAAGTATTAGTTACTTTTTTGAACTGATTTAAAAAAGTAGATATTTTAAGAGTGACACATATTAATTTTCATATCTTCATTTTCATATCTTCATTGAATATAATAATTTATGATAATGAGTATTTACTTGATATCATTTTTTTTTTTGTACTATTGAAATCAAATTGTATTTGAATTTTAAAACAGGACAGCCATCTACAGAAGAAATGAATAAAATCAATAAGTTATTCTTCATTTGTTTTGACGATTTACTTTTATACAAATGTGTACAAAATGTATACGTTAATTTCAAGATCCAAGCACTAAACTAATTTCAATGGGATGACAGTCCATGGAGGGCCAAGGCCTACTGTGCCCAACTCAGTTTTCTTGAGTTTCGGCTCTGGGGTGCTGGAAAATATGTTCTGGTTGGGGGGTCAGCCAAATGTAGAAACCCCAGTGTTTAGTACCCAAGCATGCATTTTATCGATCCATTGAAGGAATGAAAGGCAGAGCCTACCTAGCCCGGTCTGAGGATCGAATCCAGAACCTGTGGCACGAGAGGGCAAAAGGCTACCACTCAGCCACTGGGCGTCAGATATCCAAGTATTAGGTATTTTGAAATACTAAATACAAAATATCTGATATGTTGATACAGGTCAATCTATAACATATAGCATGAAAAGCAATTTAATTAATACAATATAAATTTCTTTCTTTTTCAAGTCAATAAAAACGAATTTGATATTATCGTAATAGTTTTAAATCACAAATAAAAATGAGAAATGAACATCTCTATTCATGCATGCCGTAAAGTATCCCAATTGAATCCAAAACATAAATGTTTTACGTGATATTTTATAACACCAGTAATTTTAAGAAGGCATAATGAATTATATATTCTAAAAAATAAAAATATATTATAAAGAATAAAAATATTACGCACACAAGCTACATAATATGTTAGCAGTTGAGATGAACAAAGTAGAAGTAAAGCTTACTTTATGTAGTAAAAAGTTTTGAGAAATGTAGTAAGAAATTTCGAGGCAAAAAGGCACTTAATAAAATATAATTGATATATGATAAAAAATTATCAAAACTCTTTATAGAATTTGAAGCATAACAATTTTTCTATATATTTCTGCTTTCATTTCTGAATACTTTATATAATCAATAAAGTTTTTATCACAACTTAAAAATATGCTTACAAAATATACTTTTAATTTAAATCAATGATTTCCTTGGGAAAAAAATTAAGTGATTCAAATTTCCCTAATCACAATGGAACAGAATTCCTAACAGTGATGCAAAACAATATTTTGTAATTTGAATAATGCTATTATTATTATTATTTTTGTAATGACTATTTATATTATTTTTCAAAATATGCTGATGTTATTGGAGTTAAAATACATTGGAATGAATTGTTCAGGTGCAATTTAGCTGTTATCAGGATCTTCATATGAATAAAGAACAAAATTGGCATTTGGTTATTTGTTTGCATATAAATAGATAAAACAAAGAAAAGAAACTCTCAAAACAGGAATAAAGTGTTCGACTGATTGCTATGAAATTCAAAAGGGAATATAATCAGCAAAACACAAGTAACATATTCATTAAATTTATTTATGATTGAAAATACAATTAAATCAGTATTTTAATATGTTCAACAATAGTTAAAGAAAAGAAACATTTTACCTTTGAAATATTACACGGAGTCACAAAATCATTCAATGCTACCAGATCAAAGCTATGAATAATGCAGCTTGAAAGAGTACGTGCAATTTTAGCATCACCACATCCCATGTCAGCTATTGTTATATTTTTCTTCCTGTTAAAACATGACAAACAAAAGTGACAAAAAATTAAAACAATAAATAAACTATCATAATATAACAAAAATTTAAACAAGGCACAATTAATATTTTTTTCTGCAATTTTTTCTAATTGAAATTATATTAAGTTCTTAAATGTAATTTTAATTAAATCAAGGAATGAAATAAATATACAGTTAAAATACAAAAATACAAGGGCCTTCTAATGTGCGACATTGAACGAATCACGAGAGATAGTGCAAAAAAATTTATTAGTTAGTATCCTACAACCTGGGTAACATCGTATATGTGTGCCAAATATTACCATGTGTTAGGTAAAAGAATGAAAAAATAGATAATTAATAAAATTATTATGCTTTTGAGATTAGAACAAGAACACTGTAAACAACATTAATGTATGAACTTTAAACAAGAAAAACAAGAGTAAGTAAAGTTCATACAGCTTAAACATTGTTTCAGGCTCTTTTTTTTAATAATTAGCATATTTTATTTAAAGCAAATTTTATACATATTTTACTTATACATAATACATAAAAATACATAGAAATAATACATTATACAAATACAAAAATTATTATTTATAAATAAAAATACATAGAGCTTTTTTTTCTAACAGCAACCACAGAACTTAACATTCTTCACTATGGAAGTTGCTGGAAATGTTGCCTATTTTGTGTTGCCTGATGAGTATCTTGTGGTCAAAGCCACGAAGGCGAGAAAATTCCCATAATGCAGATACCCGTTCATAGGGTGGGCCACATTCACATATAACAGATGAGAACACACTGGGGAAAACATTCATGCCCTGAGCGGGATTCAAGCCCACAGCCATTGGCTTCGCAGTCAGGCACGCTAACCACTTGGTTAATTTTTCAGAACTAATCATGTGGATTACAAATTTAAACTTTATGCAATAAAAAGGTATTTTCCTATCAATTTTTTTTTATTAACTTGCATTAAAACAGGTTTGATTGAATAAAATTAGCACATTTAACATCTGACTTAAAATACTACATGCTATGTGTTAGATCTGAAAAATTATTATTTATAAAAAAACAATAAATTAAATTCTATTTTTAAATAAAAAGTTTTTGATGTTACAGCTTAATCTACGGTTAAAATGGTTGAAAACTGACGAAGTGAAGCATTTAAAAACCTGCCTACCCTGAGGTAAAGTTAACAAGTTTTTTTTATTTATTAATTTTTTTACCTGAAGCGTGTGATACAGATACGAGGGTGTTTCGAAAAGTAAAGATACACCATACGCCAGAGGAAAAGAAAAGTTTTGGCGAGCAAGTTGGCAACACAGGTTTTAACCTTGAACCGTTAGCTTTCTCCTCACGGTCGTTTGGCATTTCAACGTTGATTCTGGTTGGAGTAGGTCGTATTTAAAATGACTGCGGCAATTCAGAATCCCGCCAAATGCGAAGTGCGCTCCGTCATACGTTTTCTTCATGCAAAAGGTCAGAGACCAGCGGATATTCATAAAGAAATTGTTTCTGTTTATGGGAACGTTATGAATAGACAAAATGTAACTAAGTGGTGTCGTCATCTCTCTGAAGGTAGGACCGATATTCATGATGAACAAAGAACAGGTCAGCCATCTGTGATGCCCTTCTTCAGAGAACGGAGGAAGCAATTCGTGGAAATAGACGTCTCAAATTGAAAGAATTGCGTCAGATCATACCGGAAGTGTCAATGACAACTCTTTGTGAAGTTGTGACTGTCAAGTTAGGGTACAGGAAATTGTGTGCGCGCTGGGTTCCAAAAATGTTAACAGAAGAACACAAAAAGAAAAGGATGGGCTTTGCACTCGACTTCCTCACACGCTACGCAAAAGCAGGTGATGAGTTTCTTGATCACATTGTGACAGGTGACGAGACGTGAGTTTAGCACCATACACCTGAATCCAAACAACAATCAATGCAATGGCGCCATTCGAATTCCCCCAAAGCCAAGAAATTCAAAACTTCGATTTCAGCAAAAAAAATCATGGCTTCTGCATTTTGGGACAGACAAGGCATTCTTCTGTTGGAATTTATGCCTCCCGGAACGACAATTAATGCTGCTGCATATTGCCAGACTTTGAAACGTATTCGAAGGGCAATTCAAAACAAACGCAGGGGAATGCTGACAAATGGAGTCCGCTTGCTTCATGACAACGCTCGGCCTCACACAGTGCTTGTAACCAAAGCACTACTCAAACAATTCAAATGGCAAGTATTGGACTATACGCCATACAGCCCGGACCTTGCGCCCAGCGACTTCCATTTATTCCTTTACCTGAAGTCACATCTTGGTGGAAAATCATTCCACGACGATGATGAGATCAAAGATGAAGTTGTAATGTGGTTCTGACAACAGGCGGCAATCTTCTATGACTGTGGGATACAAAAGCTTGTGCACCGACTTAACAAAGGTTTGGATAACGAGGGTGATTATGTCGAAAAATAATAAATAATTGAGTCAATAAGATGTAACTGACGTTTTCTAAATAAATGTTTTTTTTTTTAAGGAATGCGATCCATTGTACCTTTACTTTTCGAAACACCCTCATAATTGTTAAAATTTGAGGAGCTATACGGCAATTTGAGTCGACCTATTTTCTAATATTTGAACCGTATAATTTTCATAATAGTTAGAAATTATAGGAAAATGATGCTATACATTTTTTTTAGCAAACAAGCCCAGACTCAGCTTAGCTCATCTCTACCATGCCTCTTCCCTTATGGTATAATAGGGTCCATCTTTTAAGAGCCTGCCAAGTGACCAAGAGGTTAGTGTACCTGACTGTAAAGCTAATAACTGTGGGGTCGAATCCCGCGCAGGGCACGGATATTTCTCTCTGAGTGTTGTTCTCTGTTGTGTGTGATGCATGAATGTGGTCCAGCCTATGAACCGGTATCTGTGGCAGTGTGGCAAAGATAATGTTGCTTGGTTCATAGGTGCACGCTGGTTAAGGTTAAATGAGCAACACTTCCGGCATCTTCTGAGGCGAAGAACGTAAGTTCAGTACCTGTCGTTAAAAAAAAATCACATTTTAAGAAAATTGCCATAGTTATTTTATATGATAACTTGAGTAACAAGATCAAATTAAGTTTTGCTTAAAGGATTTACAACTTTGGATTTACATTTACTAGAATAAAAAGTAATAATCTTACTTACATTTTCTGCAAAGAACTAATTATTTTATCCACAGGATTCAAAGGCCATTTAGAAACTTGCAAACTATATCCTTTATGATAATCCATATATTCCTCTCTATTCTTTTGAAAATAATTGAAAGAATCTTTCCCACTTTCTGTGTAAAGCTTTTCATTTAGGTATCTGAATTTTGCTCCTTGAAGTTTCTCAAGAGCCTTATTTTTTAAATTGGATGCAACACTTTGTGAAATCACTTTTCCATCTTTATTTGCTAAACTAACCTTCTGAGTNGTCAGAGACCAGCGGATATTCACAAAGAAATTGTTTCTGTTTATGGGAACGTTATGAATAGACAAAATGTAACAAAGTGGTATCGTCATTTCTCTGAAGGTAGGACCGATATTCATGACGAACAAAGAACAGGTCAGCCATCTGTGATGCCCTTCTTCAGAGAACGGAGGAAGCAATTCGTGGAAATAGACGTCTCAAATTGAAAGAATTGCGTCAGATCATACCGGAAGTGTCAATGACAACTCTTTATGAAGTTGTGACTGTCAAGTTAGGGTACAGGAAATTGTGTGCGCGCTGGGTTCCAAAAATGCTAACAGAAGAACACAAAAAGAAAAGGATGGGCTTTGCACTCGACTTCCTCACACGCTACGCAAAAGCAGGTGATGAGTTCCTTGATCACATTGTGACAGGTGACAAAACGTGAGTTTAGCACCATACACCTGAATCCAAACAACAATCAATGCAATGGCGCCATTCGAATTCACCCAAAGCCAAGAAATTCAAAACTTCGATTTCAGCAAAAAAAATCATGGCTTCTGTATTTTGGGACAGACAAGGCATTCTTCTGTTGGAATTTATGCCTCCCAGAACGACAATTAATGCTGCTGTATATTGCCAGACTTTGAAACGTCTTCGAAGGGCAATTCGAAACAAACGCAGGGGAATGCTGACAAATGGAGTCCGCTTGCTTCATGACAACGCTCGGCCTCACACAGCGCTTGTAACCAAAGCACTACTCAAACAATTCAAATGGCAAGTATTGGACCATACGCCATACAGCCCGGACCTTGCGCCCAGCGACTTCCATTTATTCCTTCACCTGAAGTCACATCTTGGTGGAAAATCATTCCACGACGATGATGAGATCAAAGATGAAGTTGTAATGTGGTTCTGACAACAGGCGGCAACCTTCTATGACTGTGGGATACAAAAGCTTGTGCACCGACTTAACAAATGTTTGGATAACGAGGGTGATTATGTCGAAAAATAATAAATAATTGAGTTAATAAGATGTAACTGACGTTTTCTAGATAATTTTTTTTTTTTTTAAGGAATGCGATCCATTGCACCTTTACTTTTCGAAACACCCTCATAATTGTTAAAATTTGAGGAGCTATACGGCACTTTGAGTCGACCTATTTTCTAATATTTGAACCGTATAATTTTCATAATAGTTAGAAATAATAGGAAAATGATACTATAAATTTTTTTTAGCAAACAAGCCCAGACTCAGCTTAACTCATCTCTAACATGCCTCTTCCCTTATGGTATAATAGGGTCCATCTTTTAAGAGCCTGCCAAGTGACCAAGAGGTTAGTGTACCTGACTGTAAAGCTAATAACTGTGGGGTCGAATCCCGCGCAGGGCACGGATATTTCTCTCTGAGTGTTGTTCTCTGTTGTGTGTGATGCATGAATGTGGTCCAGCCTATGAACCGGTATCTGTGGCAGTGTGGCAAAGATAATGTTGCTTGGTTCATAGGTGCACGCTGGTTAAGGTTAAATGAGCAACACTTCCGGCATCTTCTGAGGCGAAGAACGTAAGTTCAGTACCTGTCGTTAAAAAAAAATCACATTTTAAGAAAATTGCCATAGTTATTTTATATGATAACTTGAGTAACAAGATCAAATTAAGTTTTGCTTAAAGGATTTACAAATTTGGATTTACATTTACTAGAATAAAAAGTAATAATCTTACTTACATTTTCTGCAAAGAACTAATTATTTTATCCACAGGATTCAAAGGCCATTTAGAAACTTGCAAACTATATCCTTTATGATAATCCATATATTCCTCTCTATTCTTTTGAAAATAATTGAAAGAATCTTTCCCACTTTCTGTGTAAAGCTTTTCATTTAGGTATCTGAATTTTGCTCCTTGAAGTTTCTCAAGAGCCTTATTTTTTAAATTGGATGCAACACTTTGTGAAATCACTTTTCCATCTTTATTTGCTAAACTAACCTTCTGAGTCCTATCAAAATCATGGGATGAGGCTGTACTTGCTGTAGCAACAACTTTTTCATTTTTATTAACTTGAGTCCTAACAAAATCGCTAGATGAGGTTGCACATGCCGTGGCAACTACTTCCTTTTTATTCAATAGAGTCCTATCAAAATATTTTATCGCTATCAATTTTTCCTTTTTATTAGAAGTTGATGCTAATTTATCTCTTGAAAAGGTTTTGGATTCTGTGTTAGAGCCATCACTATCATCTGCACATTCTTCAGACGATTCTTCATTTAAACTTACAGATTCAGTCTCAGACAATTCCTCTTCATAATTTGCAGAAGCCAATAAAGAAGGGTCATCTTTTATCAATTTCTGAATATTTTTATAAATAGAAAAGCTTTCTAATTCATTTCTTAATATTTGATCCTCATTTGAATCAGATTCACTAAAATTTTCAGTCTCTGTTTTTTGAAGAACCGAAGCTTTTTTACGGTCTTTTTTGCTTTTATTATTGAAACTGTTAGAGTCGCATGATAGGTTTTTCTTACGTTTTGGGTTTTTTGCAGAAGAAAGGTTTAAGTCTGAATGCTTCCTTTTAACTTGAATGTTTTGAGAAATTATACAATCACTAGATTTTTTTTTCAGAGAAACATTTTTCTTGATGCTTTTCACGGACTGTTTGAAACTTTTTTTAGCTTTTGTAGAAGCTAAAAACTCTTCCTCGCTATCATGCATGGTTCCTTTTTTAATGTCTGCATCAGCGCTGATCTCATTGGAAACAGTGTTAGCTATATGGCCAGAGTCCAAAATTAATTTAGAGATGTTTTTTGAATTTTTTTTCTTTTGCAAAAATAAATCCTTTTTTTCCCCTGAAATGATCCGTTTTCTTTTCTTTTTAGAACTACAAGATTTTGCATTTTCATGAGCTTCATCCAGCTTCGTATTATTCTCATAGTTTATGTGTTTTTTTCTAAATTTCATTCTCTTTCTACCTTTTTCATCCATTAGCTAAATGAGAAAACTAGTATAATTACTATTTCTTTTTTTAAAAAAAAAAAAAGAATAGAGTAAAATTTTTAAGGATAGAATAATTAAAAGAAAAAACGCTAATACCTATAAATTTAAGGATTAAAAAGACAAAAAATGTGTTGAAATAAAGAATGGATTTCTTTTTGAATAAAAAGAAATCCATTCTTTATTTCAACACATTTTTTGTTGCATACATTCTTTATTTCAACACATCTTTTCAAGACTATCTAAGTCTTGAAAAGAATTAAATTTTATTTTTCAGCCATACTAGGAGGGTTAAATGAAAAACTTTCTGTGAACAATAAATCTCAATCAAAAACCTTTCTCCACGCAATTGGTTATTTCTTGTAATCAGTTTCAACTCTTTTGTCACCACCTGATTTCGGCAAAATTCCTTTGAAAATCATGATTTTTTTAAAAAATGTTTTAATTTTTTATAAAACTCCATAAGGTCAGGTTGGTTTAAGTGGGTACATGGGAGAAAATGGGCATATATTAAAAAACATCTATTTTTTCCCTTTAAACTGGGATAATTTGTTTATAATGTTTAAAGACAATACATTTACTAGGCTTGCGGCAAGCATTTTTATTTTCATTTTAGAAACTAATAAATAGTTTAACGTTCACACACTATCTGTTTTTAATTAGCTTCAACAGTATGTAAATTTATACTGCTGGTGAACTTTCATCTATCATTAAAAGCTGGCAAATACTATTAATTTTAGATTACAGTGGCAGATGAACATCTAAAATATAAATATACATAGAAATTTTAGATAAAATTTCAAAATTCCTTTTATAATGAATTGTTTTCAGAGGTGTGGGGGGTATATGGCTAGGATTAGAATATTATGCATATATTATGTAGTATGATTAGAATATTATGTTACTTCTATTTTAACTTTAGTAAGCATCTAATGCTTTATATTTTACAATGCAACAGCTAAAAAATAATGTACTTGTTTGATTATAGCCCTACATAGTAATTTCAACACAGAAAACAAAATTTTTTTAATTTTATTTACGATAGAGAAAAAAAAAATTATAAGGGGGAAATAACAATATAACAAACATATACAATTAGAAAATTACCATAAACAGCACAACTTAGTGAGTATATTTAGAGATAAAGATGAGTTTCCATACAAGTTTCTGCTTTCATATGGTATTTTTTTCATGTAAAACAAAACAACTTCCATACATAACTAAATGGAAATTTTGATAGCCATGAACATTATCGCTTGAATTTAATACTACGAAAAAAATGATTTCTTAGCACTTTTTTTTTATATATATACTCATGATACCTTCATTTAAGAGCATTTTATCTCTAAAACAATATTTGCATAGGTTTTTCAGGAAATTTATACTAATTTTAGACTATATATATACAGAAATGTAAACTTTTAATGGACTGAACCGTATTTGTTGATGTTAAAAAATTATTACCGGAACTCAAAAGAGTGCTAGTGAAAACAATAGCATGGTTTTAGTCAGTTTTACAGTAAAAAATAATCAACATTACATTAGCTAGTATCATCCATCATCTTTACTCCTAAAAAGGTTACATTTTTTTTAGAAACATTACTAACCTGTGCGGAATTCATGTATTCCAGTGCGCAATGATTTCTCGTGGAAAAATAAGACTGAAAAATATTGAAAATCAAAGAAAGAACCAAATAAATTTGTACAAATACAATTGATTAATTGATCGTTACACGTTTGACATCATGATGGAATCATATCTCTTATGCATTTCAACTTCGCTTAAGCCTAAGCTACTAGATTTTAATTTATCCATTAAAACGTTTCATCAAACAGTAAATGTTATTTGAAAACGATTGAATAAACAACAAAAATTGACGAAATTTTAAATTTTTTTTAGTATTTAAACCAAAGACATGAGCAAATTGAAGTGGTTTCATTAGATTATACGCCTTTAACTGCCTATTTCTGTCTTTATTCCTTTTGGACATTTTGTGCCTAAAGCATCACGAGCATCACTTTCTTCTGACCTTGCTTCTTGCATAATGAGCAATCAACTAATCAATCGAATGCGACAAAAACAAAAATAAATATTAATTTTCAAGTAACTGCTCGATGGTATTTTCTCTAAGGATTATTCTAAAAAATTTCTGAACATTGTTTAGAAAAACACCTAATCTCTGTTTCCCTAAATATTTCAGACATTTTAATTTTTAGATAATTATTTTTTAATATAACATTTTACTAGTTCTTACTTTCTATGTTTTCTTCATTTATTTATTACAAAGTAACATTCCTCTATTGAGTGAAACTTACAACATCAGATGTGTCAGCAATGAGGCAGAATATGAAATTATTAACAGTAATAGTTTTTGTTTCTATAAAATAAATTATTTTGTATTGATTAAAGTTGTAAATTAGAAATGCGGTGAGATTTCCGTGATCTGTGGCAGAAAAATCGCTAAGTCTTGGCTACTTCTGGGCAAACAGCTACATTTTTTTTTTTTTTAAATTCAAGTTTAAAATCTATTTGGCAGCTTGGTGATTGTAATTGCCAGTGCTGCAAACTTTCTAGTTAAGTTTTAGCAAGTGCGCTGAAACTTAGTGTTATTTATTTCTGCTGAATCGAAGCACTGATTTGGCTATGATTTTAATTATTTTATTTTATGTGAACTAAAAATTAATTTTGCATTAATAACAGTTTTGTTTTGTTGCATGTAAAATAAAAATTTCTAAGAAAAAATATATAATATTTAAATGTTGCAAAATACTGGTTTGCTACTAATTTAAATAAATGAATAAAAAAAAAGAAGTCTAATTATAATTTGTGAAAATACAATTGTTTTATTCGAGTTGCATTACATTCGCAGAAATGTCATTTTCATGCTCTGACTGGTTCTTAGCTGTATTAATATTCATATAATTTTAAATCACGCTTCAGTAATCTCTTCTAAAAAAAATTCTAGTTTGGCAATTTGTTAGTGATAAAATTTTTGAAAAAATTAAATTTTTAGCATGTTGGTTATAGTCATAAGAACTACTTATAAATTGAAAATGTGGAATTTAGTTTGGAATTTTCGAAGGAAGATATCATTTTTTTATGAAATAATATTTTTGGGAGAATTTCAATCTCTATACATGCCACTGTGTATTCTGATTTATAGCATGCCTGCATATTCTTTAATTGGCATTACCAATAAGTAACTATATACATGTCTTAAGCACAGTTTTTTTTTTTTTTCTTCCTGATTTTCTTCTGAACATGTCTTACAGTATCCATTCTGCTGAAAATTTTTAATATGAATTTTGTTTTTATGGAACTCAACAGTTAAATAAATAGATTATGCTATACTACAGTGTTTATTGAAAAATTTCCTTATAATAGCTCTTTCAAGATTTCAGTTTAGAAAGTTAACAAATTCTCCTTTATGTATTAAAAGCTACGGGAAAAAAAAAAAGGAAAATGAAGAAGTAAAATAATGCTAATTTTCTACTACTATTGATTACATAAGTTCAAAACTTTTAAACATAAGATTTGAGTTTTTTGTCCATTTTTTATGGATAATTTCATGTTTTTTGTTTGTTATTATGTTTCATTACTTCCTTCATATCATTCATTTGTTAGTTAAATTCCACTAATTAAAAGTCAATTATATTCAGGAAAGTTTTCTACATATCCTTCTAATTTTGTTAAAATTTCTTCTAAAAATTTAATGTAATCAAGTTTATAGTTGCTCTTTTTTATTGTATTCAACAAAAATATCTATCATATTGAATAAAGTTTTTATTTTCATTTTGAAATTAACCAAGCAATTAGATAATGTACAAATTTTAATCATGCTTTATTATAACTTTTTTTGTAAACTTTCTGTTATATTTATTGCATTTTTTATGAAAGATTAATTTTCAATAAATCCGATTTTGGCTTTATAGTACTTAAAGTTATTTTTTAATATATTTAATTTAGGTAAAACAATCATCAAATTATATATTTTAAAGTATTATCAAGGCCTCCTAGAAGATGACTGAAGGAAGACAGCAACAAACTTCTAAACAACACCAATTTAAAAAACTTGCTGATGAAGACTTGGAATTATATCAACTAGCACAGCTATCTGGAATTATTATAGATCCTCATGTGTTTCAGTAAGCAATTAAATTTTGTGCTTTTATGAAAATGCTCTCTCATGGGTGTATTTTGTGTATTTATTTATTTAAAATAGCAGTTAAAACTTTCTTTTATTTCTAAAGCATAGAACAATTTCAAACTGTTGTGGAACCCTAGTTTAACATTGTCCGTTTCCGACATCTCCTATGCCCGTTTTCTATGTTATTCTTAATGTTCTACGTTATTCTTCTGAATACTAGAGAATGTACCCACTACTTATCAAGAGTTTCCAAGCATTTTTATACTTTGAATTCCTTCATCAGAAACTCTGAAACAATATTTATTAGTAAATGTAAACTGAAAAACAAAATTGCTAACTATAGTAAGAAGCAGTAAAACACTTTTTCATAGATCAATCAACATCTTAAAAAGAGCAGATGACACTATATCTTTCAAAAAAGGGTAACAATCACAAAAAAACACTTTTAAGAAATCTGAAGTAATACAAAATTAATCATTAAAAAAATCTTTTTTTTTATGAAGAAAAATAGTTTAACTAAAAAACAATTCCACAGTTAAATTTGCACTTTCTATAAATCAGTTTTAAAATGCGATTAATGCTTGGATTTTAAAATGTTCCAATTTGGAATAATAATGTATTAAAAATGGTGCCAAAATGGCTGAAAAAATGCAAAGTAATTGTAATAAATAATAAAATAAAGAATAGAAGCTTCATGTAGATTAAGGATGAAATCATTGCAAATTCAACACATAAAAAAGTGATTAATGAAATACAAAATTCATTTGCCATAACATAGTATTAAAAGTATCAGAATTGGAAGAAATAAAAAGAATTGTGAAAATAGCTGAAACTTACTTATTATTCCTTACATCTCACCATCAAGTGAGAATCGTACAAATGTTGTGTGTGACATGAGTGAATGTCAACTAACTAATATTAATAATGCCCTATATCAGTGTTTCCCAAAGTGTGGTACGCGTACCCCAAGGGGTACGGGAACAGTTTAGCAGGGGTACGTGTTCTTATGCGAAATATCTTGCAACAAACGAAAATTACAAAAATTTTTATTTAAAAACAAAGCTAGCCATGAAAATTTACGATTACGTATTTTTCTATTGGATATTTTTTGCAGAGTTAACAGTTAATAATTAGTGGTGTCAACAGCCAGTTGTAATTTTTACTTTTTGTGCGATTTTTCATCGTAAAAAATTCATTCATTTTTTTATTAGGGGTACTCAGCGATACGAAAAATTTAGAAAGGGTACACAAAAGTCATAAGTTTGGGAAACACTGCCCTATATAACAACTTAATAAGTTTTCCCATCAAACTTTTATATTCCAGCATTATATATTGTTTAAAATTTTTTAATCCTTTTTGCAAATTATCTGGTATTAGTATTTATTTTAATACCTTTTCCTAACAATTTTATTTTGGAATATTCTTATAATAATTTTGCTTTTCACTGGAAATTTTGGTACCTATTATTTTGTTGTTAATAACTTTTAAGATTGTTTTTTAGCTTAGATAAATTTTATTTTTAAGTTCCAGCAATACATTACTTATATCATTAATTGATTACTGCTAAATCCAGAATTTCTCTTAAAATTTTTTTTACCTTTAACCCACTGACGGTTCTGCACGTAAAAAGTCGCAATTTAACCTGCAGTCTTCTCTGCATAGCAAAACCAGTTTTCCCATGTTAACTGATAGGGGAACTGTGTGTAGGGGAGAAACATTCTCCCAATTTTGCACATTTCCTTAACCGCCAGTGGGTTAAATCTTTATTTTCACCCTCATTAACCATTCAGGTTATCAAATTTTTCTTCCTAGCCTTCCAGTTCCAACAACAAAATTTTAAACCGCATTAATATCTTTCATTTTATGTCTTGCCAACCTAACAGTTTGGTATTTCTTAGCCAATTTAGCGCTTTGCCTCTGACAACAAATTTTTTCTACTGACTTTCCATGTAAGTTAACCAAATTAACAATTTTTCCAGAATAATTAAAACTCCTTTCATTTTTTCAAAATCTATTTGTTTTTTAGCCCCTAGCCATTTATAAATGCTTGATCAAGTAATAATATTTTCCCCATTCTTAAATTTGCCAAATTTAGCGCATAATTCTTTTTAAATTGATATTTCTGGTCAATTTTGATATCACACCCTTTGTTGTATTCAATATTAGTACCACTTGAGCTTTCTTTAATGCCTTCCAATGCTGATTGGTTTCCATCTTTCTCTTAAACAATTTTAAATACATTTTCAGTATGTGTCGTATTTTCTAGCTTTACTCCACTAGTCTGTGGTATAAGCAGTACTGAGATCCTGGCCACGACTGAAAACCTGTTCTATGTACTGTTTAACTTGTTGGTTTAAATGACAAATGGTTTGAATTTTGAAAGTAACTTTCCTTTCTATTGTTTAACATGTCTTTAGTTTTGTATAACTGTCAGCAAAATTTTTAATGTATCCTATTTCTCCATAAGAAAGAACATATCCAATTATTTCTGTGTGGTTAATCTTTTGCAAGCTGGTATTCTTTGTCAGTACTTAAGTTTGTATTATGAATTAAAAACTGGATTATGTAGTTACAGTCATCCATTTCTTCATTAGGAATATCATCTTGTTTCACCTTCTCCATTATTAGTGGTAACAGACAGGCAGCCGATTCACATTCATCAATCATCCTGTCTGATTCTGTTCAAAATTTGAATTTTATTCTTTAACCATTCGGAGACGGCTGGTACAGCAGTTGTACCCTAAGATCCTAGTTTGTCAGATTTTTTATACATAACATCTTCCAATAAAAATGAATTTCACTGTAAAATGTACAGTAGTTTTTTAAATTTTTGGGTAGCTTTTGTAGCCTGCTTATACGATCTAAGCTTATACAAAAAAAATAATAATAATAATAGTACTCATGTTTTATAGATGAGACAAAAAATTTAAAGAGATTTTATTTTACATACTGTAATTAGCTTATTTAATATTACCATTTTATTTAGAAAGTTCTTTACTCTGAAAAGTACAGTGAAATTCTAGAACTTTGGTTATTATAAATTTTTTAATTTAAATTATTTCTTACAACTTTTATATATATATTTTTTTGTATTAATTCAGAGGTCTGTCCAGACATTTTGTGAAAGGTCCGTTTTTGTAAAATTGTGAAAAAAATTACTCGTAATTTGTAAATATAAAATAAACGTTGAGTCACATTCTTTCAAAGGGTCCTGCTTTTGTGAATTTGTGCAAATAGGGTCCGTATTGCAAAAAACTTTTTCAATAAGTTTTTAAATTGTAAATCGATACAAGATTATGCTCAACACTGTAAAATTATAATTAAAAAAAATTAAATTTTCAAAAGAAAAATACATTTATCTTTTGTAGTAAAATTTGTGTACTGAAGAAACTTCCAATTTTTAAACTCGTTAAGTTTTCAAAATTTTATATTAACTCCAAATTTAAAAAGTAATTTAAATTAATGAACAAAGTAAAAGTAATTTAAATTAATTTAAATTAATGAGTAATTTAAATTAATATATACAAGATTATGCTCAGCACTGTAAAATTATAATAAAAAGAATTCAATTTTCAAAATTAAACAGCAATTGCTGCTTCTAAATTAGAGATGCAACATACAAATATTTGGTATTTAGCCTATACTGCTGAACGCAGAATATTAATTTTGGACGAATAATGAAAGAAGCGTCTGCCGAGGGCAAAACTTAATTCGTTTACATCCATCTTTCTTGTTTTCGGCCCTGGGAGGGGTTTATTCAATTAAAAAAACGATAATTAAGATAAAAAAATTTGTGAAGGGTCCGATTAAAAGGTAAATCATTTTGTGAAGGATCCATTTTTAAGTTAAAATATTTTGTGAAGGGTCCGTTTTTATGAAATGATATTTTGTGAAGGGTCCGTTAACGGACCCAAATTTCTTCTGAACAAACCCCTGTAATTGCTTTTGCTTTAGAATCAATACTTGTAAAATAGTTATTCATTGTTTTTTTTTTCATAAAAGAAATAAGTAAATAAATAATGTGTTTTTTTAAGCATTCTTTTAGAACTATTGAGATTGGATGTCTGTCCGATTGCTTTGTTTGATGTTCTGCAAGATATGAGCATGCAGTTTCAGAAGTCTTCAGTGAAAAAAAGTTCTGATAGTAAGTCATCCACCACTCACACTTCTTCTGGAAAAAAGAAACCACCTGTTGCCGCCAAACCGAAGAAAATAAAAAATTCCTATACTGAGAGTAAGCCAAACATTAAAAGTACCTAAATGTTTATTGTTGATTGTTATTATTCCAAAGTTATGAAAAATATATCAAGATATTATTTTAAAGTGCCAAAATTGTTATTTGTTAATCAAAGTTTGTTTTTCATTTTATTAAAAAGTTAATGTTCTCAATGTTTTTTAGAGCTTAGAATGTATATAATGTTTAAAGTTTCATGATTATTTTTAAGTTATTTTTATCATATTTTTTGGTTAGGTATAATGCAGTTTTTTTTTTATATAAGATGTGCTAGACAGCATATTGTGACAAATAAGTCTAGAAAACTGTTATAATTTTATCCTTCTAATTTTTTTTAAATTAATAATTTTTTTTCAAATAGTGTCACTAAATAAGTCTCCTAAATTTTTCTTTTTTATCCTTCCAAATTCTTTTGTGAAGTAATTGGAATTTTAAAAAAAATTTGAAGCTAGAATCCAAAAAAAGTCATGCTTAGTCATATGAATTTGCTTTAATGACTTACTATATTTTTTTACTTTAAAACTTTATCATGTTCCTGCATCAGATCCGTATGTTGTTCATTTATGTTACTATTTGAAGAGTAAACTTTCTTTGGAAATGAATAATTTATTGCTTTTCTTAAAATAAAGCTTAATTTTTTTCTAAAATTTTATTAAAATTGTTTGCTACTTATTTAGGATGATTGTTATCATTTGAAGGTATTGTAACTTTAGGTTTTCAAATTTTTTGGTTTTAACAATTTGAATACTTTGAACAATTTTGTTACTTTGTTTGGAGTTTTTATTATTGTTATAAGACGTTTTTTTTTTCTTGTGATAAATGCTAATTTTTTTTAATTTTTTGAAATTGTTTGTAAATTATTCAAGATATTTATTAACATTTTAAAGTAGTGTAAGATTAGAGTTCCAAATCGTCTGTATTTAATCATATGTCGTATAACTTTTGTTATTATTATTTTTGTTGTCTTTTTATTTTTATTTCTGTGATAAGTGCTAACGTTACCTGCCATTTTATTAGACATTCCTTTACTCTTTAAACTATTTGTAGTTTTATTTAGCAAATTGTTGTTTCGGCAGTATAAAATAAAGATTCTTTAACTGCAGATTGAGAGTGGTATGTTGTCTTTTCATATTTATTACCATTAATTATTTTCACGCTACTTTTATTACTGTGAGTTTCAAAAATCATGGATAATTTGAAGAATCGATTTCGTAAAAAATTTTAAAAAAAGAATGAGTTACAATTTACTACATGCTCTTTAAGAAATTAGAGAATTTATTCTCAGTATGGTTTAAAATTAGTTACAAAGTTTGTATTAAGATGATGCTGCTGACTTGCCTAAACTATAAAATTTTCTGCTACATGTCACACTATTCTGTCTGTACTATTTGCATGAGTGTCTATTCATCTTGACCTTAGACTGCACCTCATTGCTTCTGTAATTGGTGATTATTTTTTTTGGTTATCTAGATCTATACTAATGGACTATTGGCGACAGATTGGAATTCATTATTGATGATTATCCAATGCTAGTGCAAACGCATAGGTGCACTACTCTATCACTATTTAGATAAGAGGGCAGGTAGCTGTCAGTCCCCTGCATTACACCCAAGCGCTAGTGGACTTTTCTTGCTCTGAACTAAAGACATTACATTAAAATGAATTTCAAACTACTGAGATTTATGAGAGAAACTGTATTTTAATTAGACGTCCAGTCTAGCTGAATGAATCAAACCCTGGCTCAAACTGTTGTAGTTATAGGGCAAAATAAGTGGTTGCCTCTGGCTGTAGGGGACTTAATCTCCAATTGCGGTTTAAACGCATAGGTGCCTGACAGTCCCCGTCTGATGGCCACTTCTTTGTCAAAAATGAACCCTGTGTGCATTTTGCTATTTTTAAAAAAATAAATTTGGAATCACTATGAATATTTCGTAATATTCTGATAATTACTACATTTTATACCTTTTTCTAAATATTTTTTTTCATTTTGAAAATGAACGTTATAGTGTATACCATGTTTTGAAAAAACGCCTTGCATTATTAATATAAACAGTTTTTTTTTAAAATTGTTTTAAATTTTTGAAAAAGCGACCACAGTGAGAATGATACAACTGGCAAGTAGTGAAATTTCGCAATTTCGTCCTGTAATTTGTATGCAAAAACGGAACTCGCCACGTTGATTAAGTGGCCATGTAGTGGCTGTATTGGAAGAAAAAAAAATTTTTTGTTTGTTTTTCCTTAGTTAGCAATGTCAATCTTTTTTTTAAAAAAAATTTAAAATTAAGTGTAAGTAAATGCCCCAGTTTTTGAGCTGCAAACAACGAATTGTCTTAGCATTTTTTTATTTATATTGTTTGTACACTCTTTATTCATAACAAAACTTGCATTCTAGGAGTTACCAGTGTCTCCACCAATTTCAAATCGTTTGTCATTTTTGTCTCTCACAGTCTAATGCATATACTCCTGGATGCAGAAACTCTCCAGAACAACAGTAGGTGCTTCAGATTATTACAGCATCTGCTGACTATTTTTAATTTAGGCCTTTTTATTTTTTGAAGGCAAGCAAACAAACGGGAGAAAATCACTGTAACTTCTTTTTTAAACATCTCGAAACTTGCTTTAAACAAAAATTAAAAATCTGAATTGAGAGAACACAGCAAAGAACAAAAAGAGAGGAATTTTTTCAGTTCTTTGATTATAGTAGGGGTGATCGTCTTCGGGGTGTACCCCGGAATTCCTGGTTTTTCGTACCATTCCTCCAGGTCTAGAAACTAGGAGCAGGGCATGTGATTTTTTCGGAGAATTCCGCTTATCTCAAGACCACTGATTCGCGAACTTCCGCAAATCAAAACTTATAAACCGACGAAGTTTCCACCCCCAATCTAAAATGTAAAGTAACACAACTAGGTTCTACGATTTAAATTTTGAAACCTTCGCTGAATCTCGGCAGCGAGACGTTTTCATACGCGTGACTGTTTTGCAATTTTGATTTTATTATAGTGGTTTGTCGGTCCTTTTTAATGTGTGAAATTACTTCGGAATCCGTTAAGATCGCGGATTCACGTGATTTTAATATCAATCACTCGATTTTAATATCGATTTTCGTATTTACCGGAGTTAAAAGTTACTCATTGCGAATCATATTCACGCGATTTAAAAATCTTACATTTCGATTTGTGTTCACGTGATTTAAAAATCCTTATTCAGCAATTTGTATTTACACGTTTTTGAAATTAATATTGCGATTCGTATTAACTCCAATTTAAAATCCAATGTCGCTATCCGTATTCACAGGATCTAAAAATCAGGCATCGCGATTCAAAAATCCAATATTGCGATTTGTATTTTCGCGTTCTTAAATCCAATATCGTGATTAATTTGCACACGATTTTAAAACCCAGTTTCGCTATTCTTTAAGAACGAAGTTTTTTTCTAAAATTAGTTACCATACACTTTATTTATTCTTTATTAGTAGGTATTAGATATTCTTTAGTAGTAGATATCCTTTATTAGTAGGTAATTTAATTATAAATCTTAGTTCAAAAAATTATATTGAATATGAATAGTATATAAATTGGTATCTTGTTATCGAGTTATTACACAGGTTTTCAGGGTTTTTCACTTTCGCATTTATTTTTAAGACGGCATTTAAATTTTAAGGATCCAAGCAAATGTGACGCATCAGAATTCGCGATCGCAACACTCGAATACGCCATCTGGGGAAAGACCGGTTTCATGCCTTATTAGCCCTTCTCCCTTCCCTCTCCTCCTCTTTTCAGTTATATAGGAATGTACTACGATATTTTCCCTTTTCTTAATATTTTTCCTTTTTACTTAATTAAAATGTTTTTTTTTTAAATTTCCGTGATACTTTTCTTTAGAACTATGCTTAATGTAGTTTTCAGTTCCATATAGTTTTTCAAGTTAAAAGATTTTAATTTATATGAAAATCCAGAGAGAAACTAACGTACTTCCTTCCTCTATAACTTTCCACACGCTAATGGGGAAAGCATGTGAAGTGTTGCCATAGGAAAAGAGTTCTGTTCTACGCCACCTGCAGCCCATTTCGATCGCCAATAAATTTTATTTTCACAAAAATAATATGTGTGACTGCGTTGGAGTTAAACAAATTAGAATTTATGAAGATAGTCGTGCTGCAGATTCACTCCTTAAATAACACCTTTGTTTTATAGAATGATGAATTTTCTTTTCCACAAATCTTTTATTTGCTTATGGAATAAGAATTTATTTAAATAACTTGTTCTTAGTAACTTGCTTTAAATCTACAAATTTTAAAAAAAAATATGCAAAAAATTAACAAATTTCTTAATAGTATTTCGAATAAAATGTTATTTTTATGAAACTAAATCAATTGATAGAAAGAAACTAAGTTTTAATTTTATGTATCATTGCTATAGTTCGATACAACAATTCTTCAATGTTATTTGAAACACTTCAATGGTTCAAATCATCGAATTCACATGTTGTATTTTTTAATTAACTGCGGCAATGTTGTCCTTGATATCATGTCGTAATTTAGTAGTAATCGTTAAATTGTTTGTTTCTTTTGCAAATGTTTCTTTTTATTCTATTTCAATTGTGATTTGAGAAATTTACATACCTAATTATGTTTTGACAAACATAAGTTTACATTCGGTTCAGAGGTATTTTTTTTAAAAAAAAGCTTTTTGCCTCTAGTAACATTCTTTACTTTAGGAACTTCACAATGAAAGTTTTTCGTTTCAAAGTTTTGTTTGCCATTTGACTAATATTATCGATCCACATCATGCTGTTATGAAAATTAGAATAAATTCCAAAGAAAGTATTGCAAAAACGAGTTAAAATGGGAAATGAATTCTCGCCATGGGACTGAGCATCTGACCAATGGTGAAAAAGTTATCGTAAAGACTCAGATTTCCGTCTGTGAACTTCTTATTTTGGAGACAGCTCAAAATATGTGTTTACGAAAATGTGCGCAGTTCAAAATGCATGTAAAGAAAATGGGCACAGCTCAAAATGCGTGCTTATGAAAATGGACCTATTTAGGAAAATGGATCCTGTATTTGATTCCATTTTTCAAACTTTTATTAATTTTTTTTAAAGAATTTCGATTGAACTAATTTATATTTTTTAAGCCCATTTTCTTATTTAGTGCTCTGAATATGACGAGATACATCTGTAATATACCCAGCCCCTCTGACCCCGGTACGTCCGGGACTTAGCCCCGCAATGATTATGCTTAGTTTTTTAAAAAAAGTAAGTACGAAATTCCTTGTTTAGTTGTTAAATTTAGGTTGAACATTAGAAAGCCACATTTTTTTACTGTTCATTTTCTTAAACACACCTTTTGAACTGTGCCCAGAATAAAAAGTTCACCGACTATTCGCTCAAATAAATAAACAAAAATTGGCTTTATCATTTTTATAATATCCTTATTGCTAAATAATTTGAATACTTTTTATTTGTGGGTAGTAGCTTTAAAAATATTTCACTAGAGCAGTACTGAACTTTTAATCGTGGCAGTGTTTAGGGGATCAGATTTTGTCAAAGAAACAGAAAATAATTTGAAATTTTTGGCAGTGAAAAAGAGTTAAATGAAATACATAATTGATTTTCCCATTAATATACCTTACCACCCTCCACTAAGCAATGGCTTGCCTTGGAAGAAATTTCCCTTGTGAAGCAAAGGCTCTCTAAATTTTCCAACTTGTGTCACGCTTAGGAAATTTAAATTTGTCTCAGGGCACTTTAGCTACATAATATTTGCCCGCAGTACCAAAATTAATACATACGTATGAGGCATAGGGTCTCCAGCGGATGACTGATGGTTATTAAAAATAAAATTTTTGACTTAAAAGTGACAGGGAATGAAACAAATGGCATGTTTATTATGAAAGCTATAAAGATTTTATACGGAAATTTTGAAAATTAGTTTCAATGGTTGCCGACAGATAGTACTGCAAGTCGTCGACTATCAGTTTTAACGTTAAAACGTGAGAGTAGTTTGCCATTACAGGATTAGGGGGTTTAAGTCGGATATTTTATTGAACAACGAGTATTTCAAGAACTGGAATATCGCAGTTTGATTACGATACTACGGCTACTTTGTATTCTTTTAAAAAATTCTTTTCAGCTTATAGCGCCATCTGCTGGCAACTTTTGTTACAGCTTTCACAATAGACATCGTATAGTTTCATTCTTTTATTATCTTTTGTTTACAAGTTTTTTTAATTTTGCAATCAGTCAGTCAGCCGCTTCGTCATTACCCTGTATGTTTCATATGTATGTGACTATAATACAGAAATTATGGAAGTAGGTTGTGGGAATATAAATATCCTTATATGCAGCTCATGCTTAAAATCCACTTGAGCTCTTTTATTGAGATTATTAGGATGGTTTTTATAATAATATATAAGTATTAAACATAATGGTTCTTTTGTACACTGGTGACCAGTATAGTAGTTGTATTAAATTTTTTAAAAATTCTTTAAATATTGGAGAAAAAAAACATAAAACGAAAGCCTATGAAGTTCTATAAATTTTGTTCTTGAAATTTAATGATTAATTAACAAATTGATAAAATATTACAGTAAAAAAAATAATTTATTCTTTTTTACAAAAATAATTTATTGAAAATAATACAAATGATTATTAGAGGTGTTGTAAAAATGCTTTTTAAATACAATACATAATATTTAAGTACAAATTTCTTTTAAAAAATAGTTGTGGTTAAAGAAGACATATATGCATTTTTAAGATGCTAAGATTTCAGAGAAGCAATAAGTGGTCCTTCTTCATATAACCTATGGTAAATCTGTTCAAATCGCTTGCGTGCAATGTTTCGTTTAATTTTGAAAGTCGGCGTCAATAAATCATTCTCGATGGTTAAAGGCTCTGAAAGGAAAGCTATGTTTCTTGCCTGAAAAATCAAGGGAGGTTTATTCAATGTTATTGGGCACTCGAAATCGTTATCGGAAAGAAGAAATTGAACGAGACTTACTTGCTCTAATGAATTCAGATGTTTTTCATTCCCATAATGGTGCAATTCTAACAGGAAATCTTTTCTTATTTCCTAACAGAAATCAACATAGTTACTTTTTTAGACAGACTTTGTCAGTTGATGTTCAGATAATTCAATTTGAGCTGTAAATTATCAAAATCTGATAATGTTCTGATCAATGCATATGAGTCCGTCTTTCTAGTAAGAATTATTTTTCTTATATAAATATAAAAAAAAAGAATTTATGATTGATTATGTGACTTTATAATCATAAAATTCAGTTATTACTAAAAGTATGGTTCAATGTCACCAACAGAACACTTATATTGCAAAGAAATAATTTTGTCATGTACATAGTAATTAATTCGTCATGTAAAGAACTGGAAAACAATTGCTGGGAGAAGGACAGAATGGGAAAAGCTTCTGAGGAAGGCCCAGGCTCACAAAGGGCTGTCGTGCCACTGCTGATGATGACAATTAATATATTTCCCTTCTTCATTTGACATTTTTAAATCTTAGCGAGCTATGTAAAAAAATTTCCGGAGTTAAATTTTTTTTCTTCCTTTTTTGAATCTAAGGAAAATCTTTAAAACAGAACTATAATATATATGCATTTATGAAGGTTACTCAAATTAAAAACGGACTAGTGTGATAGTATCAGAAATATAGTAACGATAACATCACGGGTAACTGTATTGCACCATTGCTGAACTCGGACAACGGAACGCAACTCATCTATTACTTCTAATTAGAAAGATTTTGCATAGCGTTTGTCTTACTTTAACCGTAACGCTCAATATTTTTTTTTACCTCTCAGCGATTCAGTGATAGCCGATATAATGAAAAATGTCCGCACATGCGTTGTGATGCTCAAATAATGTTAGCGTTTGAGTTACGAGGAAGCGTAACGTTTTGCAAAATTTTTTCATCAAAAATTATGAACCACCGGGAAATCATGACATTTGCTTGCCCCGGGTAGAGACAAATCATATATTGACGTACGCAGTTCAGGAAAACTTTTACCTAGGTTTTGTACCAAAGTTCACTATAAATAATTGACAGTAAATATATCAATGTTACCCTTACCTTCTACCTCTAAAGACTTCTCTGTAATGGAGATATCCATCCCCGTTAGACTTTACATTCACTTTTTGTGCTCCCATGTGACCAGGTTAAAATCGGTTACATGCAACTTACAGTACATTTAGTTCAAAAACCTTAATTTTTAACTCTGAAAGGTAGCGTTGTTATCTTTTACTATATTTCTTACTCCATTATGTGCCGTCATTTATTACTTTTTATTCAGGGTGTTCCGTAATAGTAACCTTTAATTCTTACATTTGGAGACCAATGAAAAAAAAAACTATGCCCGTTAGGGGTTCACAAATCAGGCAGAAAAACGTTTCCTAGTGTGACGCTAGAAGATGCTTTAACCCTTCGACTACTAACGGAACTCATTTGTCCCAACAAATGTTTAAAAATTACTAATGGACATATATATCCCACCATTAAGTACGACCGGGACATATATGTCCTGGTCTCTAAATTGATAACCGCTTGCGATCCCAAATACTAAATTTGCTAAATCCCAAGTACTAAATTTGCCTTATTTGAGACCTATTTTGTCCTTTTGAATAATAAACGGGACAAAAAAAATCATTTTTTAAAATTCGTAGTCAAAGGGAAGAAAATGGATTCAAATAATTTTAATCCCTTGTTGCAGTCACTGACTTCAATAATGATTGATCAAGATTTAAAAGCTTTTTTTTTCTGTTTTTCTTTCTTGTTTAAATATTAGTGAGAAACTTCTAATATGTCTTTTTTTTTCCTTTCTTTTTTTTTTTTGACAACAATACTAATATAACTTTATTGGGAACAAAAACAAACGCATAAATACAAGGAATATATATATATTCGTCGTCAAGAGGAAAATCCTGTTCAGACGACAAAGAAAAGTAATACAATAAATTTAATTTAGAAATTAGGGGGGGATATTACAATTATGAATTATTTTACNTGGAAAAAAATAAAAAATTTAGAAATTTAAAAAAAAAAAAAGAAAAAAAAGGGGGGGGGGATATTACAATCATGAATAATTTTGCTCATAATTCATGATTGTAATATCCTAAAAGCATTATTTTTTTAACAGGGATTCTTAAAATATGTTGCAAAAGATTTTATTATATATTTTTAGAATTGAAAAACATTACGCCAACAAATTTGAAATTTAAAAGGGATTGCAAAATACCTAAAAGCATTATTAATTACTTTTAGCTTACAATGGTGACATTTTTAAAACTTTTATGTTGGAAAACTACCTTAAAAAAAACGATATGTACCTTATAATTGAAAATGTATTTAACCAATAATGGTGTGGTACAAAAATTAACCAATAGTTCCTCCTTAAAATAAACCAATAATAGTGTGGTACAAAAATTATAAAAAAATTGTTAATGTATCTGAAATTTAGAAAATAGGATTTTTCCTGATGTTGAGGATGTTCAAAAAAAAATATTTTGTTTACTTAAAGCTACTTTATTATCACCTTATTATAATTAGCATATTTAAGGTAGTTTACAAGATAACTTAGTCATAACTTAGTATTTGAAAATATGATAATAAGATTCTTTTTTTTCTTATAATTTGATAATTGTGCAAGTTAGTTTTAAATAATATACATACTTTGCTCGATAAAACTTCGGCCATGTTTTCAATTTTTGTATAGCCTTTGGATGCCAACCATTTCTTGAATGCTGTTGGTTCTGGAAGTACTAGTGCTATAGCGTAATCCTGAAAGAAATATTCCGAAACGTTTTAGCACTTTCAAAAGGAGAGAGTTAAAACAATGAGATAACTGGAAGTGTTTATAGTTAGTCTAACATATACTTCTATCATTGGGTCTGTTTCGTGAGAAACTTTTGGAGCCCTCTCCGAATTTCCTCAACTTTTGAGAATTTTATCTTTATCGGTTAACGGTTATTAATCGGCGTTTTTTATTTAATAATAATTATTCAATTAATATTTTAAATATTTCTTTCAGAAAATTAGACTGCCATAAAAAAAAAGGTTAAAATTTTAAGAAATAATAAAATACCATTTACGATTTTAACTAACTTAGGGGACCGGAATAACCTGGTCGGTAGGGCGCTGGGTCCATGTCGGAGAGTTCGTGGGTTCGAACCGCGCTGGCCGAAGCCTCCCCGTGTAGTAAAGTGACTGCTGCACGTTAAATCTGTCGAGTTACAAAAGTCATCCATGTTCCCATAACAAATCAAACCTCTGGGGGTACTGAATTGGAGATCGATCGTTCTCTGATTCAGGTCAAAATTACGATCTGTGGATGAATGAATGGATGTATGAATGGGTCCGCCCTATAAACGGGTGCGACGTATGGTGTGGCAGAAGTCGAATTCTTGGCCATAGATGGTGCCACTGAAAAACAGAAACAATCGCACCCCTTCTGCCTAAACAGGAATTCGTCAACAACGACAACTAACTTAGGGAACATTCTTACTGAATGAGGGTTGTTCTTCCTACTCTAAATTCACCAATTAAATTCTTGATTTCTAAATGTCTATTTTATATGAATTTTTATTTGCATGAAAAAGTGACAAAATATTGTCAGTGCAGCGTTAGAAAATATTTTGCATCAAAATGAAAAGTTTGATTTTAAAGCATTTGAATTCTACGCAAAATCGTTTATTTATAACAAAAAGAGAGATAGAATATCTGCACTCTTTCATTAAGATGAAAGTCGATTAAACTTCGTTGTTTGTTTTCGAATGGTATCGTTGAAACAGTTTAGTGTGGGTTCCAAAAGCTCCGCGCCTGGAAACTGACCCTATACCAAATTTTGGTAATTAATTTGATAGATTTAAGACATAATCTCATATAATTTGATAGATTTAAAACATAATCTTTGATACTTTGATAGATTTAAAACATAATTATAAGCAGCAGAAAAGATGAGAAAAATAATTCTAATTATTATTTTTTTCGAAGTAAAGTCTAGACTCTTAATTAGAACCACCTTGTGGTACGAATTATTCTTTAATGAGGCAACTACAATGTGTCAGACAACATACATTTTACAATTAAAATTAATAAAGTTGAAATTGACTGTTAAACTCTATTAAAAGGGACTATTTAAATTATTAATTTATTAAACTCTTAAATTGTGCATTTTTCAATCCACAAATTCCTGTTATTTAACAAATGATGTTTTAAAAAGAAATCAGGAAAATTATTAATGTTAATCAACCCTATCCTCCAATATATTAGACATTAGGTACAATTTTTTCACTGAAAAAAGTAATGTTCTACTATTTTTTATTTGTTTAGATGCTTAAAAACAAGAGCTATTGTCTTTGCAAAAATATAATTGCGTTTATCTTCGTTGGTAGGAGTTTTAAATTAGCGAAAAATAACAAGAAAGTGTGGTAATTTGATTCAAATAACTTTTCAGACAGTTTATGGCATATAAATTTCTTATTATTAGGAGTCTAATGAATTATATTTCATGACCGAAATATAAAGCTATAAAAATGTCTTACAATATATAAAAAGTGCTAAAAACTAAAATGTATCTTCTTTTGTTTAATGTAATAATTGAAAATAAACTTTTTTTTAAAAAATTGAGTTTAATTAATTGGATATTTTATCACATTTATTAGTTAACTTTCTTCAAATCCACATATTTCTAAGTAAGAATCAGATTTCTTGCCATTATTTAACGCACTCGGTTTCAGGTTGTTAAACACAATCCCTCGCAGACATGCCTATTCTAAGCTTTAACCCCTTAATGATCGGTAAATTTTCAAGAAAACTGTCATAAAAGTGCCTATTTTTTTGACTTTTGCATTTGTATTACGTATTTGATTAGTGCTGACACCTAGTTTAAATTACACTAATTATCTACAATTTCCTTAAAAATATCCTGGTACTGCCTTCTGGTGTGTAAAATGAGAAATAAAATGTTTTCCGGGCAGAAGAAATTAATTCTTTTTATTCTTATTGGCGCGTTACTACTGAAAACTCCAGCTCGTCAATATCACGGGATCGAGAAATAGAGGGCGAAACCTCACCCCGTCTTTTTTACGGGAGCGAGAAGGAAGGGGTTAACCAACACTTATAATATAGTAAAAATAAAAAAGAGTTTTGTCAAATTTATCACTAAGCATTTTATTTTAGTTATAAGAAAATGGATAAGTTTTAAATACCTTTTCTGGGATTCCATCAACGAGTATCTGAAGAACCAAGTTGCAATAAATGTATACATTTTCAATTTTTTCTGGTGCTATGTACTCTCCCTAGAACATGAATTAAATCGATTTAGAAATGCACAATTTAAAAATAAAACGAATAAAATATTTTGTCAATGAAAATACGCCAAATATGCAGGGTGTTTCGTTAAGACCACCCTTAATATATATTAGGGTGATTCGGCATAAATCTCGCAATGTCATGTCTAAACAGAATATCACATGATTTGCTTGAGATAGAAAGTTTTTTTTTTAGGTTTAATTTTCCTAATGCATTTCCATGCATACGCAAAATATTATTGACTTACAATTTCCTAAAACAATTTTTAAGGGCCGGGATAGCCCGGTCGGTAGAGCGCTGGACCCATGTCCGAGAGTTTGTGGGTTCGAATCCCATCGGCCGAAGACTCCCGTGTAGTAAAGTGACTGATGCACGTTAAATCTGTCGAGTCGCAAAAGTCCTCCATGTTCCCATAACAAATCAAAACCTCTGGGGATACTGGATTAGAGATCGATCGTTCTCTAATTCAGGTCAAAAATTACGATCTGTGGATGAATCAATGGGTTCGCCCTACAAACGGGTGCGACGTATGGTGTGGCAGAAGTCGAATTCTTGGCCATAGATGGCACCACTGAAAAACAAGAAAAATCGCACCCCTTCTGCCTAAACAGGCATACGTCAACAGCAAACAATTTTTGAAGTCACTTAAGAGTCTCTCTCCTGGTCTGTCCGAAACCTTTTCCTAAACTTATTTAATTTTTGAAAAATTTTTACACCAACATTTCAATAGTTAAAATATTTTAAACCTGATTTTTCGTTTAGACCGGGCTAACATAAACTCCGAAACTGAGGAGGTTTAAACTACCGAGTTTAGACTGCGTTCTGACAATTCAGCCCATATGCTAAAAATAATATTTTTTGAAATTGCTTAGTCATTTTACTCACCAAGTTGTAATATAAAGACACCGTCAACCATATATAGTTAGCACAATATATATATTTTTAAAAAAGAACATTAAAAATGTAATTTACCTGCGAAAGTTTGAATAGATGTTTTTTTCTGTCTATAATTTTCAAAGCTCCATTCTGTAAGAATGAATTGAAACTGTAAGTGATTGAAATATATATATATGTCACAGCGAAGCTACAAGAAACTGAAAACTGTAACATCAAGTATTTAAAACAGTCAAAAGCATGCAAATTTATGCATGCATACATGTGATTTTTTTTTAAAGCGAAAAAATCGTGTGAGTAAATATATTTCACCAACCTGGTTCTCTTTCGCATGCAAAAACGTATCGCATCCAGTGAAAATAGTCCTTAAAGGAAACAGTTCCAACATACCCACACTATTTGAAGTGCCATTTTTTTTCCATTTAGACGCGTCTTTTTAATTACCACACATTAAGCTTTTAACTAAATAACATGATAGCTGAATAGTATTATCTAAGAACAACAATAGTATCAAATTTAAACGTAGGTAGTTTCCATTTAAACTTGCCTTTTCAATTATAATAAATAAAAAATTAATACACGTATTTCGATCGCATTTAGATGAGATTTATTTAATTCCTGTTGTAGGTTTCTTCTAATTCACAAATTTACAACTGTGTAAGTAAATTTTCAGAATAGCCAACTTTTATTCCATTTAGGCATCCACTTAAGCACAATTATTATTTCCTAATCAAATTTTTAAATCAAAACGCTTTCCTTGATTTTTTTCATTGTTTACTTAACGTTTTAAGTAATGGTTAAATGATTCAACAAGTAAAAAGTGCTTTTAAAAAAATATTCCATTAACAATGTTTACTTAAATGAACATTTATGGAAAGTTTTTACCGGAAGCCATTGTCCTACATCTCCAGTATGAAACCAACCATCTTTTAATGCTTCCTTCGTTGCTTCCGGATTGTCCAGATAACCTTCAAACACGTTGGGACCCTTGACGCAGATCTATAAAATGTTTCAAATGTAAAATTAATATAAAAAACATAAAATACATTATGTTAAGAACATCATCTAAGAATGATTTATAAATCTTGGAAAAATATTAAGATTTATTCTCGTAATTTTAAGAAATGTTCCTAAAAGTTACTACATTTTCAAAACGAATTTAATATTGTATATGTATATATTGAATAATTTTGGGTGAAACAAAAATAGTTTTTAATTGAACAAAAATTATTATACTCCTATTTAATAAGTTATTATTGCCCATGTCCAAGAGGTTGAAGACTCCCCGAGTAGTAAATGGTGACTGGTGCACGTTAAATTTGTCTGGTCACAAAGTCCTCCATGTTCCCATAACAATTCATACCTCTGTGGATCCTGAATTGGAGATTGGTCGTTCTCTGGTTCAGGTCTAAATTACGATCTATGGGTAAATGGATATATGGATAAGTCCGGCTTGTAAAAGGGTTGCGACGCATGTGTGTGGCAGAGTTCGAATTCTTAGTCATAGATGGCGCCACTTTAAAAGAAGAAGAAGCGTATACCCTTTGTCTTAATGGCCTACGATAGCAACGAAACATAAGTTATTATTGTTCTTTGAATATAATATGAATAAAAATACAATGGCGTGTCTTTTTGTAATTGAAGGGCTCAGGGCAACAAGCCATATCTCCTAACAAAGTGGTACTTTTTGCACCAAATTGCTTGTATACGTACTGGGAACTTTACTCTTTTCTGAAACTGCTACTAGATAACAGTGCAATACATAAAAGCATCAAGTAGAAAAGGTCGTTGTTGTGGAATGTAACAGTCAAAAGTAGGCTTAATTTTTTAGTAAATTTATATCTTTTGATCTTGTGCGTAGCGACGAAGCTGCGAGCTTATATTATGGAAAGACGAATAAGAAAATTGTCTAGATTTGCCGACTGTTAGACAAAGTGCCCCGAATTTCCAAATAGTAATTTCTATAGCTAAAAACATACACGATGTCGAGAGGTGAAGTGACTGATTTCAAAATTTAAATTGTTCGGAAATAGAAGAATGGAACGAACGTTGCGTTTATTGGGAGAAAGAAGTAAAAATTATTAGCAGAAGTTTTGCAATTTAGATACAAAAGTCTCTCCAACAGAAGTCACTACAACCAGAGAGATCAGTTTTAGCGCTGAAACGTGAAAGGTGAGATTGTCGTATCAGATAAATTGGTAGAAATTGAAAACCATGTACGTTTCTTATACTGCTGGAATATCACAGATTAGAATGCAATCCTACGACATTTGTATTCTTTTCAAGAACTCTATACAGCGTATAATGCCATCTGTTGGCAACTTTTGTATTGAAATTCCAAAACTTCCGCATAAACTTTTCACAGCTTTTGCAATAAACCTACTTCACTCTTCCATCATCCTTATATCCGAGATTTTTAATTTTGAAATCCGACAGTCCATTGCTAGCAGCTTCCTGTGATCGTTCCGTTTTATAGTTAATGAAATAAAAAGTGAATAAATTAAATAATAAGTAGCTGTTAATTACTTCACCAGTATCATCTTTAGAATAATATCCCATTTCTGGCACATCCACCAACTTCACGTGGTTGCAAACCATCGGGCATCCAATATAACCTGTATGTGGGTAAAGGCAATGAGTAAAGAAAAAATAAAGAGACTCGTTGATAACAGATATCTCTAATAACGAAGGATAGATTCTTTTATTTATAAAAATTATTTAAATTATCTATTTGATTGCATTCAATACAATTCGTAAAATTATGCCACCTACGCTCGTATTCCCCTCACAGAGTAAAACCGAGTGTAACTGCGAGGGCAGAATATCATCTTTAGGTCGCTCGTTTGAGGTTTACTCTTACAAGAAGTGTAGTAAAACCTCTGATTTGCCAAGATAAATTCATGTGAATTTGTGTATAAAATAGATATATGCAGAAGCAAAACTCAGTTAAAGATGAATTTATACGCTTTGTATATAAAAAAAAAAAAAAAACAGGAAATAGTTAACACGAAGTCGAAGTTTTATTTTGCTTGAAAAACTTAGTTTTCAAAATAGCTTTATTTTATTCTCAAAATTTAAAATCTATGCAGTATAATACTTGATACTTTCTTCTTGAAGCATTATTTATTTATTTTGCTGTTGTTGAGGAAACTGGAAAATTGCATTGGTCTTGTGTTGTTAAAATTAAATAAAATAATATAGGAATGCCTTATAACTGTTTAGTAAAGTATTCAAGAAAAATTAAATCTGTGTGCTGCAAAGTCCTGATTACAACCAGCAAACGAAATAGATAAAAAATAATAAATGCGCATTTGAATATTTAAACTTTATAATTTGATATAAAGAAAGAGTCTTTTGTACACTCTTGAAGTACAGTTTACGTTTCCAGTACATATATGCTGTGCCTGATTCCAATTGACAGTCAATTTCAGATCTGACTTCTTTAATCGTTGTTTCGAGGAACCGATATCTGTCATCAACTTCTGAAATGTTATTATTTAGAGCCGTGCTATTATTGTTTTATACCCGTGGTTGAACAGCCGACCCAATTTTGAGTTTACGATTACCAATGTTCAACTTCGTATCCTTGCCATTTTGAACCCGATCCAAATGACAAGGAAACTCCTGGACTAAGTATTGGAAGAAATTTGCCTTTGCGGAGTACTTTTTGATGAAATTAACCCGCATTTGCATTACGCGGTGAGGTAAACCACGAGAACCTCCCAAGGTTAGTTTGACGGCAAGGAGGTTCTAACCCATGATCCGTCTACCACTGAAGATCAGCACTGTGGCCGGTGCGAGTATCGATGAGTCATCGCTGGGATTCGAAACCCGTTCACCTCATTGGAAGGCAACAGCTCTATCTCCTGAGCTATCACGGCTCTCTTTCAACAGTTTATATATATAACCATCTATGAACAGCTGACCCAATTTCTTTGGTTTATGACTACTAATGTTCAACTACGTAGCCTTGTAATTTTGAACCTAATCCAAAAGACAAGGAAAGTCCTGGATTAAGTATTGGGAAAATTTTTTCGTTTAGGACTTTTTGATGGAACTAACCCGTATTTGAGGCTACATGGAGAGGAAAGCCGCGAGAACCTCCTGATGGCAAGGGGACACTTACACATGATCCGTCCACCATTGAGGATATTTCTTGTCAGCACTGTGGTCGGTGCAAGCCGGATGCGGAATTTGTACCGACTGGGATTCGAACCCGGTTCACCTCATTGGAAGGCGAAAGCTCTATCCCCTGATCCATCGCGGCTCTCTTTCAACAGTTTTATAACAGTCGTTGGACAACCGACCCACTTTTATAGGTTTACAACTACTAATGTTCAACTCCGTAGCCTTGTAATTTTGAACCCAATCCAGAAGACAAGGGAACTCCTTGATAGAGTATTGGGGGAAATTTGCCTTCGTGGAGGACTTTTTGATGGAGCTAACCCGCATTTGCGTTGCATGGAGAGGAAGACCACGTGGATCCCCCACGGTTAGCCTGGCGGCAAGGGGACTCTAACCCATGATTCGTCTACCACAGAGGATATTTCACGTCAGCACTGTGGTCGGTGCAAGCCGGATGCTGAATTCGTGTCGCATGGGATTCGAATCCGGTTCGCCTCATTGGAAGGCGAACGTTCTATCCCCTGATTCATCGCGGCTCTCTTTCAACAGTTTGAACAAATTAAAGATCTTTAAATTCGAAAACAATGATAGCAGACATCCATTTTGTTTGTTTACCAGTTCGATCCACATTTAACTAACTGATACGTCCTCAAAAAGTAGAATGAACTGCAGGTCAGATTTTTCAATGAAACCCGATGTTCACCTGCGGATTTCGACAGGATAATAACGTTTCGTATTTTTCGTATCCTGAATAAATTCATACACTTTGAGGGTAGACTATATTTGAGGATGCCCTTTGATTCTCGCCAAGTTGTGATCGCGGTTGATCGCCAAGCTGGGCGATGTTGAAACCCAATAGTGATTCTGATTGGTTCAGATTTTAGCGTTATTTTTAAATGCTCAACGGTATATGTAATTTCAGAGGTCCGTTAGTTCTACGTTGGGTACCGGCTGGTAAGGTTACTTTTGCTTCTAGTCAATAAGATCGAAGGTATGTGGGCAGTCATAAAAAGGAACTTTAGAAAAAAATGTCACCGCCAGTCCTGTACCACAGATGCCATTTTCGATTCGTATTTCGCCGAATTTATTTGGCGATGGAGGTACACAGATTCGATTCAGGATAAATTTAGACAGTATATCTAACTGATATAAGAGAATTCTGTACACCTAAATCTAAGTATATTTAAGCTTAATGAAGAAGTTAGTTGTTTTTTTTCCTTTTCTTTCTGTGCTTTCTCCATTAATTTTTGTTTAGATTCAAAATGTATATTATTGGGTTTATAAATTTTTCTTATATTTGGTTCATTGCAATTTTATAAAGTTTTAGCCGATGTTTCGTTGAAATTTTGTAATGTTTTATTGAAATATCATTATGTTTTGGCCGCCATTCCTGTTACCACGATGCTCCGCGCAAACAGGAATGGCGCCAAACATAAGTCGTCAATTTCGCCAAGGGGCACCCTCAAGTATATTCCATTTGATTACTTGAAGATAACTCGCATTGGTGAATACGGGTGTTATAGTCATTATGCACATAATACTATGAAATATAGATAGTTTTAACTCGAATGAACTCACCTCGAGTAAGATCACGGGGTAGTTTCAAGACAGTAGCCATTATTTCAGTGCTTCCATAGCTTTCCATAACCTGAACCAGTTCAAATTTTATAAAAATTTTATTTAATTTATAATAACATACTTCGAATTATCTCATAACAGGCAAAATTAAAAATGATTTTGTAAATAATAATAATTCGGCACAATTCCTTGGTCGTTGTTGTTTATGACTTTTTATTGTTTCGTAAATTTCGTATTCCTCAGTTTAAATTTTTATTTTAAGTTCAGATGATTAATTTTTTGATCTAAATATCCTATCGTGTCGTTACGATTAATTTATCAACTTAATATGCTTACATGAAGTTATTACTGTGTAATAATTATATTGAACACATTTAATTATATATTTTCTAAACAAAATGATTTTTTTATCAACATGAAAAAAAACCAATGCTGAATGAAAGGCAATTACGGGGATTAATGTGCGGAGCTTCTTAGTTTTAATAATAAATATCTGGAATCCAAAATTCAATCGATTAGACTGGAAAAATATGCAACAAAATGAACGAAATTCAAAAGAAATAATTTGAAAATCAAATGAGTTGAAAAAATGGCAATAGAAAGCTTGTTTTAGTTGTCACAATTGTTAAATAAAGGGTATAAATTTTTTAATGGTTGCTGTTGTTATAGTTAATTTACGTCGCACTAGAGTTGCACAATGGGCTATTGGCGATGATCTGGGAAACATCCCTGAGGATAGTCCGAAGACAAGCCATCACAATTTTGATCCTCTGCAGAGGGCATGGCACCCCCGCTTCGGTAGCCCAACGACCTGCACGCGAAGTCGAGCACTTTACGGTAGAACAGTTTAACGAGTAGGACCCATATCGCACACCCTCGGTCCCTGCGCAGACTGATCCAAGTGGTCTCCCACCCGCACACTGACAGCAGCAGTGATGCTTGACTTCGGTGATCTTCTGGGAACCGTGTTTTAACGATCAGTCCACTGCGGGACTTTTTAATTGGGAATCGACCAGTATCAGGCTCAACATTTACACAACTTCAGTATTTAGATTTGGTAGTAGCATCAAATGAAACACATGGATTCACGCTGCTGATTTAAGGGTTCAGAAAAGTTTTCATCTGGTGTTATTTTTGGATAACACTTGACAATACATATATAAGTAATATAGAATGCTTCACATTCTTGTCAGACTGCCTGCGAGTATTTCTTTATTAATTCATAGCTTAAAATAGATTCTCTTATTCGTTTTAAGACGTATGAAATCGTTTTTTCACAAACAGCCGTAAAAATTTGATTTTCCAATTAAAAGAGTATTATCTGAATTTAATGGGATCTTAGTACTCATTAAGAAATTTCTCTAAAGTTCTATAACACGTATACGGCATCATCTGCTAAAACAAATCGATATGTTTTAATTCTGTCTTTTGGATGATGTTCGATTAAGGAGAAGAAAATCTCGAAACTAACTACCTTTTAGAATTCCCTAAATAAAAAGGCGGGACAACCCGAAATTGTGTGGCATTTTTATGATTAAGTTCTTGTAGAACTGAGGCCCTGATGGCCATACCCTGTTTGGGTAACCCTTTTATTAAAGAATTCGCACTGAGATGCTGAGTAAAAATTAAAAGGATATATATATATATATATATATATATATAGAGAGAGAGAGAGAGAACAGATAANCAAACACATATTTTGATATATATATATATATATATATATATATCCTGGTTGGTAGGGCGCTGGGCCCATGTTCGGGAGTTCGTGGGTTTGAACCCCACCGGCCGAAGAAGTGTAGTAAAGTGACTGATGCACATTAAATCTGTCGAGTCGCAAAAGTCCTCCATGTTCCCATAACAAATCAATACCTCTGGGGGTACTGGACTAGAGATCGATCGTTCTCTGGTTCAGGTCAAAATTACGATCTGTGGATGAATGAATGGATGTATGAATGGGTCCGCCCTATAAACGGGTGCGACGTATGGTGCGGCAGAAGTCGAATTATTGGCCATAGATGGCGCCACTGAAAAACGAGAAACTCTCACTCTGCCTCAAATTTGCTCGGTTTCATCAAGCAGGCTTGCTCGTGTGGCAAGTAGCTTTAGAAACAACAACATATATAACGCACCATTATAGTCCAATTTACTGGTATTAGGATGCAACAACATGCATAGCGATATTGGGTTGTAGTAATATTTTCCCAATATTAGTATATTTTAAGCATTAGGTACACTACGTTTCCACTGCAACAAACAGTTTAAAAGTATTACTGCTATCAACAAGAGAAAATTGCTCTTACATATGCACCAGAGGCTACGGAGAAGAAGCGCATCACGTCCTGTGGTACTGGAGCTGACGTTAAAGGTATGGCATGCAAATTTCCTCCCATTAGTGCCTGAAACTCCTTTAAAATGAATTTGTCCCAGATTGAATCATTTGTTATTTTACCTCTTGAAGTCACATGCAAAGAAAAATAAAGCAAGATTCCAGTCATTGCATTGAAAGATAAAAGAGACATTTGGGGGAAGTTTGCAATTTAAAAATCAATTTAAAGATGTTATCGAAAATTTTAAAGAGTTTTTATTTCAGGCGTGATAAAAATAAAATTATTTTTCTCCTTTTTTATCAACTTTTAAGATGTATATTTTAATCATTGATCAAATTGATGATTGTTCTGGGTACTTTCTCGTCCGGATATAATTTGACTTTATTCCTGGCAAAGCAGTAAGCATATTACCATAACTACGAAAGACTTTTTATGTTATTTCCTGACGAATTATTTGTAAATAAGCTTTATAACGCTAAATTTGATTACTTTTAAAGTGAAAAATAACATTCAATTACAACGTATTTAACTAGAATACTAACTAGTTTTTTTTTAAAAAAATAACTTCAAAATAATTCACTACGTACAATTACTACTATTCACGGGAAACTGAATGAGCAGTAAATTTATACTTGAGAATAACCTATGCTACAATCAGTATCTTTAGCATAATCCAATTACCATCCATTGTAAAAATAATAAAAATGCATCAATATAATCAGTTGTCCTCAGTACAGAAAAGTACTAAGACAACACATAATGAAATAACAATAGAACAATAATAAAAATTATTATTCCTTTATCGTCTGATGCAAGACATTTAACGAAGAAATAAAAAGACGAAAATTTTAGAGTAAGACATCAAACTATGATTAATTTTTTACGGTGTCTTTAAAATTATTTTAAAAAAAAGTAGAATTGAGGATAAACAAAATCATTTATTTTCATTTTTTTTAAGCAAATCCGCCAAAATCCAACGCAAAGGCATAAACGAGTTAAATTTGTTTGAAATCGTATATTTTTGAACATCATTGATAGAAACAAATAATTTTTTGTGAGTTACCTTTTAAGTAATTTTTCCTTTTGTCTCAAAGCTAGACGTAGTAATGCTGATTTAGTTTTGCTTTCTTTTATTTTCTTCCAAGCCTATAAACGAAAGTTATTGGTGATTCCTTCAGCCGCAAAAGTAAGTATTCAACTGCACACTAATTTTTGCGGCTGGGAATTAAAAGCAATTAAAGAATAAAGCAATAATTTAACTCCCTTTACTTAGAAATGGTCATGATATTTTTAAAGGCTTTAAAAATCAAAAGATAAAAGCCATAAGGAATTATGTTATTTATTTTAAACAAAATAAATACCGACTGTAATTTGTGGCAGTTCTTTGAAAAACGGATCATTTTGTGCTTTTTTGAATGATAGTTTAAAAAACTACTTTTTTAAAAGTTAAACAAAAAGTTTAGTTCTTTTAATATCAAATATATGGTTATCAGCTAACAAATATGCCGATTAACTGAAAAATAATAAAAAAAAATTAAAATGTTTCTTAACTCCTTCCTTCTCGCTCCCGTGAAAATGTCGGAGTGAGGTTTCGCCCTCTATTTCTCGCTTCCGTGATATTTCCGAGCTGGAGTGTTCAGTAGTAAAGCGCCAATAAGAATAAAACGAATTCATTTCTTTTGGCCGGAAAAAATTTTATTTCTCATTTTACACACCAGATGGCAGCACCAAGATATTTTTAAGGTAATTATAGATAGTTAATTTATTTTAAACTAGATGTCAGCACTAATCAGGGATGCAGGGATAAAAATAATAGGCACTTTTATGACCGTTTTCTTGGAAATTAACCGATCGTTAAGGGGTTAAGTCAAAAAGATACCCGAAATACAAATGGTAACTCTGCAAGTTATAATTCGAGAGAATTTCGAATTAAAATAAACAACAGAATTCTAAAATTTTAACTCAAGGTTTTTCAAATGTCTTAACGATTTTAAAATACAAACTTTCTCTGCTTCATTGTTGAGATTAAAAACGCTCTGTTTTCTCAAGATAACAATGCAGTATGGCATTTTCATGACATGCAGTATGATATCTGCTTCATTGTTGAGATTAAAAACGCTCTGTTTTCTCAAGATAACAATGCAGTATAGCATCTTCATGACATGCAGTATGACATCTGCTTCATTGTTGCTATTAAGAACGCGCTGTTTTCTCAAGATAACAATGCAGTATGACACCTTCATGACATGCAGTATGACATCTGCTTCATTGTTGAAATTGAAAACGGGCTGCTTTCTCAAGATAACAATGCAGTATGACATCTTCATGACATGCTGTATGACATCTGCTTCAATGTTGAGATTAAAAACGCGCTGTTTTCTCAATAAAACAATGCAGTATGACATCTTAAGAGGAAAAAACTTATTCATTCATATATAGAAGTGATAAGATTCCTTTATTTCTAGAATGAATAGATTTTGCTTAGTTTTTAAAATATAAGTCTGCCTTTGATCTTATAGATATGTCATAAAAATGCATCGATTATGCAACTTTTTCCATCTTTGATATGATATATTTTCCTCTAGATTTGTCTTACATCACGGGAGCTACCTCACTAAATGCTCAAGATATCTGTTCACAGACCGCAAAAGAAACATTGTTCAAATGGTGATTTTTATGGATCATGGAAGTGGTAGTTGTTCTACAGCTGTTTTTAAAACTGGCGCAAAATTCCCGAACTACATTATCATTACTCTAACTATCGCTTGATGTCAGTTAACTAAAAGAAAACGCGTTTGCCACTTACTTCGTCTTTTTTTTTCTACGGTATGATTTTAATAATTTTTAAGTAATTTTTACAAATAAACCGAGAATTGACATGTACTTTTGTTCCAATAATTGGACACCGTCATCTTAACTTCCATATTATTTCGCACATGGAAATGAATTTTCAATAATTATTTCTCATTTAATTTAATAATGAACAAAAAAGATTTCGAATTGTAACGTACACAAATTTTTATATAATTTAAAATCATGTAAATTCATAGCGAAATAAAAAAAAAATTGTTCAAAACTGGATGAATATTTCTTGAGAAATGAAAATTTAAATTTATGAATCTTTAAATTTATGAAATTTTAGCTCATTGTGGGCTAGGGGGGCAGGTTAAATCGGCATACTTTCGGCATGATTGTGTGCTCAATATTGCACACAATGCCACACTTACTTTTAAAAGAAGAAAAAAAGCAGGTACCCATCTATCTGAGTGGGTTTCAAGACCAGCCAGATATCCACCCAGAGACCCTCATCATTACATTAAATAATAATATTAAAAATAATTGTAAAAAAACCCATTTTGTACATGAAATTATCTGTTGATTAACTAGCTTTATAAGCATCTGACTCGCCATTTTAACTTTAGAGTTATAGAGTTATAAATTAATAATGTTTGATAGCACTCCTCTTAAAAAAAATATCACTATATTTTGCAGTTCCGGGACATCCTTATGATAATCGGGGTCGAGAACTTAAATTTCAATAAAAAAGTGATAATATTCAAAGAAAATATGATTTAGCATTACATTTCGTAATTAAAAAATTGACTGCACTAATTAATAAGCATGTTTAAAGTTAGACCTTAAAAATATATAAGATTGCATTGTAGTGGTGCAAAATATGATCGCTGAATGAAAAGCTTTTAATTTATTCTGTATTCCACAGCATGTAGTGCGACATATTATAAAACTCACCTCTGAATAAATTTTGCTCATGATTCGAGGAACGAGAGGTAGAACAGTAGGTTGAACCTCTCTCACATCTTCCATGAGATTCTGGATGACACCACCATAGAAGGCTATTCCACGGGCAAAGTACATGCTGCCCACCTTTCAAAATATACAAGTTATAAGTTACTAATACACAATTTTTAAGTTTTTCTTATAAGTAGATTTGCTGTCAATAGTTGAGACAAATTTAAAGGGTTATCGGAGGGCGGATCGGAAAATTTTTGAAACAAAAAGAGAAAAAAGAATGAAACAAAAAGAGAAAAAAGAATGAAACAAAAAGGTATGACTAATGTGAGAACTGTAAAAAGTTTGTGCAGAGATTTTTAAATTCAGCTACAAAGGTTTCCGGCAAATTGCGCTTTAAGCTATTCATGACCATGTCGTATAGGATTAGGATCTTAAAATCGTACATTCTATTGAAAGACGCGTGTTTCTGGTCCTGAATTATCACAGTTTGATAACAGTTTTACAGCATTTGTATTCTTTTCAAAAATTCTGAACTTTCGCAACAAAATTTCTGCAATAAATTTTTTCAGCTATTACAACAGACTTACTTTTCGTTTCTGTTGCCCTTTCTTTACGAGATTTTTAATTTTTAAATCAATCAGTCATCGGCTGGACACCCTGTATATATCTTACTGAATTTTAAGTTTTTTTTCTTTGGAAATAAGTACTGGGTAATCGGATAAAGGACTTTTCAAACACACGGACATAAAACATTATTTAAGCGAAACTTTAGCATTTAGTTAAATTTAAGACGAAAACTTCAACTTCAAATTATATTGAGGTTGCGGCAAATTTATGATTCCAAATGCTCCATATTTCTGACTGTATAGCAATAGTGAGCATTAATTTTAAATGTTGCTGTAGCGTAAAAGTTTGCGATAATACGGTAAATAAACGGAATCATGTTCCACTTAAGCCTTAAACACAATTACCTAAAGTTGCAACGACGTTGCACCGTGTTTTAATTCAACATTGAACTGATTTTTTCTGAGAATGTACTGCAAAGAGTAATACAGGCGAAACAAATGAGTGACTGAAGAACGATTCAAAAGATGATAAGCATTTTACATGCTTGGATGTTCCAGTAGCTAGGTCTTCAATTAAGTAAAATGGTGTCCCACAAACAATGGCTTATGCTTGCCTCTATACTAAATAATCCATTGTGGTTTAATCTGAAGATCTTTATCACCGTTGAGTTGATCCATTATGGCAAATCCGTTGTTCTTCAGAAACAGGCATCCAGAAAACCGAGAATAATCAATTACAAATAGGATGGCACAACTTCGAGACGAAACCATAGTGATTCTAGCGTCTGTAGAAATACCTTTCATCGATTAATTTTGTTAAGCCATAATCAAAAACATTGTTGAAAATGATAATTTCCAAAAAACGCACCCAACCTGACGTAAGACCAGATGGTTAAAAATGCATGCAATAATTTTCATACAATTGCATGCAACCAAAGATCATACAATTTTCACGAAAGAAAAATTTAAAATTATGTACGCTAAAAGCAACAACATATTGCAGTTTCACTTACCCAGTTGCAAAGTTCATAAGCATGAGCGGGGGGAAGGTAAGACATAATGCATCCGCCAAATGTGCCAACTTCCTGAAAATATAGAACTTTATTGGAATAGCTTTATATAACTTCCTGAAAATGTAGAACTTTATTTTTATTCAATTTAAGAAACGTGCATAAGTATGCATATATTAGGGATAATATTGATGTATGTTTGAGTAGCTAAGAGGTGAAAGTCACGGCCCTGGCGAAGCAGAAGTTCTAAGTTCTTTCCTTCCAGATGGAAGAAAATGTAAATATGCATTCACTTATTGTTTAAGCTTTTATTTATTATTTGAATGTCTTTTAGAAATTTCCGGAGAAATTACAACATTTCTTGTTCCTTATTTATTTGTATATAAGTTTATGCGTTTCAAGTAGAAACGAAGTTATCTTATTCTATGTGTGTCAGATGCGTTCAATAAATCAGTGTAATAAGTCATCTGTTTCTTTTTGCGCGACATTTGATGGAGGAGCCGGATAATCGAATCTGATCTGGTTGGTGCTTTAAGAAGAAGTCGCTGCTTAAGAGGATTGAAACCAGAATATCCAAAAATACCCGAAACAAAAGATTAAAGATCCAAGCTCAACTTCAGGAGAAACCAGTTTTTCATACATGCAAGCAGTACTGGGACCATGCCATCATGTCAACCCTAGCATGAGTTAAGCAGACAAGATTTCTCATCTTATGAAGGCCACTGCGGAAAATATTTATCAAGTTTTACTTACAAAAGGGATAACAATGATTGTTGCTATTAATAAGGAATTTTACCTAGACGTTGTACCATAAGATGTCAATCTTATGGTACAACGTCTAGGTAAAATTCCTTATTAATAGTCAACAACCGAACGCAGTGGTATGAGTTCATTGTACTGGAAAAATGTAGCCATAATGTAATTTGGGGCTCAGACTTCTTGCTGGTTATTATTGGCTGTGACCACAAGAAGTTGATGCTAGAAGATACCTGAGGCGAAAGGGTACATAAAGAACTTCAACAAAGCCGACTTTCTGAAGAATAAGATTGTGATAGGTGATATTCCTCATATGACCATTAAAAGAAGTAAAGAGGAAACAAGAATTGGGTGCAAGAAGAGCAAACGTTTGTTGGTTCAATCCTGCAGATTTCTAACACTGCAACAAAACATTGTGTTCCCATCGTCTATTATACAGAAAAATAAAGAAGGACTTTTTCGNGAAATATCTTTCATCAATTAATTTTTTTAAAGCCATGATCAAAAACGTTGTTGAAAATGATAAAAAATTTCCAAAATACGCTTCCGATCACGGATGTCGAGGCCCACTTAGTTAGATTTTACGTTACGAAAACAACTACTACTTCAACCTGACGTAAGAGCAGATGGTAAAAAATGCATGCAAAAATTTTCATACAATTGCATGCAACCAACGATCATACAATTTTCAAGAAAGAAAAACTTAAAATTATGAACGCTAAAAGCAACAACATATTGCAGTTTCACTTACCCAGTTGCAAAGTTCATAAGCATGAGCGGGGGGAAGGTAAGACATAATGCATCCGCCAAATGTGCCAACTTCCTGAAAATATAGAACTTTATTAGAATAACTTTATACTTCCTGAAAATATCGAATTTTATTATTATTCAATTTCAAAAGCGTGCATAAGTATGCATATATTAGGAATAATATTGATGCATGTTTGAGTAGCTAAGAGGTGAAAGCAGAGGTTCTGAGTTCTTTCCTCCCAGATGGAAGAAAATGTAAATCTGTGTACATTTGTTGTTTAAGCTTTTATTTACTATTTGAATGTCTTTTAGAAATTTCTAAAGACATCTATTACAACATTTCTTGTTCCTTATTTATTTGTATATAAGTTCATGCGTTTTAAGTAGAAACGAAGTTATCTTATTCCATGTATGTCAGATGTGTTCAATAAATCAGTGTAATAAGTCATCTCGAACCTGTTTCTTTTTACGCGACATTTGATGGAGGAGCCTGATAATCGAAACAGATCTGGTCGGTGATTTAAGAAGAAGTCGCTGCCTAAAAGGATTGAAGCCAGCATATCCAACAATACCCGAAACACCTGTCACTACTCTGATTGTCCAGCATATTCTATATCTTTTTCTGTAGAATCTAACCACGATCCTGGAGCATGGTTAAAAGAATATGATCGTGTCGATGGAACATGCCTTGAAAATGCTTATTTTTTTTCTAACGGGATGGCCAAGCTGTGGTTTGAAAACAATGAAAGTCTATTAACATCTTGGACAGCATTTGAAACTAAATTAAAAGAAACATTGACTGACATCTTCCAGTAAGTACACCGCACTGAAGAAGAATTAAAGATCCAAGATCAACATCAGGAGAAACCAGTCTTTCATATATGCAAGCAGTACTGGAACTATGCCATCGTGTCAACCCTAGCATGAGTGAAGCAGACTGCGGAAAATATTGATGAAGTTTTACTTACAAAAGGGGTAACAATGATTGTTGCTTTGATTGAATGCTGTGAACATATCGACGTGTGGCAGAAGCAACGTATTAATCGAAGGAAGTTTAAAACACTGTTAAATGAGAGAAGATAATTTTGACCTATTGCCAATGATATGCCAAATGGTACAGGAAGAAATTACCCAACTATTTCTTGTCCCTGTTCCAACTCATAAAAGTAGTCGATGGTAAATACGTTAATCCGATTAGACGTTGTACCATAAGATGTCAATCTTATGGTACAACGTCTAGGTGAAATTCCTTATTAATAGTCAACAACCGAACGCAGTGGCATGAATTCATTGTACTGGAGAAATATAGCCACAATGTAATTTTGGGCTGAGATTTCTTGCTGGTTATTATTGACTGTGACCACAAGAAGTTGATGCTGGAAGATACCTGGGGTGAAAGGGTACATAAGGAACTTCAACAAAACCGACTTTCTGAAGGAGAAAATTGTGATATCCCTCCTATGACCATAAAAAGAAGTAAAGAGGAAACAGGAATTGGGTGCAAGAAGAGCAAACGTTTGTTGGTTCAATCCTGCAGATTTCTAACACAGCAACAAAACATAGTGTTCCCATCGTCTATTATACAGAAAAATAAAGAAGGACTTTTTCGGAAGGTTTCTAATTTCTCTAATCACCTTATTTGTCTTCCCTAGGATATATGCATTTGACACATATACACCGAAGAGTCATTACATTATGACTACCCTGCTAATAACAAGTAGGACCACCGTAAGCCCTCAAAACTGCTAGCACCCGACGTGGCATTGATTCCACAAGGTGCTGATAGGTAGTCTGAGGTATCTGGTACCAAGCGCTCACCAACTGGTCCTGCAATTCGCTCACATTGCGAGGAGGTAGCGTGGCAGCACGAATTTGGTTTTCTAAGTAGGACCACAAATGCTCTTTTGGATTAAGGTCAGGTGAATTTGGGGGTCAAGACATGACTTAAAAGTCACTGGAATGTTCCTCGACGAATCGACCCTTTAGACATGGCGCATTATCCTGTTGGTAAACACCATCCCCCACAGAAAAAACTGTTGCCATGAATGGGTGAACCTGATCTGCAACTATGTTCAAGTAGCTTACAGACGTCAGGGATTGTTCTATGAGGATTATGGGTTCTAATGTGCCCCATGAAAACATTGTTCCTGGGTGAGAAACCATGAAAACCTGGGCTATGTATATATATATATATATACACATACATAGCAAAATTTGTTTTAAGTTGTTAATAATACAAAAATACTTTTAAAAACTAAATATCAACTTACTCCGTATGAATATACGACAGATGCCACCATAGTAATGAAATTTTTGTGGATCATCACAGCCCCTTTAGGAATGCCTAAAAAAACATTTTTTTTTAAAATAAAGCATTAATTAAATATAACTACCTAATTTTGTTATATGTTAGATATGTCAGATTTTTTCTTTGCTGTCTTGTGGTAATGACTTCTAAAGTATGGAAGAATAGAAAATAACGGAAAGTTTTAGTTTTTAATTATATGTCACTTTATAGGATAGTTTACAGAATATGGAACAGTTGGCAACTCAGTGAAACAATAATTTATTGAATGTGATAGCAACTTAGAAAATCTTATTGTTCTAAGCAGCAGGCTAGCTTCTTATAACAAATACACTTAAAAATTATTAAATAAAAATAAGGGAATTTGAAATAATTTTTATTCATTTTTTCCCGTATTAAGAACAAATATTGGGATTTAATTTTACATTACTGAGTTTTCAAATGTAATACACTTCATAAAAAGAAAAGTAAGAGAATTAAGTTTCTTGAGATGTTTTAAGAGTTTTAAAGAATAAAAAAAACATACAAAACTATGCAGGAAGTTTTGTAATGGTCACATTATTTCAACCTTTCAGGAAAAGTGATCTGATCTGGAAACTGTCTCAGTTGCTTTAGACCAGTGCTCCCCACAACCTTTTTATCGCCAAGGACTGGTCAACATTTGATAATCCTCGGAACAACCTTGTTTCTATTTTAGATTGTTTTGATTCGATCATTTTAATTTAGTTGTATTTTAACGTGCTCTCAAAATAAAACAGCGTTACACCAAAAAATGAACAAATGAATACACAGAAAAATGAGTACTACTTAAGGACATATTTCAATGAAATTTATATATTACCCTTTATTTTCTTAAATAACTCATGTTATATGATTTAATGCATGAATAGTAAGTATGATGGTAAACGGGGCTTTCACTACTTTTCTTCATTTTTACTGCAGCTCTTTAAAAAAAAAGAATAAGTTTAATTTCTAATAATTTTAATAAGTTTAATTGTTTCTAACTGTTTCAAACAATTAAATGTTACGTCCAAACAGATTTTAATTCTGAGGTTAATTCAATCATTGTCACGTTTCAATTCAGCATAAAAGAAACATTAAGATTCTTGTTTTTTTACGATGAAATAAAAGAACAATTTATATTTATAATTTCTAAAAAAACGTATATTAAAACTATTTGCGAATCATATTAATTACATCGATAAAATAATTTGTTATCCAAAAATCTCTTAATATATCTTATTTCAGCATTAGGGAAATTTAAAAGTTAGGAAAAGAACAATTTTTTGAGATGATGATTCTAAAAATAGCACGGTTTTGGAATCTTTTACAATTTTCTATTTTTAGTATTTAACAAAACAAGGCATACAGAGCATTTTTCTGATATAGCAATATTTTTTTTAAATAGTGCTAAAGTTGAGAAATAATATTAATAACTTTTTAAGCAAATTTTTTCAAGATTTCTTATTTTATCTTCATTTTTCGAAAAAATAGCATGCTTAGTAAATAGTCAGCTGTTCTGCGGCGACTAATTTTGATCATCCGAATATTTTTAATTTCTTAACAAGATTTAATGCTCAGCTAACTGTCAATAATTCTAAGTTTTCTTTCAATAAAAACTTGACAATAATTTAAAAAGGTATTTTACTTTAAAGGTAAACATAAATTAAAGTACTAAAACAATTGATTAGAATATTAATGGAAAAATAACGGATAATAATGGATTTAATGCTCAGCTAACTGTCAATAATTCTAAGTTTTCTTTCAATAAAAACTTGACAATAATTTAAAAAGGTATTTTACTTTAAAGGTAAACATAAATTAAATTACTAAAACAATTGATTAGAATATTAATGGAAGAATATTAATGGAAATAAGAATAAAGAAATGAGGTAATTTGAATGAAGTAAAGAAATTTGAGAAATGTTAACATTTAATTAAATAGTTCATAAAATAATTCTACGAAACCCCCACCGACAGGTAATTAACAAATTTATTTTAAGATTAAGAAGATATATAAGATGTTGAGAAATTCTAAAATGTTTAAAAATGTTGACTACGTATTCGTATTCATAATTATAAAACATATATTGAAGAAATTGATAAACATATTAATCCAAATCTATGCATATGTTTGTATATCATTGAAATTGTATCAATTATTGAAAGAACAAACTAAAAAATAAGATTAAAAATAGCTGATATATAATCACATTCTATCAGAAACATGCTTTTATAAAACTAGACATTAGTTGAATAAAATGTTTTATTCAAATCTCGTTACAAAATTACGTAACATTGTATTTATTAAATTAGAAACTTTATTAAATTAGAAACTTCGTATTTTGTAACTTGAAAAAAAAAAAGCAATTGGTTATAAGCGGAAAAAATATGAATGAAATTTCATTCTACGCGCGAGGAAGTTCCTCGTAAGTTAACCCCATTTAAATATTTCTATATTGTCACCAAATTATTTTTTGTAAAAATAATGAACTTTAATTTTGCTTTGCTTCCACCAAATAAAAACTGTTGAAACTTTAGATTTTGCAATAGAAAAACACATAGATTAATACGGTATAAAAAAAATTATACCTCATAATTCAAAACTTTTTCATCCACAATTAAATTGAATAATAAAATAATAAATAATTATTAAACATTAGTTTTTGTATGAAAATTATCTTTGGGTAAATGAGTTTTATGAGTAGGTTCAATTTTTTTTGAAATGCTTTTAAAAAATGACTAAAAACGCAAAAAGTGAAATTAGCATATTGGATCGCTCTCCAGACCAAACTATGGGAACCATATTTCCCAGATTGCGGCTATCCCTATGTATTTGAAGGTTAAGAATTCAAATATGTAAACAAAATATATCCTATATGTTTATTCAGAGAAAGTACGTTTTTGAGTTCAATTTCGTAACTTAATACTTAGTAGTAAATAATTAGCATATTTGAGATCTCCCCAGGAACCATTAATATTGATAATTAGTACGTGAAAATTCGATCATTAGAGCAAAACTTATTCAAGGTGATATCTTTTTTTTTTTTTTTTTTTGCTGACTTTACATCAAGCTACCAAGCACTGTTAAACATGAAAAAGTCCCTATGAACAGAGAAACTAGCGAAACACACTTTCTCTTTACCAAACACCACTGCCAAATGTATATATTTTTTTTTTTCGGTCTCGCAAGGAGTTTTATATAGCAACGACTCACGCTTGAGAGCACTGCTTGTCCGTACTAAAAAAAAAAAAAGTATCTACCTTTTCTAGATCAGTCGGCCAATATTTATTATGTATTTTACTTACTTAATTCTGGAAATATCTCGTGTACTATGCTTTAACGCAGAAATCGCATTACTGCACTCCGTGGGCCTGAACCACCTACTAGAAGCAATGGCAATCCATCCCTGATATGTTGGTATATGGACAGCCTTTTATAATTTTTATTGTGTTTGAATAGTGAATAAATCTCATTAAAATGAATAAATCTCATAAAATAATAATCAGTGGAAACTCTGTAACTAATATACATAACTAGAGCACTATCATTTTAACGGAAATATGATTTTAACTCTCAATACGAATTACGGCTTAATATATTGCTCATGGGCTGCAATAGTGGCACAACTAAAAAAACACGCGTTTTGGACTAAGATCAGGTGTAAATATGATTATATAGTGATTACCTGTAGTGCCACTTGTAAACAGGATCGCAAACTTGTCGTCAGGATTAGGCATCTAATAAAAATTATAGCCATTAAAATGCAAGTCACTATTACAGAACTAATTTCTAAATTTTCTAACTAATATTCAATTAATAACATATAGGTGGTCTTTTTTCATATAATATGGGGCACATTTATAAATATATTGATTTAGAAATAATAATAACATATGATTTCCAGAACTGGTATCCCCTGACGACATTTTTGTATTTTCATTGTTACAAATTTTAATTTTGCAGTATATTTGCTTCTTAAGAGTAAGTCTTTTATTGTAGTGTTTGAAAATGTAGCGTTTTCTTCACTACAGAGGTAAATTAAACTAAAATTACTTTATGTTGTCAAGTCTCTCTCTCATGTGTATGTATATATATATATATATAGTAGATTTGCTGTCAATAGTTGAGACAAATTTAAAGGGTTATCGGAGGGCGGATCGGAAAATTTTTGAAACAAAAAGAGAAAAAAGAATGAAACAAAAAGAGAAAAAAGAATGAAACAAAAAGGTATGACTAATGTGAGAACTGTAAAAAGTTTGTGCAGAGATTTTTAAATTCAGCTACAAAGGTTTCCGGCAAATTGNACAGCTTTAATTTCTCAATCTAATTTTGTGTATTTTTTATTCCAATTATTTGTTCTTATTTTTTGCTGAATTTTGTACCCTGTTGTTATATTATTTTTCATTATTTCATGAATATATATATATATATATATATATATATATATACACTGTTTGTATAAGGGCAAAACATAACTTAAATTAATAGTCATGAGTATAGACTCACAACTGTTATAAAAATAGCATATTGCCCGCTAAAATACGTCATTTCATATGATGACGTCAGAACTTGTGAATAACCGCCTTAAACGTTGCAAAACTGAGATCCCTGTTCCCTATTTATTTTTTGACACGTACATTTCATTGTCAAACAAAAAATCAGTCATAAAAATTAATAAAAATAGTTTTATTTGGATCTTAATTTGTCAGGCCTTGTTTTCTACACACTGTATTTCATTTGCTTTTATCAAGAAATGTAACTAGTTTTTGGAATATTTTAATAACTTTCACTTTAAAGAGACATTAAAATCGGGCTTAGAACCTAAAACCTAATGAATCAAAGTTAGTCACTAATGTGACTGGGATTTATCTTATTAGTTTGGAAGATAAGTGATTGAGCTTTTTCTGAAGCTAAAAGGTATTCTAAATTGCACAGATGGCTTTAAAAACTGCTGGCAAAATTCTTATAGTAAATTCCTGAGAGTACCACCCTGGAGAGTTCCCAATTTTAGTTCACAAGTGATCTGACAGATGGCGTTGTAAGAAATTTTCTACTTTTTTTTCTGTTGTATTTTGATGTAAAAAAATCCCGATTGTGCGACGTGCGATTGTGGCTTATTGCGATTGTGTCCTATGGTGGACGTTTAAAAAATATTGTAATGTGATTTCCCTGTATTAAAAGATTGCGATTTTCCGAAGTTTTCTTATGATTTTCAGGTTTATTATTTGCAGTGCCATCTCTTGAAAAATTTCTGAACCAACAAAGAAATTCAGGGAAAAAAATGAATGTCCTTTCTTTCGAATTGGTTGCAATATTTATTTTTAACCTTTACCACTTTCATAACATACATTTTTAAAAGCTGTCAGTCTGATTTAGGGCCCAATGTTTATGCAGGATTGGACAGACATTAATTCGGTTAATGGGCCTTGTAGGAAAAAAACTTTATTAAAAGGTAAGGCCTTTATAAGTATTATTTCATCAAATAAAAATATACATTGGATGAAAATGAATTAGTGAATAAATTAAATGAAAATTAGAACGTTTATTTACCACCAATTCTTTTCTGTTTGATTTTCCCATTTCCTGTAATATAAATTCAAATATAAATTATAAGAATCTAATTAACGAGTTTTATTATTAAAAAAAATATTTCCCAAGAAAATAATTCTAGTAGTTGAAATGTTTAGAAGAAAATTATGAGAGGTGTTCACTCTTTTAAAATATATTTCATGCTTCATTATTTTTAGTCTTAGCACAAAATTGATATTTTAAGCATTTGTAGTTCATATGCTCTTAATAACTTGTGGAAATATTATGAATACGAGAGGAATGTCTTGAAACCGTAAGATAAAATTTTATTATATTCATTTTTAAATAAAAAAATTCTAAAAAATTTTCTTATTTATGAATAATATAAAGAAATATATCAATAATTATTTGCCATTTTTTTCTATTCAAGTAAAATAAATTAGATGATTTTGCTGGATTGGGACTATAAGAAATTGTTAAACATTTTAAAATTTTGCAGTAGCTTATTTGGAATTCAGCTCACTCTTTAAAAATTTATAACTTATAAATATATATTTTATATTATAAAATTTATATTTATAACATAATTTATTCAGTCTTATAACTTAGTTTTCTTTTAATTTATTGATTATAAAAATAGGGGCAATTTAGTTACATTTAAATTTTATGAAAATGTGCTTAATCAAAAAAAAAAGTTTTAAAAAGATAATTTGTTTACAAGTATTGATTATAATATAAAATCATTGCAATATTGACCCCAGACCCCAAAAATTTAACACAACACAGACCCAAAAACTTATTATAAAAAGCCAAAAATTTATTACAGTACAGCCTCATAAATTAATTACAATACAGATACATAAATTTATTACTATACAAATTGATACTTTTTATAGACTATAATGTATTTTAAAGACCCATTATTTTATTACTATATATTTATTATGCAGACCTTTGCTTTCGTTTAAACTTTATATTAAATAGTTAGGGAAAAACGATGCTTGATTTAGTCCCTTTCTTACAACACTTACTTCACAACGCGTACAAACAACTTTCTTAATCTCAACTTACCTCAACCTCCGAAAAAAGCAACATGTTGATACCTGCCGCTTCCGCAACTTTTCTTTGATCCTCTGTTGGTGTTTCGCAAGTGATGAGAGTTTTAACTGTTGGGAGGCTCTTTGAATTGTTTAAAATCATGTCGGTATTAGTACTGTTGGTGGAAATGACTGCAGAAAGTTTAGCTGGAAAAAAAATTGCCCAAACTTTAAAAATTCGAAAAAATTTTGAAATTGATATGCAAAAGTATTTGCGTTTTGAAGTTAGAAAAATGAAAGTTTCTTAAAAATTATTTATATTACTATGTGAAAACACAATGGAATCCTTTAAAAACAAGAAAATAGTTTTGTTTTAAGCGAAAAACAAAAAAATATCCAACTTCACTTTTGAAACAAGCGGAAATGAGAGAATTTTCGTTTGCGATAGAAGTTTCATACGAAGGTTTCCCAGACAGATAGTAAGACAGGGTTCCCAGAAGATCACTGATCTCAAGCATCACTGGGAGTGGTCAGTGTGCGGCTGGGTGACCTGCGAAAAGACCAAGGGATCGCAGTATCGGTTCTCGTTAAACTGTTCTACGGTTAAGTGATCGATTTCGCGGGCAGGTTGTCAAGCTGTTAAGGCAGCCTGACAACCTTAACAGCCTGACAACTTGAGCGCAGAGGATCAAAGTTGGGATGGCATGTCTTTGAATTTGAGTTTACATAAAAGGAGTATGCCGTGCTTTGGACCATTCCCATGGAGGATATTTCTCAGGCAGTCACCTATAGCCCATAGTGCAGCTCTAGTGCGAAGTAAATAAAGTACTCTTACTACTACTATTATTTTAAATACAAAAGTGATGCGCAGCCTTTTACGTTTTATGTAATTTTTCTAATAAAATTATTTTCTTTATCTTTGACCACTTATCTCTTTTTTATTTATTGTTTTTTTTCTCTTTAATTTTATATTGTTAGTTCTCTTAAATTGTTAGAAAGAACGATTAGAGATAAAGGGGCGCTAAACACTGCTAGCACCATTGTAACTTCTATATTCATGAGGTACAGAGTTCCGGTTTTATATATATATATCCGGTTTCATTTCTTATATCGATTATCATATTGTTTGAATTATTTTTAATCTACTATAGAATTCCAAGAAATAATTGATTAGTTCAGTTTTTGTGGTTGTTCTACTGCTCATAAGGTGAGCTTCTGTTTTTTTTAGTTTTATATCGCTTATAAGGTGAACTTTTCTTTAGAAACATAATAAATATTTCCTTTTCACAATAGATATCCGTTAATTGTTTATTTAAAGCAGCTAAGACTAAATGTTTTAATAAAGCATTTAACAACATGGTAAAATGAATACGTTCTGAAGAACTGTCTGGTTATTTATTTATGATTCATTTAATAATGGCGTGAAATATATTTTTCCTATTAAATTTAGTTCCGCAGTGGACTGATCGTTAAGACACAGTTCCCACCAGATCACTGAGTCAAGCATCAGTGTGCGGGTGGGTGACCATTTGGATCAGTCTGCGTAGGGAACTAGGGTGTGCGGTATTGGTCCTCGTTAAACTGTTCAACCGTAAAGTGCTCGACTTCGCGTGCAGGTCGTCGGGCCACCAAAGCAGGGGAGTCATCCTCTCTGCAGAGGATCAAAATTGTGATGGCATGTCTTCGGATCATCCTCAGGGATGTTACCCAGACTGTCGCCAATAGCCCATTGTGCAGCTCTAGTGTGACGTAAATGAACTACAACAACAACAACAATTAAATTTACTTTTCAGTGTTGTATTTTACTAAATGAGGAGTAATAAGAATTATAAGTTTAAAAACCAGAATTTTCCATAAACAATAGCTATACCAAGCTGAAAAAATTATCAAATAAATTATTTAAATACTATAAATGTTGGTGTTAATTATTTAATTGCCAGAATTCTCGTTTATACAAATATACAAGTGTGTGTGCAATTGTATCAGAAATATTTCATCCCGGTGATTACAAATTATACAGGTGAGTTAATTTTTTACCAGACTTTTTTTTCTCAGTGATTCATAACATGCTTTTAACAAACTGAAATATTAAACTCATGAGTTACATGAGTGGTTATAGTGAGTATTTACCATGGTTGATGATATAGGCAATAGTGGTTATTCCAAGATTCATGTAAAAGGGAACCAACACCATCGAGTATCCGGCACATGCATAGACTGACAATAAAGACTGTAAGAAAAAATTCGATTTGTTTCATTTACACGTAAATGAACTACTTAAATGGATTTTATGCAAATGCAATACTTTAATAGATTACCGAAATTGATGGCAATCAAGCCAGGCTTTCTTCAGCATGAAACTTAATTTAAAATGAAAAACTTTAACATATGCTTCAAAAACAGTATTATTAATTTTTTCTTACTCATCTCCCCTTATCGATTTAAATGAGCAAAAGTGACATAGATATTTTTTAAACATTTAATTTTTTTATTGATTGACTACGTTATGTCCCTAAAGCCACCATACACACCTTTATTATTTAATTTACAATCTGAATGAACGTTCTTAGAAGGGATAAAAAAAGAGTAAATAATTTTAAAAAACTGGCTTTAATCAGCTCTACGTAATCTAGCACAAAACTAAAAGTCATATGCAGACGCAATTAAAAAAGAGAAAATTAATTCCAATTTATTATAATTATTATTATTTGTTGTCCTTTCTGGTGAATTTACGTCATTAGATTAAGCAAAAAATGTTTTTAGAAGTTTAACTAATCAAAATAAAGATTCAGTATCATTCGGCACCTAAAATGATGCTATCGCTCCTACGCATTTCTTGATAATCACAATTTATCCTAATCAAGCAATTTTCTTCACTAGTTTTGCAATTTAGTACACAACTTAATTTTTTTAAATTTAAATTACCGTTGACCTCGCATTATTTAAATGTATCGAAACACTTTTCGAACACATAATTTTAGAGAAATTAAAAACTTGAGAATTTGCCTTTTGAAACTTTTTTTTAAAAAAAATATTAGTTTATACACATATAACATTACTTATCCTCACCTAAATATTAAATTCCGACCCTTATTGTGTATACTTTTCTAACTTAATTAATAATAATTCAAAAAATGTTTACTAACTACTATCATTGCTTAGAAAATAATTTTTAACAGCAAAATTACAATTTATAATTCTTTGTAAATAAACATAAAATAAATTTGTTTTGCAAATTATTTTTCTTAAAATTCCAAACGTTCGTCCGCCATCGATATAATTTGTTGTAAGTGATCATCAAAACTGCGCAATTTGTTGTAAGTGATCATCAAACTGTATTTAACCCCCAAAATAATGTTTCAGATGGGTAAAAAATCGCAGCAAAAGGGTCTACTGCTATTTAATGATGATACAATCAATAAAAAAACGCTTTATTTTGCTAGTATCGAAGTTAATTTTCTTAACGTGAAAAAGGTGAAGGAGAAAATGAAGCCAAGTTATTATCTGTTACAACTACGTCCCCTCGAAATCTCTGAATCACATTTATCACGTAGTTTTACGTGTACTCTCTTTCCATCCATTTCAATTTATCCCTCTGTTTGTAGCATTGCAGTCGTCATTTTCTTGATAAAATTAATATATTATTCATGAGTGAAGTACATTCATTTTTTCGCGAACATTACTTCTGTGGGTTGTCAGTTCACATTATCAGAAAATAATTCTTAATAATGATTTGAAACTTTATTTTTTCAAAAACATATACTTATTTTTTTCTTCACAGTGAAAGTAAGCCAAGCTTTTTAGGTGAGCTATAAAGGACATTTTTGGTTTTTCTTTCCCCATTAAATCTCCCCCCCCAAGCCCCACATGTACTTTATTTTAGAACATTTGATTTACTTTTAATTTAAATATTTTTCACAAAAAGGAATGTATAGAAAATTAGTGAAATTTGATGAGTCTGAGAGTTCGCCCCCCCTGAGGCCCATGTCTGAGAGTTCGTGGGTTCGAACCCCGCCAGTCGAAGACTTCCCGTGTAATAAATGGTGACTGATGCACGTTAAATCTGTCGAGTTGCAAAGTCCTCCATGTTCCCATAACAAATCAATACCTCTGGGGGTACTGGATTGGAAATCGATCATTCTCTGATTCAGGTCAAGAATTACGATCTGTGGATGAGTGAATGGTTGCATGAATGGGTCCGCCCTATAAACGGATGTGACGTATGGGTGTGGCAGAAGTCGAATTCTAGGCCATAGATGGCGCCACTAGAAAACAAGAACAATCGCATCCCTCACCCTAAAACAGGTATACGTCAACCAGTGAAATTTGATGAGTAAAGTACTCTTCTTCCTTAACTTTTAAAATTTTTTTTCTTAACCGTCGAAAAGAAAAGAAGGAAAAATTAATTATATTTCATACAACTCTGATGCTTAGTTAATAATCGAACGATTTTTTGTCTGGTTGACGCGCTTACTAAATACTATAAAGCAAAATAGGAAAATTTTGATTATAGACAGTGATCAGTTGTAGCATTTTTAAGGGTGGTTGCTTTTTAAAGAATTGAAAATTTCAAATAATTAAAAAGCTGTTGTTATTAATAACGTTTCGCATTTCTGTTGAATCATTTCTCAAAATATGATAGACATAACTATGTTCATTTCTAAAAGGAAGATAAACTTTAAGAAACAAGCGTGTAATAAAGTAATTTTCAAAATAATATGTAATTCCATACTTATTTAAAAAATAACAAAAGGCAACTAGGAGTGCATTTTCGACGAAAAGAAGTGGCGATCATATGGCAACTGACGTACAATTTTTGTTGTAGTCACCCTTGTTGCCAACGGCGATCATTACATTTAAATTATTATACTAAATTCTAAAAAAATATTCTGCAAAAATTCAAACATAAGATGTTTGTTTATGTCCTATTTGTACTATGAGTAATCCACTAATGACATACGTATTGTATTGTAAGTTATAGAACTAGAATCAGTCCTACATTTTATGATTGAAAAATTATTATGATTAAAATTGTATTAACAGAAATATTTCTAAAAAAATGAAAACGTAAAGTTTATGAAAAGGAATATTAATTTGTATTGGTATATAGCACCTTCTCTTGGCTAGCTGCGATTTAAAAGTTGATAGGATTAAAGTTATAACAACAGAAATAACTTCTAAAAAAATAAAAGCATTAAGTTTATAAAAATAAATATTAGTATTTGTATAGAATCTCCTTTTGCTTAGCTGCGATTTAAAAATTATTAAGATTAGAATTATAATAACCGAAATAACTTCTAAGAAATCAAAAAAAAGTTTATAAAAAGGAATATTTGCATTGGTACATAGTACTTTTTTTCTTAAGTTAGTTGCGATTTAAAAAATTCTAAGATTAAAATTATAGCAACTACAAAATATAAATAACTTGTAAAAAATGTAAGTATCAAATTTATAAGAAGAAATATTAGAATTTGTAAATAGTCACTATTCTTGCTTAGCTGAGAATTTAAAATTATTACGATAAAAATTGTAAAAACAGAAATAACTTCTAAAAAATGAAGGCATAAAGTTTATAAAGAGAAAGATTAGAATTTATACATAGTACCTCCTCTTGGTTAACTGTGGTTTGAAAATTATTACGATAAAATTATAACAACAGAAATAACTTCTAAAATTTTAAAGTATAAAGTTTATAAAGAAAGAATAATAGTATTTGTATATTTAGTACCTCCTCTTGGTTAGCTGCGAATATTCCAATAAAAGTGTCATTTTCAGGTTTCAATCCTAGCTGAATAAAACCAGATCCCACATTCTGAGTCCGTTCTATAAACTGCAATGCATAAATAATAAAATTTAATAACTATAAAATTTTTCATTGTGGAAATTTCGAACATGTAGAGAAGTTTTTTCTAGTTTAGCCGCGGTCCTTGTTATCCCTCATTTCTCTGCTGTGATGTTTTAAAAGATTGAATATTCTGTATATCAATAATAGTGTGCTAACTATGCTATATAAAACTGAAGATTCAGTTATTGTAAAAATGACATTTGTTTAAATATCAAATAAGTTTTTCAACATTTCTAACTAAAACAAGACACCAACAATTCCATCCCTTCAGACGATTTCTATACGACAGTGACGTCAGACCTAAAGCAGCAAATTCTTCAGGCGATGATATAATTCAAGCTTCTTTATTTTCTTATACCGCAATGGATTCTCCACATTTCTCAACAAAAACTATGACTTATATTTCCCGTTACTGCTTTTTTTTAAAATTTTTATATATTTTTTATACGTCTTTACAAAACTGGGCATTAGTCAGTCAATTCTAAAACAGTTCCAAAAATGTCGTCTGATTTTTTTATTCTGTCATGTTGCACTGCTTGCTTTTTAACTATTACTATGCTAACCCTTGTTTTTGATGACTCGACTTTAACAACACACTAAGTATTTTTTTCGATTAAAAAATATATGTATAAATATTATTATCTTGGAATATTTCCCAATAACTTTTCCCTACCATTAAATGTGTTATTATTAACTCATTAATACCCCAATACTTGAACAAGAATCTCCTTGTGTTCTTGGTTAGGTCTAAAGTTGCTGTTGTAGTTGTTGTCACTTATCCTCTAATAGTCTGACGAAGTCAGACACGATCCAATAGGTTGTTGACCCTCAAAAAGTCGATGACAAGAAGTGGAGTAGCATATAAGTCCTCTTTGGAAAGGCTTAAGCAGTCAAGGATATGTTCGGCTGAGGCCTGCTGGGCTTCACATTTGGAGCAGACTGCATAAGTCTTTCTTTCTTCAAAGTACTATTCGTGTGTCCACTTGCCAATCTGGAAATAGCAGTTTGAGATGCTCTATCACCTATATGAACAAGTGAAGAGCCCGGTTCCTTGGCCGCATACCAATGATGAGAGGAGGGGATCCTCCACTTTTTTGATAGATGGCTTTTGATTTTCGACAGATACTCTGAGTAGGTATAGGCTGAGGACTAAGGTGTTGAGTAACTACAGCCCTCCTTGGCAAGCGATCCGCTTGCTCATTGCCAAAGATTGTCTTTGTTGACCAGGTCTAAAGTTACAAGGCTTAGTTGGCTTTGGTAACCACTAATTCGATATTTATTTGCTGTTCAATAACAATGATAAAATAAGATGTATATAAACTATGTTATAGATACATTTCACCGTGTTAGTAAGTAAAATAACAGACACGTATGAGATAATTACCTCACTGTAGGATTGCCACTGATACTTCTGTGCTCCAGGTGGTTTTCGTCCGATGCACGGACCATCATCTGAAACATTTAGAATAACCTTTTGTTACGTACATTTAAGGCACAAATTTACTACGGATACTTGCTATAGAATGGTGCAAAAAGTATTATCACTCTTTATTAAATAGTAAAAAATAAATTTTTAAAAAAGTTTCTTGTATTTAATTCAGATGAGCCCGATTACTGCTCTTAAAAGCACTAAGCATAAAGAAAATTGGAAATATTATAACTTTTTTTGGCCATCGTTTCACTATTTCTCAAAAGCGAAATTTTGTCCTCTCTGAATGCATGTTCGTTAATAACTCGAGAATGGGTGCATCCATTTGGATCGTGCTTTCCAGGGCTGGTTTGCAAAAAGTCATCTCTTTCCAGTGACATGCGTTCGACACAGTATCGAGAATACGAAATTCTATTGTCCCGTAGTGAACTGATCGTTAAGACACGGTTCCCAGNTGCATCAATTTGGATCGTGCTTTACAGGGCTGGTTTGCAAAAAGTCATCTCTTTCCAGTGACATGCGTTCGACACAGTATCGAGAATGCGAAATTCTATTGTCCCGCAGTGAACTGATCGTTAAGACACGGTTCCCAGCAGATCACCGAAGTCAAGCATCACTGGCTGCTGTCAGTGTGCGGGTGGGTGACTATTTTGATCAGCCTGCTAAAGGAACCGAGGGTGCGCGGTATTTGTCTTCGTTAAACTGTTCTACCGTAAAGTGCTCGACTTCGCGTGCAGGTCGTCGGGCTACCGAAGCGGAGGTGCCATCCCCTCTGCAGAGGATCAAAATTGTGATGGCATGTCTTCGGATCATCCTCAGGGATGCTTCCCAGACCGTCGTCAATAGCCCATTGTGCAACTCTAGTGCGACGTAAATGAACTACAAACAAACGAAATTCTATTGACGAAAATTACTGTGATAGATTAAAACTTTCGCTGTCATGGAAACAGCAATTTTACAAAGTATTAAAAAAAATATAAGAAGACGAAACCACTGGAGAAAAAAAAACTTTAATATTCTTGAAGATCGATGAAATCATAGTTTATAAGCAGAAGTAAAGCCTTCTCAAACAAATATGCAGGTTAACATAAGTTATCGAAAATTAAAGGAATAGTATATTTAACCAGGCATATTTTTAATTCGTTCAAACTACATTTCAAGTCAAGGCTTTTAAATTTATTAAATTCTAATTTTAATACCAAGTATTTATAATAATGACTAATTATTCTCGTCTTTTTTTATCGTGAATTTTAAATTCTCAAACTTTTTATTGTTATCTTTTAAATCAAAATATATCGTAAACTTTATAAACAGTTCATTTGAAAATCTTTTGGATTCAAAATGTAGTCCATATTATTTTATAATAATATAATAATTTAAGCCGAGGCTCTTAAGTTTTTGAAACCTTTCGAAATTGTTGGTGAAAACCATACTTGATACTTTCAATCCATGACCTAGGACGTCGTAAACAGTTTTTATTTCTGGAGCACCCGGTATTGTTTCGATCACTATGTTAGGATCCTCAGAAAGGGGGGATGCTCTTATTCGTTCTGGACCCTAAAAAAGAATAACATATGAAACTAGTTTATAGAACAAAACAACAAGTATCTAACACATTAAAAAGAGTGTTAAAAAGAATGCAAAATATATCACCACGGTGTAAAATTCAAAATATCACTATTTTTTGACTGGTTGTTTAAAAAGTCTACTAGATGGCACCACTGCATTGCGGCTTTTATAATTTTACAGTATCTCTACAATATACAGGTTGTTCAAAAGATGTGGAAACAGTCTAATATCTCTAGAAATCCAGCTCAGATCAAAAGTCTAAAAATACAGGTATGAGATATTCTTAAAAGATGCATTCCATGGTACAAACTTGAAATCCCAAAATCAACTCGTGGGGTTTGGGGCATCATTATAATCTTAAATAGAAACCACAATTTATTTTTTAATTGCAGATTCGGTTTCTTCAGAAAAAATGCTCCAATTCAGCTTCAGGACTGTGGGGATTAGAGTTATCGACTATGTCAACCTTCATCTATCAAAAGAAATCTCGTGATAAAATCAAGTTAACATGTCTTATATACTAGTGAATTGGTATTTAATATTTGTAGTGGTAGTTACGCCACATTACTCCCTTTCCAGAATTTTATCTGTGATAGAATTCGATGAACGAATATCACTAGTTGATTCATGCTGTTTTTATTTATTTATATAAATTTTTGGTCATTATATTTTAATTTTTTTTGTAGCATTTCGCTAATTTTTTTTGTTTTTGTTTATAGCAATTCGCACATTATTTTTCTTCTTCTTCTTCTTCTTTTTTTTTTTTTAATATCATTTCACTCGTTATTTTTTTCCTTCAATTTTTTGTTATTGACCGGGAGACTTTATTTACTTCATGGAATTTTTTTTTCTTTGAGCAGTATATTGTTAAGCAAATCAACTGTTTAATGTGGATCATCCATCAATATTGGCAAGTTCTTATCACGTCCGGGTCACCAATGTGGGGATTAGAGTTATCGACTATGTCATCCTTCATCAATCAAATGGTACCTCGTGATAGAATCAAGTTAACATGTCTTATATGCTTGTGAATTGGTATTTAATATTTGTAGAGGTAGTTACGCCACAGGATAATCATTTTAATTTAAAGGTGGCACTGTAATTGCAATAATTAAAGAAAAATTGATTAAAATAGAAACACCTCAAGAAATACATGCCAGATAGGAAAACTAAAAAATAATCCTGTTTATTATTTTGAAGAAAAAAAACTAACTAACGATGTCAAAATTGCTCCTCTAACTCCTTTAACGAGGAAGATTCCCAGGGATCGGGGCTGTTACAAAACATTCATTGGTCAATTTTTTTAAATTTACATCTATAGACTAAATGCAGTAGGTCGATTTAACCCCACATTTAAAACTCGTAATTTTCTACGTCGCGGACAAATTTTGCACTATCTCACTGTAATTTTCCCTTGTGAACATTGTAATTCTTCTCTTCTAACCTCTTCTATTACAATTCAAAAGAAAGAAAAGAACTGTAGTTGATGATTATATATTTGTCATACCAAACTCACAATATCCTTTAAGTGCTTTGGGCAAAGAATGAAGACTTTTCAGCACGCAGTGATTCAAGTGTTAAAATAAACTTATGTATGCATAAGTCAAGTGCTTGACGTATTTGATATGGTTGTGGCCATAAACGATAATATTTAAGGACGACACATTCTGATCTCGTCACGACTCTTTTATTAAATTTTTCTCCATATGTATGTGTTACCGGCAAAGTATGAAACGCCGGCATTGTATAGAATGCCGGATGCTTTTAGGCAAAGTATGAAATGTGAGAAGTATTACATACTTTCCCCGGGCATTGCATAAAATGCCTAGGCATTCTATAGAATGCCAAATGCTGTTTTGGCAAAGTATGAAATAAACGTCCTCATGAGGTTATTATGTAAATGATGTGCATGTTACTGTGAATGACCGAAATCGGTGGTTGTTGACTTTCACCGGTGAATGTTGATAATCACATAGTCGCTTTGGTGAATGTCCGAAATATTTATTACATCTAATTTGATATTAATTTATTCGTGGATATCATTACATTTATTCGATATTTTAATACTTACTGACGATAGATTAGAAGAAACAACAGTGTTTGGAGTATCGGGCAATGTATACCGGGCAATGGCATTTGACCTTTAAAAAAACATCAGTGTAGGATATATCGGGCAAATGTATACACGGCAATTGCACTTAACTAGACCTAGTATGACTAAACCTTTGGTAAATGTCCGAAATATATATTAGGTCTAGTGCCACTATCCGATATACATTTGCCCGGTATACCCTACACTGATGTTTTTTATAAGGTTCAGTGCCATTGCCCGGTATACCCTACACTGATGTTTTTTTAAGGTCAAGTGCCACTGCCCGGTATACATTTTCCCGGTATACCCTACACTGATATTTTTCAAGGTCAAGTGCCATTGCCCGGTATATATTTGTCCGATACTCCAAACACTGTTTCTTCTAATCTATCGTCAGTAAGTATTAAATTATCTAATAAATGTAATTATATCCACGAATAAATTAATATCAAATCTGATGACGTTATGAATTTGTCATTTTCGAATGACATTTTGACGAATCGGAGATGTATTTTATACTTTGCCGGTTTCTCATTCGACATTCTATAGAATGTCTAGGCAATGAGTGAAATATAAATCACTTCATACTTTGCNAATTATATCCACGAATAAATTAATATCAAATCTGATGACGTTATGAATTTGTCATTTTTGAATGACATTTTGATGAATCGGAGATGTATTTTATACTTTGCCGGTTTCTCATTCGGCATTCGATAGAGTGTCTAGACAATGTGTGAAATATAAATCATTTCATACTTTGCCGGCTAATTTTAGGCATTCTATACAATACCTAGGCATTCTATACAATACCTAGGCATTCTATACAATACATAGGCATTCTATACAATACCTAGGCATTCTATACAATACCTAGACATTCTATACAATTCCGGATTTCACACTTTGCCGGTAACACATGTATTATGAATGAATGATACTTCTTTGGGATTTATAGTTATAATGCGGATTTTTTTAACGGAAAAGTACCACATTTGTCCTTTTTTTTTCCAGTTGCTATTTATTTAACCTAGTTTTCAATTTAACTTTTTGATACATTATCTTTAGTCTTGGATATCTTTCCAAATGATAAGGACTGCCTACTTCAATCCTGCAAAGCCATTGAACTTTTCGGAGAAAGAAAATATATCGTTCACTCTATCAGCTGTTATCAAATAATTCATGCATTCATAAACAACTACAGTTCAATTTTATTGTACTCTTTTTTTTTAATTCAGTTTAAGCATAGTATAATACTAAGCTGATAGCGTTGCTTTGCTTTAAAAAAATACTATCATTCCATTATTTTTATCAGTTTATCAACACACTCATGTGGTTGTTAAAGTGAAGAATAAATGAAATTTCTTTTTTAAGTTCAAAAACTTTAAAGAGTTTTTTAACTAAAATTAGAATTTGTAAGGATTTTTCCTTTTCTTCAAAGATATTTTTTGTTCATTAGAAAAAAAAATAACAACGTCCGTAAATGCAATTAATGAAATGTAGAATTTTTTACACTATTTTAAATTTCACGGCTCTACTGAACAATGGATCTTCAACAGTTCCTAAATCCTTTGGTTACGGAATCCTACATGATCGAGTTTCTTTGACTGTAAACTTTTAAAAAACAGTAAATATACTAACAAAAAGAAAGAAATTTTGAGTTATGTGTTTGCTGATAAAACACGTTTATTACGTTAAAGAAATTATNAATTCTTTTTTTTTTTTTTTTTTTTTTTTTGATAAACGTTGAGGACAGTAACCAGGGAAACGTTATTCTTTATTTTTGAAATGAGTCGTTTTATTTTGATCTGAAAATGCTTATGAAAAAAATATGCATTTATAAAAAGTTAAATATTTCGATGAGAAATATTTAATTTTTTATAAATGCGTATTCTTTTCAAACTTTATTGCTATATGTTGCTATTGAAAAATATTATCATTATTTTTTTTAATTTTGCTACATTTTTATTGACCTTTTACAAAAATGATTTCCTATAAATATCTGAAATATTAAATAAACTATGGATTATTAATTGGATATAGATAATCATTACTGATAAGAAAAGAATTAACTCTCGGAGTCCCTGTAATACTTCCGCGGAACCCCATTGTTCCGCAGTACACTTTTTGGGAACTGTTGTTCTAGGGTTGTAACAATAAAACTGCAAAAATGAATCAAGCCGTCCACATTCCACATAATATTGATAAAATAATTCAACAAAAGCACGAGGATAACAATGCAGCATTTTAATCTGAGTTCTTCCTTCTTTCATGACGCTACAGCCAATAGTAGATCTTGACTTGCTAATCAATGTTGCTTCAAAACTTCCTGTTCTACTGATTTTCATTTCAATTTTTCATTACTATGTAATTAGCTTTTTTTTTAAATGTGACTTACTGAGCCGTAATGGCTCAGCAGATAGAAAGTTTACCTTCCAATGAAGTAAACCAGGTCCGAATCCCAGGGATGGCCGGTCGATACGAATACCGCACATGGATCATACGAGCCACAGTGCTGACGTAAAATATCTTCAGTGGTAGACGGATCATGGTTAAAGTCCCCTTGCTATCAGGCTAACTCTGAGAGGTTTTCGTGGTTTTCCTCTCCATGTAACGCAAATGCGGGTTAGATTCAATAAAAAGGCCTTCACGAAGACAAATATTCTCCCAATACTTGATCCAGTAATTCCCTTGTCTTCTGGATTCAAATTTACAAGGCTGCGGAGTTGAAAATTCGGCTGTTCAACGACGGTTATAAAATATAATTTAAATTGCTGTTCTTTAAAATAAAAAAAATTAAATCGAAATTGTCACTCGCAAACGGAATGCAGTTAACTGTTTTTTTAACTGTTAGATTTTAATGATGGCAGTATTCCTGTCTTCATTTCACTCATAAAAAGTCTTAAAATCGTATTGCTCAGTATCGTAAAATTATTGCTAAGTTTAACTTACATAGGACCAAATATTGATCAAACATGAATATAAATCCAACTTAACGATTGTATTTTAAGTGTAACAGTATTAGCTCATTTTTCTGGTATTGTGAATTTATTTTTAATCGAAGTTTGTAATATCTGTTACCTATAATAATCCTGCTATTGGTACAGAAAAAAACTCGAAATTTCTACATACAATTAGAAAATATATTACAAAACAATATTTTCCTGATTTACTGATTTTTACTTGTTAAGTGTTGTAACAGTTTTCCTTCTTAAAAGCATTTTCTTTATTGTTCTGCATATTCATGAAGAAAAATTAATTCGAAGCACAATGAAAACAATGAACTGATTTAATACAACTGAAAAGGGTTAAAGATATTAACAAAAATGATAAATTATACTTTCTAATGCAATTTTAAAAAAGAAATTGTATCTAAAAAAGTATTATTTGTATACAATTATTAGAATAAATTATAGAAATTTGGAAAGTTTCTCGAGCTTCTTAGAAGTTTTCATTTTTGTTTATTTTGTTAATACGAAGTGTAAAAAGCTTTTCTGTAAAAATCAAAAGATCCTTGTATGTAAAATGTATGAAAATATATTTTAATAATACCACAACAAAGACATTTTCTACACTAAGTATTTTGAAGGGAAGGTTATATGAACAATGCGGAAAATAAAAAGCGAACAACTATAATAAATTTTGATAGTGTAAAAAAGGAATGTTTTCTTCAGAGAAAACCAGTACTTGTGTCTAATTTCGTAACTTAAGATAACTTTTCCATTAACTCGTCAGTCTACTCGTATTTAAGATAGGTTTTCGAACTTTTTTATATTGTGTCTGGAAAGTGAAAATCAGATCATTACATCAAAAGTTATTTAAGCTGTTCGCTTTTATTTGCGATGAACAAAGATTTAAAGTAATGAGAAAGTCAACAAAAAAATAGAGTTCTTACCGGTAATAGAATGGATTGTTTATTCAGATCAACATGCTTTGGCTTGAAAGGTTCTTTGGCATAAACAATGTGTTGTTTGCTTATATTTTTTTGATAATGGACACTGGCCAGAGTTCGAAGATGGCGAGTGACCCTCGTAAGAGGAAGCATCTTTTTCGAAACAAACATTTTCGAATTATGACAGGAGGAAATTTTCAGCTCATAACAAGGAAAGTGCGATAACTATTTTTATACGGATTCTGTCTGATATCATTATCATAATAGATAACAGAAGATGTACTGCACCTTGAACTTGATAATTTTTTTGAAAGTCACAGTTCTTGTATAATGCTCAAACCAAAACACCTTCTCATCTAGATTAACTGTGACGAGTTTTATTACCATTGAATATCATACTTCCTGCCATCGAGTAAAAAAACTAGTTCCACGAAATGAATATGTAGGTCAGAGTCGGAAATTATCTTCGGTTATGTAGTAGAGAAAGAAGTATTGTTAATACGCCTCTAATCTCTATAATAAAAAATCTTAAACACCGCTGGGGATGTTTTGGATTTTTTACTTTATGTTACATTTTGCTTCGTAAGCGCAAAAACTATAAAACTTAGGTATTTGATATTTAGAAGATATGTAGAAAAATGTACAGGGAACAAGATGAAAAAAAAATAGTGCGTGGAATCCCTCCGCGTGGAAGAAGTTAAACTTCGCAACCTGCGACGTTAATTGTAGAAGAATCAGCAGCCGTAGAAGGATCACTAGTTCTATTCAACGACTCTTTTTCCTGCTTCGCTCGCTTCCGTGCTTTGTAAATCACGGTAATATTGTGCATTTTTCCCTCGTGGACCTCTTGAACCAGTGCTTGTGGTTGCCTCATTGTCTCGCTCTGGAAAATGTATTTGTATTAATAATGTATGCGAATGCGTCATAATGTAATTTCAGAAGAGAAACAATCAATTGATATTCACAAGAGACGTTCCTTGACATAACCTTAAATCCGTCGCATTGTCCGTGGGATTGTTTTCACTCATTTTTTACAATTGTTATCCACTAAATTTGAAAATAAAAAATACTACCCTATTAAATTATATGTGTATCAAAACAAACTAAAAAAATATTTATGGAAAAACAAAAGTTTTATGACTTTTATTATTTTTATGCTAGTGAGAACCGAAACAACATGGAAATGAATGAGGGAAAACTGGATCCCACCACGTGATTTCCCCGCCAATAAAAATGTAGCGTTAAACGTTTAACGCAACCTTGTTGGAAGTCGCATAAGAAGTATAACTTCAATAAAATAAAAAAAACATTTGGTAATTAGTTGGAGAATCGTTAACTATTAAAGTTGTAATAAAACATACCATAAGGACAGCTTTGCATTCTACTTAAATGCAATTACTGAGCAGAAATTTGACTTGTTGCATAGGCTGTCTTCGTTTATGAATTCAACACAAGTTTCTTTTTTTTTTTAATTTCAAATTCGCTCGAAAGTTAATGATATTTTAAGTGCTTTCTTCGTGAATTTTTTATTCACTCTTTTTGCTTTAAATAATGACTATTTATTGTTGCAGAAAAATTTCTCTCCCTTCAAATCTTCATTTTAAAAGCTTGCGCTTGACTCGATGCCAAAAGTAACCAAAAATTAATAACTACATTAAATAAATAAGAAAGTGTGATGTTAGATATTTGCCAGATTTATATTTTAACATTGGTTTCGATATTTTTAAAACTACACATAAAAAGTCGAAGAGAAATAAAAGCTGTTTCCAATTTGAACGATTATTGTTAGATATTGCAAACAAGTAAAATTACTTCTCATTTTTATTACTTTTCATTCTTTTTACTAATTGTGAATATAAAAGTTTATAAAATATAGATATTTTTATCGACTTTTAAGGAAAAAAGCATACAAAAAGGAATGAAAAGCTTCCACGGGGGTCAGTATAAGCAACACAAACAGAGGGCGAATCCCTCTACTTACGTAAAAAAATGATACGTTTTAATATTTAGAAATTTTTGCAAATTGTAGAATAGTTTTATAGTGCATTTTTTCACATTTTGTGGTCATTAAAAATCCACTGATCTCGAATATTATGTTTGTAAGAAAATTTTCTAGATGGTTACTTGAATCCAATAACTTACCTTTCTGATGACTTTTTCACGTAATAAAAAATTCCAACCAAGAAAGGTAATTCAAATATATTTTTACTTAATCAATTGCTTTGTTAAGGAATTGTTTAGAAATTGGTTTGTCAACAGAAAAAAAATCTCTAAAAATATTTTTTGTGATAATTTTATTTAATGTTCTCCAATTTATTTTACGCTAGGTCTTAAAAAGTCAGACGCTTTCTTTTTATTTCATAGGTCTATTTTCTGCTGTTATTGACGCTTGTTTGTTACTGCTTGTTAGATTACTTTTAATATAAATTTCCAACATAAACAGTTTGAAAACTATAATTTTCAAGTATATGAGTGAGGAGTACTACTGTGGTAGAGATAGGCTTCAGTCAGCAATTTCCTAAAATTGAAAAACAATCTATATTATATAAAACGCTAATACGTACGTATGTATCAATAAAACCGATGTTATTTCTTTTCTCGCGCTGGCAACAGTTTTCATTTTTAATTGATTGGATTCATTGGATTCGGCGCGCAAGAGCACGTAGTGAGCATCATATGGCTAATCCATGTTATATAAAACGCTAATACGTTTTAATTGATAGGCTTCGGCGCGCAAGAGCACGTAGTGAGCATCATATGTCTAATCGGGTGAATTCTCACCGAATTATCAAAAAAATTCTCACAAAATTATCTTCATCGAAGCCGATGCTTTACATCCGGCGTTCAGTACTATTTCATATTGTTTTACAACACATGGTTTTAGCCCTCTGGTGGGAAAGACTTTAAAACAAAACTTACAACAGTTACTTTTCTCAACAACTGAAATTTAGAATAGTGTGATTAAGAAAAATATGTGAATTGTTTGCAATTTCAAATTAATATTGAAATGCACAGGTTTAGAATTTTCTACGGTGAAAGGTTTTCGGAACTTCAGTGTTCAAAAAAGTATACAAAAACTAGATGTTAAGAACGTATCCAATGAGCGAGCAAAGCGAGCATTGGATTGCGAAGCAATCCGAAATGAACTGCGAAAGCAGTTCCGGGGGTTGGCGAGCGCTAGCGAGCAGGGGGCGAAGCCTCCTAGTTATGATAATAGGGATACCGGGGGATACATGAAGCTAAGTCCTCGCGCAATGAAAGAAGAGTTTTCAGACTTTCATCTACTGGAAAATGCTCAACCAAGAAACTTATTCAAGTGACACATTTATATGTTGTAAAAAAAAAATAAAAAAAAAGGGGGGGGGGGAGAAAAAGAAATGCGATGCTCAACACAATTATAAGGTTTCAAAGATTCATTTAAATAAAATCGACTAATTCTCAGTTGCTGCAGGCGCACAGCATTTAAACTTCAGCCAGCAAGTTATCATCTGGGACAGCCAATGCATACAAATAATTTTTTCTAATGAAAAAATAATTCAATTTGAATGACGGGGCCGGGATAGCCTGGTCGGTAGGGCGCTGGGCCCATATCCAAGAGGTCGTGGGTTCGATCCTCGCCGGCCGAAGACTCCCCGTGTAGTAAATGGTGACTGATGCACGTTAAATCTGTCGAGTCTCAAAGTCCTCCATGTTCCCACAACAAATCAATACCTCTGGGGGTACTGATCCAGGAGTTTCCTTGTCTTCTGGATTGGTTCAAAATTACAAGGCTACGGAGTTGAACGTAAGTAGTCTTAAACCCATGAAATTGGGTCGACTGTTCAACGACGGTTATAAAATAAAATTTGAATGAAGCAGATGTATGGAAGTGCTATTGGCATGATTTAAGAATAGAAATATTCTCTAAGTGCGCAACAGCCGGAGGCTCTGGGATTTTTTGCTTACAATAGCGTGGGTTGAATTGCGTTGAAAAATTAATTCGAGAGCTTACCAAAATGTCCGAGCAAGTCATCTTTTACTAAAGGCGGAATTTTTTGCATGATTTCACATGGAAATTGTATATATTAACAAACCATCGCTACTATTTATTGAAGTAACAGTATAGAATATTTGTTTCTACCCCAAAATTTTTAACTTTCCAACTAAGTCTCAAGATCTCAATCCGATAATTAAACTATGGGGTGTATATTTTTAGCACGAAGTTCATGCTAATGGGAGGCATTTAATATCAAGAAAGTGGAAATCTACTATCGAAATCAAACAGTATAAAATAGACTCTGAACTCTCAAAAACTAGTTTCATCCATGAAAAATAGAATAGTTGCAGTAATTCCGGAAAATGACTTTTGCACGAGCCCATAAAATTGTAATATTTTTATATACTATATTTATGTTCACTTGATTGAAATACTAATTTTGTACATACCACTTTTTTTCTGATAATTATAAAATGAAAATCCTGTTTGCTGCGATATTTCTTAATGTAATAATGCATTAATATTTAAATAGTTTTTAATTTTATTTTTAAAAATTTTTTTTTCACTGACTGATTACTAGATAATAAAATTCTTAACTTCAAATTGGAGCAAACCGTCGTCATCAAAATTCTACGTACACTAGTAGAAATATCTACAATAATTTCTTGCAACTTAAAGCAAATACCTTGTTTGGTATTTTCCTTCTTTTTTTTACTACCTCTCTCAACCTATTTGGCATTGAAAAAACTTGATCACGTGTTTTGTTTGTGGTTATTTTGTTCCAAACATGTATTGTGACAGAGTTAAGCATTTCTTTGGATATTTCATATTTTGCCTCTTGATTAGTAAATCCTGTTAATGCTCTATTAGGTTAAGGTTTGGAGACTGTGGTGGCCTCTCTCTCGAAGGAACAGAGTTTGATAAAGAACACTTGCATAAAGCATCTAAGTTCAAACAAATAAGACACATTAAGTTCACTTAAATAAGCACCATAATCATATTTTTGTTGAAAGTAAATTTTATATTTTCGTCCTGGAAAATCCTTTGGGGTAAGATACATTTTAACCACTAGATTAACTCAAGATGCTTTAGAGAGTTTGTTTAGCCAAATTAGAGGTCTTGGCAGGTTTAATGACCATCTAAGTCCTACCGAAGTCATTAAAAGAGTTAAACACTTGTTAATTGCAAATAACCTACCTAATCTTTTGTCAAAAGTGTGCACAGAAGTAAAAAATTCAGAAATAGGTTGTTATTTAACTGCGGAATTGTTAGAAAAAGCGTTTAAAAAAGATACAGCAAAAAATATAGTTTCCGAAAATAATGATATTCCAGACAAAGTTGCAGAAATAATGCATGACTTAACTAATTCCATTCCTATGTCTTGGGACATAAGGGATAATTCTACGTTTTAGAGATCACATAAAAACACTTCTGAAATTGAAATGCTTTTATAATTAAATAAAGTACGTATATTATGTTATTGAAATTATTTGTAATGCATAGGGAATTAAAGCATCTTTATTCCGCGGGAAACCAGACATGAATTAAAAAGTTGGCCATTTTAACTATCATCTGCATATTCAAGAACACAATAAATATAATTTGCTTGCAAAAGAATTTATTTCGTTTTAAAAAAAAATACTTTGAAATAAAAATACATTCTAAAAGCCACAAATATGTTAGTATAAAAAAATGAATGATTTTCATATGAATCGTTTATAATACAAAATGGTTGAAGAAGAGATCTCATGAGTTACTAGAAGATACCAGAGGACCTTCTTCATAGAGTTTTTTATATAAATGTTCGTAATGTTTACGGACCACATTTCTCTTCACTTTATAAGTTGGTGTCAGTTGATCGTTTTCGAAAGTGAAGGGCTCCGAGAGGAAGGCCAAATTTTTTGCCTGAAAAATAAATTTCAAGCATGAACATTAGCAAAATTGTAGATGTTAAACACATTGAGTGCCACGTCATTCATCGGAGACCGATAGTACAAAATATGATGTAAAACTAAAATTACATTATTTAAAGTAATTGCTGAACATTTATTTCAAATTTATTCAGTTTTTGTTCATTAAAAGTCAAAGTTTTATTTAATTCAATCTGTAAGCTGTGAGCTTCTCATTGCTCTCACAATACGAGCGCTTCTAAGCAGCGCGCGTGGCCTGACGGGATTTCCTTTGACATGCTCGTGGTACTTAACCTGTTAAGTTTGTAAAGGGTGTTGTTAGCTTTCACATTCTTTTATTTCCACAGACATACACAGACGAACGATAAACAAAACATTAATAACAAGAAAAAGTCGTTTGGTTGCCTAGCAACCAGCTAGAGTTGCAGTTATTATATCGGCAGATGATTTAAAACAATTATTCAAACTGTTTATTGATGACGGAACAGGTGTCTCACACAAATACTGCGTCGTAAATGGACACAAAGATGAGAATAAGAGCGAAACATGTACATTGGACACCAGTGGTTCTTTCCAGTAGTATGTCCACAAATTCTTGGCGGAGAGAGCAGGGCAGTGCTCAAAGTGGATACTGTCCATAAGTTCGTGAAGGTTTCAGAGCAAGCAACATGAATCACGAAGTACATTTGTTAGGTGCAAATGCCTTGGCTCAAAATGAGTATTAAAGAAAACGGACACAACATAAAATGCATCTTTTGAATGTTGAAGAAATTGTTATTGAATTTTGAATTGTTATTAAATGTTATTGAAATTTTGACAACAAATAGCACAATTTGAAATTAGTTCTTTAAACACTAAGTATAATCATTGTCCTGGACTTCCGAGACAGAGCGAACTGAACATATAATAAAAAATAATTTTTCAGATTCATTTAATTTCATGTAGGCTCAGTCTGAAATTCGATCTCATTGAGTTTCAAAATAAAAGTAAATCGAGTGAAGTTAAGAGTGCTTTTCTTCTAAAAAATTTATATCCAAGGTATTGAACAAAGAGCTTCATAATGTTGTTATAAATTATCTGAAAACTCCCTTACTATCCCCACTACGCTAACCTCTTTTATCAGAAAAATTAGGTTGATTTGAGAAGAATTAGATTTCATTTCGATAATCAGGTAAGGCATTGTTTCGTTTATATTTTTTCATGCTAAATTAAATGAGACAAATCCCGTCACAATCAGACTGACAATTTAAAAGGCATATTCACTGTAGCAAAATCAAAGAGTGTTATAAATTTAGTCTCAGGCGAAAAGAAACATAAAAACCAGTTGGCTGTTTTGGGTTCATGAGACTTTCATTTTCCTGCAAAATGTTAATCCTCTAAGGGAAAAATTGCGGAGCAAAAGTGGCTTAAATTGGTTCGGGGTCAAAACTTAACGACCAAATTTTTGCTGGACAAAACTTCGCCGATCCATAACTTTTCTAATTAATAAGCCAACAGTACGAAATCCGAAGTCTATAGAATAAAAGAGAACGACGAAAGTTTAAGCATTGATTAAAATCTCATTCAAAAATAAAATGGATATTTTTTTGGAGAAAAAAAAATTATTAAGTTAAATAGTGTGTATATCATAGTTCTAGCTTTTAATTTAAAATAAGAAAACACTATAAAAAATAATTAACTTAAAATATTTGTTTTAAAAAAAATAATTATAAATTAAAACCATTGAAACATTGAGTTCCTTTCTAAATTATCGAAACGTTTTTAATATATATTTAAATTAAAATAATAAAATATGAAAAAAATTATTTCGTATTTTTACTTTTATAAAAAATAAGTTAATTATGAATTTGAATTTATTAAAATTATATAATCTATAAGATATTTTCTATTAAAATTAATGCAGAAATTAATTGCAATTTAACGTTAATTATCGAAATATGTCCGCTCGAAATTTTATCCACGCGAATTTTGTCCGCGTGAAGTTATATTCGCGAAGTTTCGGATGCAAATATTCGCTTAATCAAATTTAGTACATTTACCGCTTAAATAATAAGTTGGGGATTTTTGCTTTAATTACAGTACTAAAAGGGCCAAATATTAAGATTAAACTATAAATTTAACTAGCTTAAACTAAATAAACAATGCATTAATAAACTCAATATTTTAAATTATAAAATGACCTGTTCTAAGGGATTCAGATGCTTTCTGATTCCAATTGCATGCAGCATCAGCAAAAATTCCTTCCTCAGCTCCTGCAATAAAAATTTATGATAATGTAAGATTATCCCGGAACTATTTTTTGACATGTTTGTTACAATATTAACTAGCAGGACATTAAAAATGAACTCGATTTATCTTTATGTTGATAAAAAAGGATGGCTGCTACTATACATAAAGAAGTTGAACCAAACTTATAAAAAAGTAAACTCGAAACCTAAATTCTTCAATAGATATCACTTTAAATTTCATGTGTCTCTATATAACATAAAAAAGCAATTTCATGAAAGCATTTTTCGTTGTAATCAGAGCATTCTTATTGGACAGAATACTACATATGATATGATCCAGTTTTCCAAAGTTAAGATCGAGACTTCTTTGTCGGAATCGGCATAAAATGAATAAAAGTTTTAAAACATATTGTTTTAAGTTATACTAGTGGGCTGCGCCAACCCCCGTAAATTGCAACGCAATCTTATATGGTTTGCTTCGCTCGCTACTAACTTAGGTACATTGCAAATACACAAAATTCCAAGAATTCAAAACAATCATTCAAATCCATATAACAACTTTTTTTTAAAAAAAAAAATTACGTCTTTTCAGTAAATACTAAGTCATTAAAGTAAATTTGAATTCAAATAAATGACATGTAATTCGTTAAACCTATTAGAAATGTGCTATAGTATCAAATCTTAAAGCGTAACACCACGACTGAGACTCATTTTTCGATGAATAACAAATAACAATAATAAAACAAATAAATTCGTGATATAAATCAAAAGTCGTCAAATAAATTCGTAGTATATAAATTCGTGAAAAAAAGCACTTTCGACAAAATACTAAAATAGATATCTATCGACAAAGACTTCTCACTTCGGCTTAGCTTAATAGCATGAGATTGCCGCAGCTGATAGAGTGAATTTCTCTCTGGTTATTTCAGTTTCCGTTTTTAAAAGCGCTATATGTTGAGCCACCTCAGCTAGATTTGGCAGGTGACATTTTTAGCATGAGACATTTTTTTCGATTTTCTAGCGTTGCCAATCGGGGAGTTGTAATGAGACTTTTTTTTGTCGCCGTGTAAGAGAAATATATATATCGATAGTTATAAGGATATTTTTACTTGTGAAATATTTCTTTACCCCTAATTTAAGTAAATTTAACTTAAATATGTTTTTGTCATTGCTTTTTACTATTATTAAATTTTCGGTTTTCATTATTATTCTAAATTAAAGAGTTAAAATAATAGGTTATCTATAAGTTAATACTACGTACAATGTTATCTCATTGCGCGATATTTCTCGATTAACTCTTTTAAATCGGTATCTAAATTTAATGACGGTTTTACAATTTTCAAAAAACAAGTTATATTTACTTTTATTACAAGCTTTGCCCAGTCAACGAAGGCAATGTTGTTGACGTATGCCTGTTTAGGCAAAGGGGGTGCGATTGTTCTTGTTTTCCAGTGGCGCCATCTATGGCCAAGAATTCGACTTCTGCCACACCATACGTCACACCCGTTTATAGGGCGGACCCATTCATACATCCATTCATTCATCCACAGATCGTAATTTTGACCTGAATCAGAGAACGATCGATCTCCAATCCAGTACCCCCAGAGGTATTGATTTGTTATGGGAACATGGAGGACTTTTGCGACTCGACAGATTTAACGTGCATCAGTCACTTTACTACTCGGGGAGTCTTCGGCCGGCGGGGTTCGTACCCACGCACTCTCGGACATGGGCCCAGCGCCCTACCGACCAGGCTATCCCGGCCAACCAAGGGCATTAAAAATAATGAATACAAGATGGTAAATCATTATTAGAAATTGAGTTTTCACATTATTGCTAGTTAATCTCTTTGGCAAAAAACATTTTAACAATTTTTTTCAAATAACTGAAAGCTAATAAAAATTTCGAAAGAAAAAAAAGATCGTCGATGATGTGCACTGGAAACTGAATAAATTTTTTGTCGTAAAACTTAAATTTCAAGTTTTATTTTATATTGTGCTTAGCTGTTTACGTTCGGAAATTGATCTGAACAGAATCATACAATTTATCACGTTCCGACGAAGGCAGTTGGAGCATGAGCGCAAGCAAACAGGATTCTTTTTAGTTCATACATTTTAAGTGAATAATTTCAATTTCTGAGAAGAAGAAAAAACTGTTTTGTGCTACAATTGCGAAAGAATAATTCCAGTTGGTGAGCGGGAGCGAATAGGGGCCCTAGTTTTTTTATAAGCATAAGTTGACATCGTTTGTTCAGTACTAGTGTAGCATTATAACTCATTTTTATTCGATAAAACCTAAAAATGATTCCTACAAACATGAAACCATTTAAAGAATAATTTCAGAGCTTTACGCAAAGGAAAAAAATTATTACTTTTTAAATATAAATCAAACCAAAATTTGCGAAAAACATCGAATTAAAAAAAATTAAATCTGTTCGAATTTGCTGCATCTATGCGATGCCAATCTCTGAAATTTTAAATCTCAAAATTAAATGGTGTGAAATTACACTTCAATAATATTTGTAAAAAATAAGTTACTGCTTACCTGGAATTAAAATTTTTACCAATCAAAAAGTTCATTAAAAAGGGATAAAAGAACAGTTTTTGTAATTTTTTGCTTAAAGAGAGATAAGTATTTATTTGTGAAGTGAAGGAACTCACTTTGCTTGAAAGAATTTCTGGCATTTTATCTGCGTATCCTTTAGATACTAACCACTTCTTGAACATTGTGGGCTCTGGTACGACTAGAGTAATAGCATAGTCCTACAAATTACAGAGAGTAACAAAGAAAAGTTAGCAAAGTATGTGCTTTATTTAAGACATTAAGATAAGAAAAAAAAAGATATAATCATCAGCTCACACGATTATATCCTTAAAAAGGAGTGCTTTCTAAAATTGTATCAATATAGCCAAAACAAAATATATCATTACAACAGTTTGAGGAGCATTGAAAAAATTTTTTGATACAAATTTTTTTTCCATGTTTTCTCTACATTTTGAAGTTATTTTATGAGTTCTATATAGTTGCAGCTTATGCGCAAGAAATAAAACTTATTGAATTTCTTCATTTTCAGCGTTTTTCTCCTTTTCCTTTTTGTCCTTTGTAATTAAAAATTCGTTGTTAACTAAATTTATATTTTTATTATGTGCAAATTTAATTCGGACAAATTCGTGGCTAAAAATCTTCTAATATTTAATAAACAATTTTTTAAAATAAATTATTTTCCAATAATTGTGAGAGTAGTATCAATACTATATGTAAATAGATAAGATGTCTTAAGGCCTGGTTTCTTAGGACAGGATGCCGTCCGCTGGAAATCAGCGCTAACCTCTGATTGGTCCATTTGTGAGTTTGATAGTATACGTCATCGAACGCTCATCTTGAACTACAATTGCCGTCCAACTCAACTGCAGTTGGATTACAACGTGACGTTAACCACAGAAGCAATGGCGGACAACATCCAACAGCACATTGAAATCAGCCAAGATTTTGATTTTGACATTAAACATAGCTTCTTCATTAAACATAGCACTCTTCATTTAGCTCAGCTATAATGTGTTTTTTCTTGGACAAAGTCATTATTTGTTCTCTAAAACACTGGTCGACAATAACAAAATCAATACAAATTCAAAATAAATATTTGTTTACGTTATTAACGCATGCGCAATGAGAGATAATGTCTGCGTTGGACCGACTGCTCACGCTGAGCTAACAAAAAAGTATTTTTTTGGCGTCCGCTCTACGTCAACTTTCCGCTGACACCCAGATAAGGCGCTAGTTCTAAGAAACTAGGCCTTGAGCTAACAAACCAGTATTTTGTTGGCGTCAGCGGGACTTTGACGTCCCGCTGACGCCCAGATAGGGCGCTTGTCCTAAGAAACCAGACCTTAAGGCGTAAATAGAGAGATGATTCACGTGATTTACCTACTCTCCACACTGTCCCCCTTCGTTGACAAGTTATCCGAAAATATTGCTTTCCCCACTCCAGTATATTTTGGAGTCGCAAGTCAAGTGCCAGAAACATGGAAAACCATGAAATTTGAGTGGGTGGGAAGTGATAAAATCGCATACCCTTGAGATGCCTTTTCAATTTATAAATAGTACTGTAATACTTAGACAGAATAATTATAAACTGTGTCTAATTTTTAAAATCAGAAAGTTATAGAAAATATTAAAGCGACTGCTAATTTTTTTCTTAAAAAGAAGAAAATCAACGTTTAGAATTGATGGGGCTTCTCGGAGCAGAGTAAATATTACAGGACATAAGCTGGTTTTATAAACAATATGGTTTCCGGGAACGAAAAAATACCGATAAAATTATTTTGAAACCGATCCTGTCTACTGAATTATGAAAATTTTCCATTTCTTTCATTCAATGTGAACTTTGAAAGATAAGCATTTTAAAGTAAATGACTTACTTTGTCTGTAAAACCATCGACAAAGATTTGAAAGACATAAGGGCAAAAACTATAAGCGTTCTCTACTTTTTCTGGTGCTATATATTCACCCTGGAAAAAAAATCAAATTAACCATTCTCTTCGAAACAAAAATATAATGCAATACGTAAATCAACGCAATAAGCTACTGAATATTTGCTTTGCTAATATGTTGCAGGTATTTACTTGTAATGGGAAAAAATCTTATTCTGAAAAAGAAATAATTAAAATGTGCTTCACAAACAGGGAGGTATTAAATGGCACTTCAGTAATCATGAAAGAAATTAAATAACACTTTATAAATCATTAAAATTAATTAAATAAAATCTCATAAAAATTTGAAAAAATAAAATCAAACTGTGTTTTTTCATTGAAGATAAACCATATTATTGGTCATCAAGAGTCACTTCCGATACCTCACTATGGTTGCAGTAAATTTGCTCTGACTTACGGTTCAACCAGCACAAAAATTACCCCAACTAGTACCAGAGTAGAACTACCGCATAAATACGCATAATTTAAAAGGTTTTGATAATTTTATTGAAAAGTAATCTCATTGAGTTGTTTCTTATTGTCAGTTTATTAACGTTTTGAGAACAGCTCATCCAATCCGTTATCTTTAAATGTGAAGAAAAAAAAACTTTTTGTCTTCACTTGTTGTTGTTGTTAATTTACGTCGCACTAGAGTTGCACAATGGGCTATTGGCGACGGTCTGGGAAACATCCCGGAGGATGATCCGAAGACATGCCATCACAATTTTGATCCTCTGCGGAGGGGATGGCACCCCCGCTTCGGTAGCCCGACGACCTGCGCGCGAAGTCGAGCACTTTACGGTAGCACAGTTTAACGAGGACCAATACCGCACACCCTCGGTCCCTACGCAGACTGATCCAAGTGGTCACCCATCCGCACACTGATCGTAGCCAGTGATGCTTGATTTCGGTGGTCTGCTGGGAACCGCGTCTTAACGATCAGTCCACTGCGGGACGTCTTCACTTGTTATAGCGAATATTGTTTAATGTACTTTATAATGTCATTCTATACAAGTTAAAAATAAGTAAAAAAATAATTTTTTTTTTTGCATCGGTAAAGCATTTTAAAAAAATATTAAATACATTTTCTTTAGAGATCTGTATAGTGTATCGATGTGAATTACTACGTTTCAAAATTTTCTGTACAAGAATAATTAATTAACAACGCAACTAGCTTCTGTCATTTAAACTTTGCATTATTTAGAGGATTAAAACTGCTTTTAAGGTGAGGGCTCAACAATTTCGAGACGAATGACATGATTGTGCCAATTGCTCACAAGTCACCTTAACTTTCCAAGCAAGCAATCAATCAATCTGAAGCCACAAACTTAACAAGGCGTTAAATTTATAATATAGTGCGACGAAACAGTAATATTGAGATTGTCACAAATTTTAACGATTTTATGGTTCACAACGCTCCAAATTTTCTAACAGAGCACTGGATCCATAAAGATTGCAATAAATAATGAACATAAGATTTCAACAAATTTGAATGATTTTATGGTTCAATACGCTTCAAACATTTTAATAGAGCACTGGACCCATAAAGATTGCAATAAATAACAAACATAATGAATATTAGATTCCAACAAATTTGAATGATTTTATGGTTCAATACGCTCCAAATTTTCTAAGCAGCGTATTGAATTATAAAATGATAGAAGTAATGATATGTGGGAAAAAATCTTTAGTTTCATTCTTACAATACAATGCATAGCATTCTTCATAATCAGTAGTATTACAGAATATGCAAATCCTTTAGTATTTACCTGAGAGAGTTTAAAAAGATGCTTCTTCCTGTCTATAATTTTCAATGCCCCGTTCTGTAAAATTTTTAAAAAAAGAACGTAAATTAATTAATTCATTTACTTTGAAAATTCGAAGATAATTTAGTGAAGTAACAAATGTGTTATGTAATAGTTTTCCTTACTGAAAAATGTGTTATAGAATAATTACTATTTACAAAAATTAAGCATAAACACAGTTGGTTTTTCCTAAAGTCCTTATGTCTAAAATGTTAAGAGAGTTGCAGTAAGCAGCTTCAAAATTGTCCAATTGAGAAACGTTTGGCGTAGTTTCTAGCCGATTTTCTTATTGAGTTAAAAATCATGTTTACTGTAATGAGCTACGTTTTTTTAAGTTATTGTACCAAACCAACCAAGCAAAATTTCCATAAATATTATAAAGGGAATCAAAATTTTATTTACAGAAATATATTTTCATTTTAAGTTTCTTTGTAAAATTTTATGCCAGAAATAACTTCTCAGTTATAAAACTAACGTTTGATCAAATCTTTATTTCTTATACAGCATATAATAGCCCAAATAACTTGATAAAAATACCAAATATGGGTACATTTTTGTTACAAGCATAGCTATTCTAGTTAATTCACAATATGCTTAGTTATATTTTCTTATATCAGCTTATATCAGACTATCACTACACCACATTTGTTTAGAAAATAAGAGTAGCAGTAAATGCTGCATCCTGAAAACTATTAGTTCAATAATTATGGAACTGATATAGTGCGAAATGAAACATACTTTTACCAAAATAAATAACTTACTGGTAGCCACTTGCCGATGTCCCCTGAGTGGTACCATCCATCCTTCAGGGCTTCATTGGTCGCCTCAGGATTATCCAGGTAACCTTTGAATACGTTTACACCTTTCATGCACACCTAGAAATGCATAAATCTCCAAAATGACATGTTTACTTTTTTTACATTCTTCGGGGAAAAATAAATTGGAAATAAAATTGAGAAAAATATGCATGTTTTCAGTTTATTCATGATTACCAGAATAGAGGTAATTCTATGGTAATAAATCTAGATGTTTAAACTTGAGGACTTATTTTTAAATAACTCGTGTAAAGTTTCTTTAGAAGAGTCTTATATCTGCTAACTAATGGGAATCCTTTTTCTTTTCAAGGTTCCATTTTAGTCGGACATTCAGGAGATGCTTTACCTCTGAAGACACTTTTCATAGCAAGCTCTGTTTCACTTCCATTGGTGCTGTAAAATTTAAAGCTTACAGAAAAGTGAGTTCAGATGAACTTAGTGTAAACTATGAAATTTCAAATGCTGACAAAAATACATTCAAAATACAAACAAATTTTTGCTGAATTACTTACCCATAGCGTAATCCTGCCATAATTTGCTTGCGTTTTGATATTTTTAAGTTTTTTTTTAGTATTTGAAGCTTCATGATTTACTTTATTTTAACCTGAACTCACAGTTCTTTAAACTTTAAATTACTTATGTAGTCGTTTTACATGTTGTACAGCGTCCTGATAAGGCGTTAACTATGTATGTTATATTTGGTGGATTCTGCGGCTACATTTGGTAGATTTTAAAGTAGCGAGAAAAGTATCGAGAGTGTCACTTGTGAATCAGGATTAATTTTTCTTCAGGCAGTTATTTTTAGGTTAGAAAAATAGTATATAAAATTCATTTCGCTGATTTTGAAGCAAGCATCAAGTAATTACTTCCAAAAAATACAATTTTTACATATTTTTACATTTACATAGACGAGTTATTTTCTTCTCACAGCCAATGATCATTGTTGGTTGTAAAAATCTTGCATTTATTTAACTATTTTCTTCTTAATCGAAAATTTTAGCATTTGCATTTTAAACACATAAAACTAAAATATTAAATTTAAAAATTAGAATAAAAATTCTATTGTTCGGAGTAATAATTGGCTGAAATCCAGAAAACTATTTACTATATAACTGATTTTTCTATCCTCTTTAACAAATACAATTTATTTGCTAAACTAGCACTCAAACGAGAATTAGTTTTAAATTAATTTTTTTTAGTCTCAAATGTGACAACCCCACTCAATTATGGAGCAAGGTTTTCAAGATTCCGATTTTTTTTTCCTTTTTTGCCGAAACTTATAAATAATTTATTTCTTAACCAAAGCGAGAGACAATTTATATATGTTATATTTCAATTAAAAATACTATCTACGTAAAAAAAATGAATCAGATTAATTTTTTTGTTGACACTTCGTTTAAGTTTTAGTTAATCAAAGGAGAAATTAGCATTTAGTGAACGAAGAATTCTCTAACCGAAATACTAAAATTGCTGAAGTGACGTATTATATTAACAATTTTGTTTTAGATAGAAATTAAATATAAATGCAGTACCAAACTTTTGTTCTTAAAATCAATATTTCATATCGAGTTAATATCTCATCTATAAGAGATAATTATATCGTAACCACCTAAATGCAGAATCCGTCTCTCTGTAAACTGTTGATGCCTCATCGCAAAGCTGCAAAAAAAAAAAGCCTAACAAATGACGTTTTTAGTTCGCAAAGAGACAGATTTTCACATTAGCCTACGGCAAATCTATTTGTTAGATTTTAGTATTTAAGTAAGATTTACTCTTTTATTATCAAATATATCAATAAAAAATATTACTTCTCCCGTATCATCTTTAGAAAAATATCCCATGTCTGGAACGTCAACTAATTTGATGTGGTTGCAAACCATAGGAGATCCAACAAAACCTATAACATTTAAAAAAAAAAATTACAAATTAAAATGACAACATAGTGATTACTGAGTCGCGTACTTAGAATGCCCAGAGAAAAAAATGTCAAAATATCTGTTGCTGTTCGCAGAGGGAGACCCATGTAAATGTTTTTATATGTAATGCCATTATATGTAAATGTTTACATTTACAATGTACGATATTCAATGAGTTAAAGTTCTTAGGGATTTCTGAATGGGAGTAAGCCATATCTGTTGTTAAAGACAGGATTAACTGGAGAATATGTTATAAGCCTTACATATACCCGGAGATAAGCGATTACTTCAAGACCCTTTGAAAAAATTACATTTTTTTTTTAAATATGCTTCATAATACCCTGTGTATCTCAGGTTCAAGATTTAATGACTTGAAATACATACCAATTCTTATTTTAAATAAAAGCTAAACTAAATCATTTGTCTAAATTATCATATAAGTGCTGCACAGCAAGATATATTAATATTGTAAAGAGTAGTTTTTGTTGTAAAAATGCAAATGGTACTAATATTTTGAACTTTTTTCCTTTTATGATTATGTTATTACAGTTTTAATAAATATGATGTTTTCCTTACAAAGATCCGATTTTATTACTATAAATTTTTTAAATTTTGTTTCAGATTAATATCGTTCAGAATTATTAGATCTAAACCAGTTTCGGCATAAGAATAACAATCTTTGATTGGACGTGAACAACAATTTACTGAAATAAAACCCTTGTCAGCCAAGTTAACATGGAGGGCATCGATAAGGTATCTTTATCTCAAAATTCGAGACCTGTTTTCCTTTTATTTCAGCTAAAATTAATCCTAAGAATTAAAAGTATCAATTATATGTAAATTTAGTGTTAAATAACTACCGCATACGCATATTAAAAGTTCAAACCTAAAAAAAAAGAACTTTCTAGGTTCCAAACTGCTAATAATTGATTAAATTTATCATGAAATCATATTGTAATCGTCATTGAGTGGAAATTTTAATTACTGTGGTGATTAAATAAGCTTATGTGAGCGAGACAGCTTATTTTTTTAACATATAATAGTGGTTTCAATAAAAAAATAAAACGATATTTAGGAGTTACGACACTGATGTTGAGAGGGAACACGTACGAAATAATTATGAGCGGCACTTTTGCCAAGTTATTTATGTCATTACGTGCCAAATAAAAAGCTAAAACTTATAAAAAAATAGTGTTCTTTTTAAGTGTTATTTTCCCGAAAACATTTTGCAAATAAATATTAAAAATAAAGTTGCATTTTTAGATTGAAAAGAGTCACGATGACTCAGGATTTAATCCCTGAGTCATCATGGCGTAAATAGATAAGTACTACTCTACCATAGATAAGCGATAGAGTAGTACTTGTCTATTTATGCAAATTTGTTAAAATTAAATTTATGTTACTGAAAGACTTGTAGTTCCAGTTCCACTGAGCGAATCAGAATGAATCAAATATATGTTCAGTAGATCATATAGTCAAGGTTTGCAATGGGAAAAGAAGTTTGAAATTCTGCTAACGGATGACACTGTTCTTCTAAAACCATAGGTATATAATAAGTTAATAACGAAATGGTACGCTTTCAGCATTTTGATATTCGGCAAAATGCTTCATAGAACACAAATAATTAAAATGCTATGTTATTCTGTTCTCTCTTTTTTTTTACATCGTTTCAGTGCCACCAGTTGGTAAACTTCAAAACTATCCCTCCCCCCCAAAAGAAAAACCATGGCGTGATCTACAAAACATATATCTGAACTTTCATTTGGATACGTTAACTAAAACCTGAACTGTCTCTGAGTACTATCAATTTAATTTTAACCGCCTTATACCTAGTAGTACTTACCCAATGGCATGTCTTTTGGAAGAGTCATGACAGCTGCCAGAACTTCAGTACTCCCGTACGCTTCAAATACCTGCAACACATTTCACCATTTACCATATTAACTTATATCGCATTACCATAACTTATATCACTTACCATATTAACTTATATCACATTACAAAAAAGCCGGCCAGGTGGCCGAGCGGTTAGCGCGCCTGACTGCGAGCCATAGGCTGCGGGTTCGAATCCCGCTCTGTGCATGGATGTTTCTCTCTCTCTCTCTTTGTGCTGTCCTCTGTTGTGTGTGCGAATGATGTGTGAATGTGGCCCACCCTATAAACGGGTTTGTGGCGTGGGCAATGTTGCTCGCCTCCGTGACTTTGGTTCACAAGTGCCCACTGGGTAACGCGAAATGAGCAACAATTCTGGCATAGTATAGGCAAAACTCTTCATCTAATGGTTGGATTTTCACGTGCTGAGATTCAATCTTAAAAATTCGAAGGCTTAACTTTGACTATGCTAATTATTTAGAGCATACGATAAAGTTACAAAATCACATATAAAAACATACTTTCTTTAAATAAACATGTACTTTTTTCAACGGATTTGTATTAGTGACCATCAAGGTGTAAGGGTAGCTGCAATCAGAAAAATAGGGTTTTAACAATTTAGGTATAGGAGAGCTTGAAAATTAAGCTCCCTTACTGTTAATTTCATTGCTTGCGTATTTCGCCATCTGATGGAAGATATATTTTTTAATTTCAATTTTTCAAGAACTAGTGAACTGATTCTTTTCATAGTTTGGATTTTGCCTTTCAAAATTATGTAGATTAAGTTGGTGCAAAATGTTTTGTACTTTACAAGTCAAATTTGTTTCGTCCATTAGTAATTTAAATAATAAAAATTAAATAATTATGAGACAAAATGTTTTGCATGGAATTACCTATGGATGAACAAGCTTTTCAACGTTATGCAATTATTTTAAAATTCTTTTCATTAATTCCGGAGCTATGACGAATTACGCAAAACAGGAAATTAAAATTAAAGGGTCTAATCTTTCGATGGTTCTCCTGACCAAACTATTGGGACCACATTTTCCAGATTGTGACTTCCAACTACATTTTGAGAGACAAGGATCTGAATTCAAAGAAGAAAAATAATATTTTTTCAGAGAAAGTACGTTTTTAAGTCTTACTTCGGAAGTAAAAACGTAGTCTGCAATAATTAATTAGCAAAATTAAAGATAGGCCCTTGAACTATTAAGATAGTACATAAATCTTAGATCAAATTTATTCATAGCGTTTTGCGTAAAGTGCATCTATTGCTTGGGCACGCTTTATTGGACGCTAATTTTTGTTTTCAGTTTGTTGTTATTTGTTGTTGTTGTTGTTAATTTACATCGCACTAGAGCTGCACAATGGGCTATTGGCGACGGTCTGAGAAACATCCCGGAGGATGATCCGAAGACATGCCATCACAATTTTGATTCGCTGCGGAGGGGATGGCACCCCCGCTTCGGTAGCCCGACGACCTGCGCGCGAAAGGATATAAATCGTTTTCTTGAGTCAAAAAAGGCATTAATATGATATTAATCTTGGTCAAAATTATATTTTTTTCACGAGATTAACTTCTTCCTTCTGTTTCAAAGAGCTTCTTCGAAGTGTTCTTCAAAGCGCTTTGGCCAAGTTAATCAAATAATGCTGATAAATATTAAACTCAAATTGAAGTTCTAATTTAAACTGTACAGCACACACATTCATGCTGAGAGCTGGCTAGCTTCTAATCTAGGCAGATATTGTAAACATCCAAATAAATATTAACTTAAAAATAAATAAAAAAATTGCCCATTTAAGAATTTTTTTTTCACATAGAGGAAAATTATTGAAACCAAAAAATTTTTTAAACCAATGAATGCTTAATCAATGAATTATTGAAACCAAAAAATTTTTAAAACCAAATATTGAAAAACCGCATATGTGAAAAGCATTTTGATTGCACACGTGAACCATTTTGTTTTGAGACTACTATCTACTAACAGGAGATGAAATGGACAACTGTTTGATTAGCGGAAAGTTTAACAACTTCTCTTTATGTGAATTAGTGTGGTCTAACCCACGGGCCGCATGCTGACCATCTATTAATTTTTATGGGTCTTGCCATTTTTAATGGAAAGATATTTTAGTTTAACACTTGGAAAATACTATTTTAATTCAACTTCGTAATACTAATTTAAGTTCATTTTTTCATTTTGTATTCAATTGCGATCTCCACCCCCGTAACGGCCATATTAAAGCTTCACTCTTAAATTGCTATAATCGGTGGAGTGGCTATAATAGTGCACGCTTACCGGAAATGAACTGAATCGAAAACGAGAAATCGAAACGGTAGTGCTTCACTACAATTCAGTTTGAGACATCCAGTACTGAGCCTCGAACTTGCAGTAAACATTGATAGATTTGCATTTGGAAAACAGTGTCAATCATCTCAATTATAATTCGATTATAAAATGAAGTGGTTTATTTAATTTCCTTTGAAATAAATTTTACTAAAAATTTTAGTATTATATATATAATTTGTTTTCTTTCAGCTGGAATCTGCTAAAGGTTGATGGACCCTTGCGTAACTGAAGATAGGATCACCCTGCTATATAGATAATTGTGTGTCATTAATATTTGTCTTTTTTTTTATAAAGTCGTCCATGGAAAGTTATATAAACCCGAGAAAAATATATCACAGTTAATAAATTGGAAATAATTTAATATTCTTAGGGCGACCTGTTATCAATTGATCCACGAGCCAGTATAGGTTCGTAGTCCGGAATCCACTGCTCTAAAGTATGCGATATTTATGACAATGATCTTTTTGAAGCCGCTATGGTTCAGGTGATAGGACGTTCCCCTGAAAATGAGGTGATCCTGGTTCGAATCCCAGTGATGACTGGTCGATAAGAACTCTGTTCCCTGTACACAGTGCTGACGTAAAAATATCTTCAGTGGTAGACATATTATGAGTTAGAGGCCTCATGCTATCAGGCTAAACATGGGAGGTTTTCGTAATTTTTCTCTCCGTGTAACACAAATTCGGGTTACTTCCAGCAAAAAGTCCTCCCCGAAGGCTAATTTCTCCCAACACTTGATACAAGAGTTCCCTTGTCTTCTGGAATGGGTTTAAAATCCCATTGCTACGGAGTTGAATTAATAGTCGTAAACTCAAAATTGGGTTGCTTGTTCAACGACGATTACAATAATAACACAAATAGATGGTCTTTTTTTCCAGAAGCATACATTTATATTATTTTAAATAAGTGATGCTGAAGACGTGTAACAATTTCTGTAGAATAAATTTAGAGAAAATTGCTGAAACTTTTTGACAAAAAAATTAATATATGTATATTTATCTGGAAAGAATTTTTTTTAAATAGCACTTGAATATATTTACTTCGAATTGAGATTAAAGAAGAAGTCTTACGTATCCACCAGAAGCTATCGAGAAAAAATGCATCACATCTTGAGGTACAGGAGCCGACGTAATACATGTTGCAAAGACGTTGCCACCAATTTGCTCTTGGAAATCTTTAAAGACGTATTTGTCCCAAATTGTAGATTTTGTAAGGATACCCCTTCAGGAAATAAATAAATGAAGAGACATCATTAAATCAATAGCTCTGATCACTTTAGAAACAGTTTTGATGATGAAATTGTGAAAATTACAACACCATGAAAGAATCGTCATAATTGAGTGAAATTTAATAGTTGAGTAGTAGTGGTACAAATAAATTATTAAACTTTCAAAGCAAACAAACAATAACGAGAGATCGAAATCAGTATTTTGTGTAGCCACCATGCGCCGCAATAAGTGCTGCTGCACGACGGGGCATGGAGTCGAGTAAATTTTGAATGTCTGAGGAAGAGCATTCCATATTGTTTGTATGCGTACTCAAAGTTCGTCTGTGGAAGCAACAGGACGAGGATTACGAGCGAGACGCTGACCAACGAAATCCCACACATGTTCAATCGGCGACATATCCGGGGAATACGCAGGCTAAGGAAGAAGTTGTACCTGCCGAGAAACAAGGAAGGATTGAACAGTCATAGCAATGTGAGGGCGGGCATTGTCCTGTTGAAATACAGCGCCTGGCAAGGTTTGAAGGAAGGGAACAGCTTGGGGCTGTAGAATTTCACTGATGTACCGGCTGATGTTCAGATTACCCACAATTAGTAGCAATTGAGATCGTTCATGTTATTCCATGGTACCCCAGACCATAACTCCGGGTGTTCGTCCACTGTGGCTTTCGATAATGCACTCCGACGTTCACCGGCATAGCGTCTGACACGAATGCAGCCATCATGGTACCACAAATTAAAGTGGGATTCGTCAGAAAACATGACACGCTGCCAATCAGCATGCCAGTCCCTATGCTGATTGGCCCTTTGTAGCCGCAGGCGGCGATGGTTTAGCGTGAGGGGGGATCCTGTATAAAGGAGTCCTTGCACGCAGTCCATGCTGCAGCAGATGTCTACGAATTGATGAAGCACACAATGAAACACCTGTAGCTATTGACTACCGTGCTGCCAGTTGTCTAGAGTGAGCCGTCCGGTCCGTCAGCGTCATGCGGACTAGGTGTCTATCATCGCGAGCTGATGTGACATTTCGGGAGCCACTCCCGGATTTCCGAGTTGTCAGACACTCTTGCGTCCACTGCTTCCAAACACGCATCACTGTGATGCTGTTACGCTGCACACGAGCGGCTACTGCACGATAAGACAATCCAGCTTCACGAAGGCCGATGATTCTCCCCCGTTCAAACCCCGTAAGTTGTTGAAACCTCACTCTCTTTCATCGAAGAGGCATAAGTGACGACTGAGCTAACGTTTACCACTAGCAGATAACCACCGATAATCATACCGCCTCGCTACAGCCGTCTATTTATTCGGATCCATCCGCCATTCAGAGGGAGCTGCTCAGCATACGCATGCGTTACGGGTCTTATTCAGAAAGGCGGTCAAATCTTATTAACCATAACGTAATTATTTTTTTTTGTGCATATTTATTTTGTTGCATTAATATACTGTTATAAATTACAATTAAAGAGATCTGTTAAATGCTTTAGAACTTAACGATCAGAAAAATTTCTTCTGTTCACGAATAGAACTAAATATTTATAATACTAATAGATAATAATATCTGGACGTGAGGAGTGAAGGCTCAAGCATAAGCAAACAGAATTCCTTTTAGTACATATATGTTAAGTGAATAATTTTAATTTTAGTAGAAAAACTGTTTTCTTCCAAGAAACAACAATTATTGTGAAGCAATCATTGGGGTTGCTGAGTGGCAGCGAATAGAGGGCTTAGAACCCTAGTATGAAATAATCTGTGAATGATTAAAATATAATACTTTTTTAAGAGTTTTTCTTTTTGCTTCATCGCTAGGGGTAATAAAGCTGTTTTGATTTTGCTTTCTTTTATCTTCATTAAAGCCTGCGAAGAAAAAAAAACCATATTACTTCAATTGATTCAGGAAACGTAACAAAAGAAAACGAGAAAAGGAGGAATCACCTTGAGTTAAAATTGAGTACAATAAAATACTGTTATTGTGAACAAAATAATAATAGTAAAAAAAAACGCGAATGATGCAGAAATGAAATATACTATAGTTACAGGTTTATAGACAAGATTCTTCCTAATGTCTAAACACCAAATGATCATTGAGAAAAACAAACACGTACAAAAGAGACAAACACGTACATGTAAAGAGACAAACAGGCAAAAAGTGGTTAAAGTATTAGAGACAGAAGAACAAGTTTGAAGGAGATAATCAAGTAGTAGTAGTACTTTACTTACTGCACTAGAGCTGCACAATGGCCTACATAATAATCAAAGAAGAGAGATAGCAAGCTTACATCAGTTGCTTTAGTTATCATATGCAACAAATGCAAATTGGTTATCATATGCAACAAATGCAAATGCATAAGCAAATTTCGTAAACCTAGCTTAAATATTCATGGAGAAAAAGACATTTTCATAACAAAAAAAATCATTTTTTTCGCCTCAAATTTTCTTACCTTAATCACAGGAATATTCAATAAAATTAAGCAAATTTTTTTAAATAAATTTTTAATTAATAATAAGTCATCTTACAAAAATGATTTAAAATATTTTTGTTATAGGTTTGGCAGATTATCGAAAAATAAAATAAAAACGTAAATTAAGGGTGGTAGGATGTCTTATGACGCGTTCTTACTAAAGTACAGAAATGCATTTGATTTGTCAGTACAATATAATTCCCTAAGTTCATGTTCATTCAGTTTCTCACCACTCACTATTTATATATATATATATATATATAAGTCACTTACTTCGCTTTATCATCTGATATTATACCTTTCTCTACTCTAGCTAATTAAATCTATTGCAGCAAAATGTCTCAAAAAGGACTAACTATTCACTCAAAAGAGAGAAATATCATCAAAGTAATGAAACATTTAATGTAAAAAAAAAAAATTCACATAGAGATTGTGAAATANTTCGGCTACGTTTAAATTTTTCTCCACTCAGATGAATGAATTAGGGGCCCTGTCGGGGCCAAAACTTAGACAACAACCTCGCATAGGTATGTAGATATATATCTTTTCCTTATTTTGTTTTCCGGCTTATTAATCTTTCTTTTTAATTTTTAAATATCTTTTAGTTTATTTTATTCATTAATAATTTTTCTCTTTGAAAAATTTATATATTTTCCCCCTATTTTCTTTGTAATAACTTATTTCATGTGTTTTATGAACTTACGGCTTAAAGCTGTTAAAAAACTTATCATTTTTTTTCTTAATTTAATTTTCTTCTATATATACATATATATAATAACATCGTGACGAGAGAGAGAGATTAGATACACTCAATATTTAGGAGACTACTTTTTATTTATTTTCTTTCTCTTCTTTTTTTAAATGTACAATATTTTTTTTCTTCTCTATACTGTGCATGTGCTATAGTTTATGTTATTGCTGCCAAATATTCTTGATGTAAAGCTATTTCAGCAAGATAGTTTGCAATCCCGATTTAAAAAAAAGCGTATGGAAGATTTTACAATAATTTTTTTTTATAACAAACAAGAACATATTAGAGTTTTACTTATTTTAGGTAGTGATACTTACTTGCAAATAAATACTAGTCATTAGTCTAGGAACCACCGGTAAAATGGTCGGCTTCACGCGTCTTACTTCTTCCATCAGACCTTGAACGTTTCCGGAATAAAATGCGACGCAACGAGCAAAGTACATGCTGGCTACCTGATTGAAACAAAACAATTCATGAGTCGTTAGCTAATTGAAAAATCTAGCTCTTTGTAAATGTTGCCAGCATTTTAGTATTCTAATAAAGTATTCATGTAAAGTATTTCTAATCCACCTGAAATTCATAGGTTCAATAAATTCGGCGTATCGGTTTTAAGACTAATCTGGAAACTCTCGAAAATCACTCAATCTAAATTTTCTTAAGCTTGTTGCCATAAACCTTTAAGATTATTTACAATAAGCCTTCACTATTCTAGCCTTATTGCAAACTGTCTAAAATAAATCAGACTTGTTATACAATGAATGGTATGGTGTCTAAGTGGACTAAAGGTATTTGTGTTAACTGAAAAAAGCCTGAGAAATGTCAGGCTGTTTAGAAAATACTCAATTTAATTCAGATCAATTGCAAAATGACGGCGGCCGTTATCAATGATCCAGATTATTCAATTGGCATAAGCATTTCATAATCCTAAAAATACAAATATTCTAAATCATACTTTCTTCTTTATTTCGAAAGAAAAGTTTGTAATTAGAATGACAAATCGGATTAGAAAAAAATGAGTTCTGAATTAACATTAAGGAAAATTTAAATAGTGTGCGCCATTTTGTTTCTATTTAATTATCTATCTTGTAAAGCAATCATAAGGATAACTAACATAATTTTTTAAAAATAAATTCATAAATATATAGTGAGTGCTAAGGCTGATAAATCTACTAGCTTTAACTAAGCTGAAAGAAATTTTTAAAGATTAGTTTTTTTGACCGAAAAAAAGGAAAACGACTGATCCAGTTTCTTTTTGAAGGAGATCCGGGACGCGATATTTTGCATGGACTCAACTAAGCTCGAAGATATCGAAAAAATCTTGTGAAAATAAATCTTGTTCTATAATCAATTTTATTTAAAAATATGTATCAAGCAATTTTGAGGTATAGAATGGATCTGGAGCACATAGTATATAAATAAACACAGTTTTCATGCGTGAAATAAGCATTTGCAGAATGATCTCGTGCAAGAAGAGAAGGAATAAGATTGATAGTGGGTATTTGGCGAAATTCAAAATAACCAGCCAAAATGTGGGGATTGAAGTGCTCCAGAGTTAATCCTTGTGAAATATCGCATCCGAGACAGATTTTTGAAACTTTTTGTTCTGATGTACCATACAAAATATATTATAAAATGCTCGAAAATATTCCAGGAGACATTTTTAAAATACCAATGTAATATCAAACTGAGTTTTTCAATATTATATAAACATTTCTTCTTTCAATTAATTCGAAATTTCTTTTTTACCCTTTGTTACTCTTCAGCCTGGTTACCATGACCGCGGAGAATTTATTTATTGACTTTGAATTAAGTATTAAGTTTTTTTTAAGGAAATATAGGTAAGTATCATTATTTGCATGTCTAAAATTTTGTAACTGGTAATGTAGGAACATTTCTAATTTAGCTGTACTGTCTGCTTTCATCTGTATTAGCTTTGTTTCCCTATATAGTTTAACAAACAGCAATTGCAATGATTTACAGTACAAATTTAGCTAGACTGTAAGTTGTTAATTGTTTCAGGTAACTATTTTCTATTGAAGTACTTTTGAACATTGGTAACAGAGGGGAACAATGTAGATTCTAGTTGAAGTTTTATTATTATTTTTTTTTTACAGTTCCAAATCAAAAAGTACGCTGCTGTTTTAAGTTTTATGGACGCAGCTGAAATTTTTATATATAGCAATTCGAATATTTACTTTTTTAATTTTTTTTCCTAAATGCGTCTTTCATTTGAAAAGGACACACTCACACAAAAAACAGTTCTTGATAAACAGTTTTAAAATGCGTATAAACAATGATAAATAATATAAACATAATAGTGAGTAGGAAATGCATAATCGACATAATAGTGAGTATTACATAATAATGAAATACAAGTCCCTCAATTCTTTTAATCAGAATTTAATAAACTACAAAATGCCGAACTATTGGATGAAAAGTCGATTTCAATAAGATTTTGAGTGCATTTTGATTGGCCTTATTTTAATTGCTTTAAGAGATTGATTCATGATCGTTCTCATATTCAGTGAGGTCGAGTTAGTTTAAGTACTAGTTAGTTCTAGTACTAATTAAGATAGTTTACTGGTTTCCTTCTTAATCTATTTCCCCTGCGTCATTATCTACGTGTGTTATGAAACATTTCGGTTTGACTTACCTCATTGACTATTTCATACACATGTGCAGTTGGTAGGTATGATATGATACATCCGCCAAAAATACCAGCAGTCTAAAAAAAAATTATGAAATAATTAATAACTGATGATCAAATTGTTTGAAATTAAACAATTTCCAAAATTTTTTATAAATAAATTACTGATATAATCTGCAAAGCACCGTGGCACTCAATTTGCTTAGAATAATGTCATTTTTTCTTAAATGATATAGATTAGAAATTCAAACTGAAAGGAATTAAAAAGCTAAAGGAAATTGGAAAATCGGATTCAAGTATAACTTTTCATATTAATTATTTTTGAAATCAGAACTTTTATTTAATATTACTAGATACGATAAATTGACAAATAAAAGTACAAAGATGTCGATTTTTTGCTAAAAGTTTATATACAAAAAATGCAATTTAAGGAGGAATATTACAATGGCAAGTTATGTTTTTAAATTGGCAACAGTGGTTTCAGTGACAACATCGCTATTTCCATGTATTGTTTGTGAGCAGGGTCTGTTATTAAATAGAAATTATCGAAATCCGTAAGGAATCTATCTGGTAACAATAATAAAGATTAGCGTGATGTGAAAATGTCATCTTTGAAAAAGTATCGCTTATCACTGCATTTTCCAACTCCATAAAAAAAAATTATTGCATCATTGATTTCTCCTGTGGAGAATTAAAGATTAAATATCTACGTATGTATAACAATGGTTGGTTGGTTCTAATGCCACTTGCCACACGGGCAAGCCTGCTTGGTGAAACCGAGCAAATTTAAAGCAGAGTGTGCGATTCCTGTTTTTCAGTGGCGCCATCTATGGCCAAGAATTCGACTTCTGCCACATCATACGTCACACTTGTTCATAAGGCGAACCCATCCATTCATCCACAGATCATAATTTTGACCTGAATCGGAGAACGATCGATCTCCAATCCAGTACCCCCAGAGGTATTGATTTGTTATGAGAACATGGAGGACTTCGAGACTTGACAGAGTTTTAACGTGCATCAGTCACCAACTACACGGGGAGTCTTCGGCCGGCGGGGTTCGAACCCACGAACTCTCGGACATGGGCCCAGCACCCTACCGACCTGTGTGCCTGCCTGTGTGTCTCTCTCATATCTCTGAAATTGCTTGTGCTCGCATCTTGAAATTTAGACAGCGCTAACAAGAAGCAATTTTTCCAAAACATTATTCACAAATTTCCGTAAGACCATTCGAGAAAGAAGTTTTACAAAAAGAATTTTTATCATACTTTTAGCATTAGGAGTTGTTAATTGTTACTAACTAAACTTCCTACGCATTTTTGCTTCAATTAAGAAGATAACATCTGTGATATTTCCTAGCTTAGAGAATTTTTCAATCAGAAACAAAAGATTACTGATCGTTTTTCATAGTTATTTTATTCGTTATGTCAGGTTAGCGCAAAGATCAACGCACGTAGCATGTGAAGAATGCACAAACGAATTGTTATTTTTAAAACTATCTAAAACCTGTTTATTTGCTGAAAATTGCGTTTTTTAAGCATATTTCTATAAAACTAAATGTTTTTAAACGGTTTAATTAAAATAAAAATAATGTTCCGCATTAAAGAACAAAATAAATGGAGGAAATTGCTTTATTGTCGTAAATTTTAACTAATTAATCAAAATCATACATAAAAGATGAAAAGAGAATGACATGCTATATCCAAATATAAATATATCCTTTAACACAATTTAGAGATGTTTTCAAAGAGAAGTAAAACAATAACACAAGTACTCACGTCATACACGAGACTCTGAATGGAAGGAAATACACCAAAATAAATAATTTAAAAAAACGTTTAATTCATCACAAATTTTCTTTAATTCTTGAATTATGTTATTTTATATCACACACACTTTACAACAGATATTTTCATTAGGGAATAGAATAGAAGAAAAGCTCAAACACAAAATCGAACGTGAAATTAAGAAGAACGAATAACCATTTTGCGTGAGTTACAAACAAACAAAAAATGATTAGAAGGAAGGGTTAGGAGGGCAGAAGATGTTGTTATAACATCTTCTGTCTAGGCAACTGGGACCATATTTTCCAGATTGTGGCTAACCTCTATATTTTTACTGTGAAGAATCCAAATTAGAAAAAAAATGTTTTTCGCTAAGAAAATAAGTTTACTTTTCAAATTTTGTAACATCATTCGCACTAATTAATTGTCACATTTTAAATTCACCTCTTTGTGTGATTTAAATTTTCATTTATTTCGAGAAAACTCGGTTAATCGAATGAAAGTTATCAGGGTGATATCGTTTTTTTTTCACTTTCTCTTTCGTTTTTAGTATGCATGAGTACTAACTTTTGTGACTCACAGCATTCAAAGTAAATTGAAGTCTGATAAAAGGGTATACATGAAAGAAAAAACTGTACTCTCAGTTTCAAAGGGGCCATCATAGCGAATAATAAGTAATTAGTATTTGAAAAAATGCTAAATAGCGTACAATCACTTACCCCATATCCATACACAAGAGATGCAACGCAAGAAATCAAATTTGCATGCGTCAAAATGGCACCTTTTGGAACACCTGTTAAAGGAAATTTATGTTAGATTTCTATTAAAATATTAAATTTATATTAAAATTACTTCGACGAAGAAAGAAAAATGGGGCGAGAAAATAAAAGAATTTTTAGCAGTTTCTGATATTGGCGTAGTGTATGGAGATTGTAGAACTAAAAATTTCAAGAATTTGTGTAGAACTAAAAATTTCAAGAGTTTTGCAAACGAGCCGGTAGAAGAATGCTTTTTTTCATATTTGAAATCATTGAGGCATTTGTACCGCAGACTGATTTTGTGCCACTTGCTTTCGCTCTCTCCTTTAAATGTATAGTCAAGGCTGAACTAGATCAGTAACTTTTACGTATTATGCTGTTTAATTGTACTTAATTAAACTGTTCCAAGAGCTACGTTGCATCTATGAAACAGGCAACGCCTTCTATGTAAACAAAGGTTGAAGCTGTCCACTACGTTTAATCAATATGTCTGGCTATATTTGTACGAACCCAATATATGAAATGAGATAATTGATTTAAAATATAATTTATCATGTTTAAAAATTATTAGTTTCTATCAGTTTAACTTTAAAAAAATGTAACAATATACCATTACTATTACAGAAACAATAACCATAAACAGAACCATGACTATTAATAATTCCATAAGGTCATAATTATCACACATGTATCGTTACTTCACAGATATAGGAATACAATCAATGAAAACATTTTAATTACCATAGAGAACCTGAAACGAATGACAGCTGTTTCACAACTTATTGCATATCCTTTGATTGGCAGAAAATTCCCGAAATTATCATTATTCTATTTATCGCTAGATGCCATTTATTTCTAGACACACACAACATAACCCTCCATGACTTTTGACAAAACCCTCCATGACTTTTACGCTAATCAAAACTTCCGGCACCAAACAGGTAAAGATTATAAACCTGTGGTATTTGTATTGGTATTTGTCGTAAGTCTGTTTAGGCAGTGGGGGTGCGATTGTTCCTGTTTTTCAGTGGCGCCATCTATGGCCAGGAATTCGACTTCTGCCACCACAACCACAACCCGTTTATAGGGTGGTTTACATTCGCACACAAAGGAGAAAGGACATAGAACACAGAGAGAGAAAGAAACATCCATGCCTTGCCCGGGATTCGAACCCGGGACCTTTCTGATGCAAGGACAGTTCCCTGCCTCCTACACAGGCCGGTCGGCGTGGTATTGTTTTAAATTACGGATTATGTTAAATTCGGACTTCTTTTCGGATAAACTTTTCCCTTCTCACCGAAGTACCACCTAAATAACTGAATAGTTTAAATGCAAATTTCTATTATCGGGTTTTTAAACTGGGAAATTTTCGTTTACTGCAGAGATTTAAAAAAAAGAATGACACTGAAATGTATAAAACTAGTTTTACTTACACACTAGATTCAGATAACTTCATTCTAAGTGATAAAAGTTTTATTTGCACATCAGTGTGAGAAAAACAGAACCTTTTCACAAATATTTAGAATATTTTATAAATACCTGTAGTCCCACTCGTGAATGGGATCATAAATTTGTCATCCGGTTGAGGAACCTATAGAACGATAGAGAAAAAAACAATTTTTTAAAATCATTTTACAGGGTATATACAAACTCTCTAATAAAAGAATGACTGATCCAAGAGGATTGAAATTTCAACAGCATGCTCCCAAAGTGATGGGGATATTAGAGCAGAGGTAAAAAAAATACCAAAATCACTCTGATGTTGTAAGTGTTGACAGAATTTAAGAATATTGTCACTAAGGAAAACAACTGACTTTGCTTTGAGAGAAAGGAAACTTTATACATATGAAAAACAAAGATCGCCACGGTGAGCGTGTCATCCACAAGTTCGTTGCTCGTTTCTAGACTTTTCTGCACATACAACGACATTTATTGGTGCGACTTTCAAGTTTTTAATCAGGCCTGCAAAAAAACTCCTATGGCTTTGAGAACATACTGTTGAAATTTGAGCTATTTTGGATCCCTGGTTCTTTTGTTTCAGAATTTCAATTTCCCAACTTTAAAGACTTGGATTACATTTTAAATCACGGTAAAATAAATATGCATGTTACTGAGTACTTGAACCATTTAAGGTATGTAGACGAAAGAGGGATGTTGAGAAAAAACATGAAAAAAAACGAGGCTAACAGTTATAATGTTAACAATTTGAGGTAGAAAGGCTTCCATTTAGTAATAGTTAATACTGTGTATATCCCTGTACGTCCAAGCAATCGATCTCAAAAATGGACTTTACCAGGAAAATTTATTTTTTTGTACATTGTGTGTTTTTTGAAATGCTGAACACGCATTTTGTGACCAAAATTTTTTCAGTGAAATATTTCTTCCAGGAAAAATCCTGTTTCGTGCACGCAACTTTATTTCTGAAGGCTTATATATGCCATCTGAGAAGCCTTCCGTGCCATAAAAAATATATAGGTAATAAATTATTATTAAAATAATTAGTATTATTACTTTATTTTAGCAGTAATTTACAATTTAAGAAAAGTTTAATTCATGCGATTATATTAAGCAACATTTTAGTGCATTGAAAAAAATAAATGAATTTTTAGGCTAAGTAAAAGTATAATGGAAATAAAATTGCAAATTTTTTACATAATACCCTTAAAAAATTATTCCAGCAGCATCATAACGATCTTATAGAAAAATAAAAACAATGACTGTCAGATGGTGAGTTTGTGAAGTAAAAGAGTTAACTTTTTTTATGATTGCCTGTTCAAAACAAAGAGCTGTCATCAACGGAAAGTTCGAAAATAGATTTTTATTAAGTTTTCATAATTTTTGAGGCTGTCATTAATGTATAGAGTGAAGTGGGCTAGAACAATAGATTATCAATAGTGTATCCATTGGGAACAAGAATGTCACTGTAGAACGTAATGAAGCTGTTAGATGGTGAAAATATAGTTTCACTGAGACTACATTCCAAGGAAGAAGATAAGGAACCTGTTAGATGGTGAAAATATCCTTTCACTGAGACTACATTCCAAGGAAGAAGATAAGGAAGCTGTTAGATGGTGGAAATATCCTTTCACTGAGACTACATTCCGAGTAAGAACGTAAGGAAGCTGTTAGATGGTGGAAATATCGTTTCACTGAGACTACATTCCAAGGAAGAAGATAAGGAAGCTGTTAGACGGTGAAAATATCCTTTCACTGAGACTACATTCCAAGGAAGAAGATAAGGAAGCTGTTAGATGGTGGAAATATCGTTTCACTGAGACTACATTCCGAGTAAGAACGTAAGGAAGCTGTTAGATGCTGGAAATATCGTTTCACTGAGATTACATTCCGAGTAAGAACGTAAGGAAGCTGTTAGACGGTGGAAATATCGTTTCACTGAGACTACATTCCAAAGAAGAAGATAAGGAAGCTGTTAGATGGTGAAAATATCCTTTCACTGAGACTACATTCCAAGGAAGAAGATAAGGAAGCTGTTAGATAGTGAAAATATCCTTTCACTGAGACTACATTCCAAGGAAGAAGATAAGGAAGCTGTTAGATGGTGAAAATATCGTTTCACAGAGACTACATTCCAAGGAAGAAGATAAGGAAGCTGTTAGATGGTGAAAATATCCTTTCACTGAGACTACATTCCAAGGAAGAAGATAAGGAAGCTGTTAGATGGTGGAAATATCGTTTCACTGAGACTACATTCCGAGTAAGAACGTAAGGAAGCTGTTAGATGATGAAAATATCGTTTCACTGAGACTACATTCCAAGGCAGGAGTGCTTCTTCAACTCCAAGGAGTATTTGAGGGGAGGGGAAACCAAGCGGAGAAATGTTAACTCGTTAAAGAATTTAAACAAAATTCCTGCAGTCACCTCATTCGTTATGGTTCTCTTCCATTCGTTATGGATAGGTGTGAAAATAATTTTTAAAATGGCTGTTGAAACGACCAATTTAAGGTATCTTAGCGACTTTGATCCGAGAAGTGCATAGCAATAGCTGGTACACTGTGTCCAGTGGAAGACTGATTGACTTCAAAATTAAAAAAACTCGAAAACAAAGGGCGATAATATAATGAAGCAAACGGTATATCTATTCTGAAAGTTGTAGAAATTCAAAGCAGAAATTTTAGAAATTAGTAACTAAAGCTTCCAACAGATGACGCTATATAGAGTTCTTGAAAATAGTACAAATACCGTATTGCTATCAAACCTGTAATATTACAGTGCAACAACACGTTTCTGAGTTGAATATAGGGTGAAAACCTCCTAATCCGGTACGATAAGCTTTTTTTCACGTTTTAACGTTAGAACTAATCGATTTGGCCATTGACGCTTTCCACAGCAATCTGTTTGCAATTTTTGTAATTAAATTCCAAACTTTCTGTATAAATGTTCTACAGCTTTCACAATAGATATATCGTTTTTCCCATATCTCTATCATCATCTTTTCTTTAGGAGACTTTAAATTTTAATTTCAGCCAGTATATACTCTGTATGTTATCCATATTATTATTACTTATGTTACATTGAATGATCATAGGAGGGATAAATTTTTATAACTTTGTTTCGAAGTAATTTTTTAGTTGTTACATGCACCACATGAACCATAAAAAAAATTGGGTTACTTTGCACATCATTCAATAACTGTCAAAAAGTATTAAATCGACTATGATACAGATTCGAACAGTGAGAAAGGGGCAGATATTTCTACTCACGATTTGAACATTTTTGACGAAAACAAATAAACAATGAAAATGAGAAAGGAAAAAAAACGCATTAAATCTAATGGCAAATTTTTAAACTTGCAAGTGAGAGACTTCGATTGCGAAATTTTGCAGGAAAAAAATTTTTGAAGCATTATCTAACAAAAAGTAGAAACATTTTTGTTTCATCTGAAAACCAGTGACATAGAGATGTAGTTTTACTACTGTTGTTGTTGATGTATGCCATTAAGGCACAGGGGGTGTGATTGTTCTTGTTTTCTAGTGGCGCCATCTATGGCCAAGAATTCGACTTCTGCTACACACATACGTCACACCCGTTTACAGGATGCACCCATTCATTCATCCACAGCTCATAATTTTGACCTGATTCAGAGAACGATCAATCTCCAATTCAGTACCCTCAGAGGTATTGATTTGTTATGGGAACATGGAGGCCTTTGAAACTCGACAGATTTAACGTGCATCAGTCACCATTTACTACACCTTCTTCCCTGCCGTCTTCGGCCGACAGGGATCGAACCCTCGACCACTTGGACATGAGTCCAGTGCCCTACCAACCAGGCTATCCCGGCCTAGTTTTACTACTCAAGAAGGGGATCAAACCAGAATGTTTTAGTTATTTGCTTTCAAAATTCCATCTCCAAATGACAAGACAATTTTTTATTATTCTTTCAAACAGTATGATTATTGTGTATAAACCTATATGTTCTCGTTTTCAGTTATTTCTCTTCTAAAGCTTATAACGAGAATCTTACAATTAATAAAAGTGTTAAATAATAATTAATATATTTTCTCAACTGTTCTTGGATATATTAATGTCCACATTTCTCTGCACAAAGGAAACAGCTCGAAAAAGTTTACTTTAGAGGCAGTTTTCAAAACAAAACATCGGGTGATTAACATTGCAGGGGTAAATTTTCCTCCATGTATTAATGGAAGAGAAAGCAATGAAAAAATATTTAAACACCATATATCAGCTTCTTAAGTCCAGAACCAAGCTTCTAAGTGATAGAAAAAAATGCGAAAGTTTTAAACCGAGCAAGCGGTATCCAAAATTACTTTGCTTTCAATTTTTGGAAATAATGGTTTTGTAAAATCTTGTTTAGAGAAGTGAAATATGTTGCAATATTTTTCTTAAATGATAACAGTAATGTATTACCACAAGCTCTCTTCTGTCCGTTTTTCCCATTTCCTGAAAAAAAAATTAAATAAATAAATAAAAATGCGAAATTTGGGGCAGTTTACAAAATCTATACAATAAATTTTTATAAATTATTAAATCAATCAAAAAATTTTAAAGTGCACTATTGGCCATTCAAACTGCTACACCTAGAAGGCAGTACGTGTGACACTTTAAGTACCTTACTTGTCAGTCACAATCATGTACAAGAGTGACTTACTCTATGTCTATTAATTTATTGTGTACTGACAAAATTACATACAGTGACTTAGTGTTTTCACTACAGCGCGAGAACGCGAGAATCTCGCATATTTTTTTCTTTCCTCGCATTAAAAAATTATTAACGCGAGAAGTTCGCGCACCCTATTAATGAATTTCAAAATGCGTGAATCTCGCGAATTTTGGAAAAGATTTCGTCTTCCGCATTTCTAATGAAATCCGCTTTGTTTTTCTTCTTTCATTATTTTCAATATGGGTCCTTATCTAGCGTCTCTATTTACCAGTATTGTTCAGAACCAGAACAACCACTTTCCCCTTTCAGACCCCTTGTGTTCTCCTCAAACCCCTTTCAGAACACATTTTTCTGCAACCACGTGTTCACTGTAGGTAAGGTTTCTTCATGTAAAACGATTAAATTTTTTGTGCCTGAATGTAAGATGGACAAATACATCGTTAAGACAAATGTAGAAACGGTAAAAACGAAACAAATACGGATATTTCATGGATTTGGATCAAATACTAGCATGAAGTATGAACTTGGAAATAACTTCAACGTACTTCGCGATTTTATATCAGAAATAATTTAAAAGCCTATGCTGGCTGATGTAGAGGATAGGAAAGTGTGTGCATAATGCTGCAAATTTAATTAGTGTTTTCGAATAATTCAGCATGTCTTGCAAGGTAATTTATCACCCAAAACCGGATTAAGACAAAATATCGTAACAGATTGACTGATATGAGTATTTGAGCAACCAAATGAGAATAGCTGATGAAAAAGTAGATATAGAACATTTTCCATATGATGATGCAGCAAAAATATTTAATGCATTAAAAATTAGAAGATGTTAAAAATATTTTATAATTAAAGAAATATTTTTTTTCCAAGTCCATTCTTGTTTTTCTTTCTTTTTTTCTTTTTTTTTTTTTTTGTAAATTTTTAGAAATCTCACGGAATTATTTGAAATCTCACCCTGTTTTTGAGAAAGGGTGAGAAATTCTCACCCATTTTTTTTCTGTAATGAAAACACTGCAACACTCATATTAATCGTATTATCACGTAATTTTGAACGGCTTAACATTAGTGCAGAATTGTTTATACGGTAGAATTACTAAAATTGAAAACGTTTAACCATTTTTATATATTTTTAAAGTACACAGTGTAGAGTTATCTGACATTTTTCTGAATTATCATTGAGGACGATGACTAAAAATAGGTTAAATTTGACGTAACAGTAAAGAATAACTGATTCAATCTCATAGAAGTTATAAAAATAGCACATTCACAAGAAAGCGATGACAGAGCCGTGGCACAGGGGATAGAGAGTTGGCCTTCCATTGAGGTGCACCGGATTCGAACCCCAGCGATGGCTGATTGAAACGAATTCTATACCCGGCTCGCACCAACCACAGTGCTGACGTAAAAATATCCTTCTGGGTCTGTTCAAAAATACAAGGCTACGGAGCTGATCATGGGTAACCGTAAACTCAAAAAATAGGTCACGCGTTCAACGACGGCTGTAAAAAAATAAAGTATCCACGTAAAATAGCCTCGGTTGTACATTGATCATGGGTTAGAGTCCACTTACAGTCAATCTAAGACTTGGGAGGTCTTCGTGGTTTTCCTCTCCATGTAATGCAAATGCGGGTAAAAGCCTGGTTTCTTAGGACAGGACGCCGTCAGCTGGAAATCAGCGCTAACCTCCGATTGGTCCATTTGTGAGTTTGATAGTATACGTCATCGAACGCTCATCTTGAACTACAATTGCCGTCCAACTCAACTGCAGTTGGATTACAACGTGACGTTAACCACAGAAGCAATGGCGGACAACATCCAACAGCACATTGAAATCAGCCAAGATTTTGATTTTGACATTAAACATAGCTTCTTCATTAAACATAGCACTCTTCATTTAGCTCAGCTATAATGTGTTTTTTCTTGGACAAAGTCATTATTTGTTCTCTAAAACACTGGTCGACAATAACAAAATCAATACAAATTCAAAATAAATATTTGTTTACGTTATTAACGCATGCGCAATGAGAGATAATGTCTGCGTTGGACCGACTGCTCACGCTGAGCTAACAAAAAAGTATTTTTTTTTTGGCATCAGCTCTACGTCAACTTTCCGCTGACGCCCAGATAGGGCGCTAGTTCTAAGAAACCAGGCCTTGAGCTAACAAACCAGTGTTTTGTTGGCGTCAGCGCGACGTTGACTTCCTGCTGACGCCCAGATAAGGCGCTTGTCCTAAGAAACCAGACCTTAAGTTCCTCCACGAAGGCAAATTTCTCCCAATACTTGATCTAGGAGTTCCCGTGTCAAAATTATAAGGCTAAGGAGTTCAACATTGGTAGTCGTGATCTCAAAATTGGGTCGGCTGTTCAACGACGGTTGTAAAAAAACGATTATTTTCTGTGACAGCAGAGTCTTCAAGTTTGCATGACTTGTGCTGCCAATTTTGCTTGCGATATATTACTAAAAATTCTATAAAAATGAGACAGATTACTTGACCAGTAAATGACTTAACATTGCTTAAAATATTGAACACTGAAAGCAGGTTATTCTTTCATGTAGCGCTTCATATTTAATAAGCATGAACGTTTTCATCGTCTACAACATATTACAAAAAGTTTACAAATCTTGCACGAATTCGTGACAACACACAATTAATCTCTTGCGACTCACCTCTAACTCAGAGTACTTGAGGATATCTATGTTCGAATCTTTCGCCATTTTCAGCTGCTCTTCCGTTGGATCTTCGCACAGTATCAGGCTTTTCAATTTTGGTACACTCTTCACATTGTTCAGGAGAGACATAGTATTCTGACTATTTGTTGTTATTACCACAGACAGATTGGCTACAGTGAAACAATCATATTAAATTAAATAATAATTAAATCAAGGGAGTAACATCGCTGCCAATCATTTCGAAAAGGAAGCATTGGCAATTTATTTTTGTATTACATTGAGAAAAGTTTACGCAACCAATGACTATTTTCTTTGAGAATAAATCGGAATTTCTTTATAAACGAGATTTTTATCTTTATAAGAAATGTGGTCAAACCCCGCTTTAAAGAATTCGGGATATAGTGAACACTTTGTTGTAGTGAACATTTTTTAGTTGCACCGTCCGAACAGCTATTTAACTAATGCTATTTCAGTCGCGTATAGAAGACAACTTAGAGGTGAGTTGTTTGTTTAGTGAAATATTTTCTGTATCCGCAGACTGTTCACTACAGCGAGGTTCAACAGTAATTCTTAGAAACTATAATGCAACTGACTGGTGTAACAAAAACTGACTGATGAGTTTAAATTGCATTTCATCAGATGAAAAATGAAGGTAAACGCATATCTTTCAATTTTTTTAGTCCACTATTGTTCTATTCATAAAAATTCGGGAGGCAGGAGAGATGTGAAATTCGAATAATAAACACAAATATCAAGGAAAATGTTGAACATTTTAAATAATTTTTTGTTTGCCTGTATACTTTATGAAGCTATAAATATTTAAAATAATGCTGATCATATCTTGGAAAATTTCATTTAAAATCAACCCTAATGACATTCAGTTAAAATGCTTCTTAACTGATGAACGCATGCAAAATTTACAATATTTTAAGCCTGAAATCGTCAACTATTTTTTAATATTTTATGAGTGGTTTGGTTTTGAAATTACATATTTTCCGCAGCTATCTAAGGACATCGAAAAAAAGTAACTTAGCAAAAAGGAAATTTCCATATTATTGTGCTTTGAGATAATTGAGAAAAGTCTTAATTAAAAACAAATTCGTGTTTCAACTGTTGAATACATTTAATGATTTCAAGCATAAAAAATTAAAAATTTCGCATGCGTCATTTAGTTTTCAGAATTTTTAAATGAGAGTGAATTCAAATTAAATGAGACATTTGAGTGGTTTATATAAAACTAATGATGCTTTAGAAAATACACGAAAGCATTTTTTTTTTAATTTTACTTAAAATTAATATAAACCATTTAATCAGTTTCAAAATAAATATAAAATATCTGAGGAAAAAATTAACATATTTCGGGGTATATCAAATTTTATTATAATGCAGTAAAATATTTAAAGTAAACACGAATGCTATTATTAAACACAAAGTCTTGAATTTTTTTTAATGTAAAGCTAAAATAGATTTTGACCCTTAACGGTCGTATGTCAGCTCTCAGCAGTGAATTTCGACAGAGTACGGACATAATAAGACTATAAAGAGATAAATTGACTGAAAATATTAAAAGACACTATGTGAGCCTTGATGGCTCTGGGGATAGAGTACTTACCTTCCAATGAGGTAAACTGGGTTCGAATCCAAGCGATGGCTGGTTGATACGAATTCTGCGTCCGGCTTGCAATGACCACAGTGCTGACGTAAAAATATCCTCAGTGGTAGACGGATTATGGGTTAGAGTCCCTTTGCCATCAGGCTAACCGTGGGAGGTTTTCGGAGGTTTTCCTCTCTGTGTAACGCAAATGTGGGTTAGTTCCATCAAAAAGTCCTCCACGAGGGCAAATTTCCCCCTAATACTTGATCTGGATCGGGGTCAAAATTACAAGGCTAGGGAGTTGAACATTTAATAGTCGTAAACACAAGAAATTGGATCGGCTGTTCAACGACGATTATAATAGAATATAATATGAAGGGAATTATTTTTTACTTCGAAGAAGGAATGTTTGTTTAAAGAAATTACACTGGATAGTTTTTAATAGGAATACTTTGTATTTATGTAGGACTTAGTGACTAATAGTTGTTGACTTATAATAATCAATCCATTTAAATGAAATTTTTTCTAAAAAAGAAGGAAATAAAAGAAAAATGGGAGATTTTATGGAAAAATTTTTTATAGTTTCACAAATTAGAAATTATTTTGCACATTGGCACTATTTGATGGACAAAACCTAGCTTGATATCGTTTAATGTACCTTGTTTGTTCCAAATAGTTTCTTAATCGACAAAATAATAAATTCTGTGAAGTATACTGAACCGTTTTCCTGTTCATTCTTCCTGTTCCATACCATTTCCTGTTCCATGCAGTTTCTTAGTTCATTCTCACTATTTACCCATCTCAAAAATTATTATTTTTTTAATCCTTATTTTAACAAAGTTGGCAAGAATTTACTACAAATTAAGCTCTATTCGATTCCAGATTAGTTATAAAAATAGATGTAGTTATAAAAATAGATGTTATGAAAATAGTTGTAGTTATAAAAACGATATTAGTAATAAAAATAGATGTTTTTTATAATCCTGATGACCATAAAAATAGTTCAGTAATTGTGTAATAGTGTTTTAATATGACTTCTGTATATTTTAATATGACATTTTTGTTATAAATATTATTACTCTATCAAGCAAAAAAAAAAATTCTTAAAATTTCTAAAATATTTTTGAATATTGTCAAACTTTATTTAGAATTTAATTTTTCATAAGTAAAATTAATTCAAACGAATTTAATTTTACTTATGATTAAGATCCATACCAAAATTGAGATAAAAATGTTACTTATAACTAGAGCCCGGATTTTGATGAACTAAAAAAACTCAATGCCCTTAAAAATGCAAAAAATGCCCTTACAAACTGCAAAAAATGCCCTTAAAATGCGAAAATTGCGCTAAAAATGCCTTATGACATGACTTAAATAGAAGTAAAAATATTGAACTAAAACAATGTTTTACTCTTTAAAATTATTATGAGTCGTTTCAAAAAATATAAAGCAATGCAATACTTGTTCTACGTTCATTAAAGTTTGACAAATATGTTTTATATCCAAAAATAAAAAAAAAAAGGAAAATATATTGACTCCAAAACATTTTCATTTTGTATAGAAACTTAAATGAATATAACAACTTCCATCTCATAATATTACTAAATATCAGAATTACAGTGGATTATTAAATTTTTTTTTTAATATTTTGAAATGTAAACGAGCGTCTCTTGTCTGAAAGCAAATTTTTATACCAGGAGAAGCTTCTTTCAACGTCTACTGATGTTATTGGTGCGTACTTGAAAAGGACGGTCACACTTACTGACAATTCTTCTTCAATTTGAAAAGATGTTGCTTCACCTGTTAATATCCTAGAGATTTTCTTCATTGTTTAGAAGCCAGTGTAATAATAAAAAATTAGAAAAAATTAACAAAAAAATTTAAAAAATGCTTTAAAATGCAAAATACGCCCCAACATTTAAAGAAAATGCCCTATAAATCTCAAAAAATGCTCTAAACGACAAAAAATGCAAATGTCATCAAAATCCGGGCCTTACTTATAACATTTAAAGGCTACTGGCAATTTACGACAGATCTTGCTTTATTCATTCTGGTATGAAGGTCTCGATTGAGAAGCCAATCTGACAGCGATTATCATATGTTTTGTATTTTTAAGCCGAGTGTATAATTTAAGTAATTCATGCAATAATAATTTAATAATAGTTAAGGCAAAAAATATAGCATTCAATAATAAGGAAGAAAAGCTACTCTTCGTATAAAAAGTACCAACTAAAGATTTCTTTTACTTATTCATTGTTCAAAATGAAATATTCTTATTGTGCGATCTAACAAAATAAAATTTCGAAAAGAGAGTCTCTTTCAAGTCACATCATCATCCATTTATAAAAAAATGACCTTCAAACATGGTAAGAAAGAAAAAGAGTTAATGCTGCTTTGTCACGTAGTAATTTAAATAAAAACGATCATCTGAATTGAGTTTCAGTTTCCTTCTAAGAGTAAGAAAAACTGTCTAGATATTAAGTGTAGTGACGTCAGCTTTAAAAAAAAAAATAAACATCTCATATTGTAAATTTTTATTTCAACGATGTCAAAGTGGATAGTTTAAATTTTAAAATGCATTACAGTAATAAACTTTTCAATAAATCTTAATTATGTCACAAAATGCTGAAATTCGGCCAATCAAACGCAAAATGTTGAAATTAATGAAATTGAATTATTTTAAAAATTATGCAAAAGCATTTTATTTAATATTTTATTTTATAACCGTTGTTGAACAGCCGACCCAATTTTGAATTTACAACTATTAATGTTCAATTCCATAGTCTAGTAATTTTGAACATAATTCAGAAGACTAGGGAACTCCTGGATCAAGCATTGGACGAAATCTGCCTTCGTGAAGGACTTTTAATGGAACTAACTGGCATTTGCATTACGTGGCGAGGAAAACTACGAAAACCTCCCTCGGTTAGCCTGACGGCTAAGGGATTCCCATGATCCCATGATGAATCTACCACTGAGGATATTTTACGTCAGCACTTTTGTCGATGCGAGCCGGTCGCGGAATTCGTATTGACCAGCAATAGCTGGGATTCAAACCTAGGTCACTTCATTGGGAGGCGAGGGCTCTATCCTTTAAGCTACCGGCTCCTCAGAAAAACATTACAACTTTCGCTGCCCATGATAATTCAAATTAGTTAATTTACGTTTGCACACATTATTAAAACAAAAGTTTTGAAATATACAGGGTGTTTATAAAGTCCCGGACCCATTTTGATGTTTAATAACTCATAAAATAATAAAGATAGATTAAAATTAATAACATAAATGGTCAGATAGACTCAAAAAGTTTCATGACCCTTGTCAATGAACTTCTACGTGTGCCCCCTTCGTCACACGAGGAATATCAAGTCGATAGTCAATTTCACGCCAGGTAGCGGCAAGCATGTCGGCTTCCACCGAGGCTATTGCGGTTGTAATTCTGGCTTTTAGGTCATCAATGTTCGACATGATCCTCCTGTAAACATTGTCCTTTATAAATCCCCAAAGAAAAAAGTCCAGCGGCATTATATCAAGTGATCTGGGTGGCCAAAGGAATTGGACCTCCTCACCCAATCC